GCCAAGGTTCCGAAGGAAAGTCCGAAGACCAACCCCAAGGATCCCAGGAATCCCAAGAATTCAAGGACCAAAGTGAATCATCCCAAGTCTGATCCTGACTACTGTTGTCATTGTAATGTTCGTTCACGGCGTTGATCGCTCACTCATCCAACGCCTTCGAAGCCACAACCACCACCGCAACCACAAGAACTTTCTGTAGAGGCGCCCCAGAAAGGCCTCAAGGAGCAAAGCACCGAGGACACTTTTCGTTTGCGCTTGGAGCAGACTTCTTCAGGAACGTTGGAAGACTTTAAGAAGGCTTTGCTTGAGCAACTTTCGGAGAAGGACCCGTCTACAGGACAGCCGTACATGCGCGACTTGTGGCTTGACTTTCCGTCTTGTTGGGTGTATGTTCACAAACGGACGCATGACTTTAGTTGTGCGCCCTGAAACAGATGCAGCGCCATTTTGGCACGCTGACGTTTGGCGCAAGAACGGCGCAACTTTGGTCAGTAGTTGGGTGATCACTGCAGCGGCGGCGGTACTTACTGTCGCAACTTTTGTTTGGTCAGTCTCTTACTATTTTTGGGAGTGTACTTTGGTACGGAGTCGGCGTGCAGTGCGCACTTTATGCCCCGGAGTTCGTACTGGACATCTCCGGAGGCAACTTTCAGCAGCTTCGCGGTGCAGTTTGAGCGGCCGCTACTTTTAAGCAGACTTTGCTCAGCGACAAGTCGAGCAGTGGTGGCCGCCCGGCACACTTTGGCCTGATGTGCCAAACTTGGAGTCGGCGCCAGATGGGCCAGTGCCAGGGCCGACACTTTTGAGCAGCTCGCGGGTCTCGACGCGACTTTATCCATCCCGAGAGCGCCCTCATGTCTACACAAACGTTGAGCTGGACGTGACTGCGACGAGAACAACTTTGTTCTTTGTGTTTCGGAAACTGCTCCCTGGTGTCCCGCGGACTTTGGCTGATGATACGATGCGTACATTTATGATATGGGTCACCTTTCAGATCGGTGGCCAGGATGCAGTGCGGGGATGTGACTCCACTTTGAACTGCTCATTCAGCCCTCGCTCTGCCTTGCTACTTTTCATATTCGGTCTTTCTATCCGGCAAAAGCAGAGCCTGCCGGACCTGAACTTTGGTTCACCGAGTATGTCTACCTTTGGGCGCACGTTTGGGCTGGGTTCAGTGGAACCAACTGTTTTGGGTCGAGGACGGATCTGGAGCAGTCGATACCTCGACTACTTTATATCGTGCACGGGCAATCTACTTTTGCAATGGCCCAGCGACAGGGCTACTTTGCAAAGCATGGTGGTACTTCACCACCCCTGCGAGCCTTACTTTGCCGTTCGAGTGATGAACGCGGCTGCATGCGTACACGCAGCAGCACTGGTGGGATAGTATCCCTCGCGAACTGTTGCAGCATTGGGCACGCCCGCGGCTTTGACGGCACACTTTTCGGAGTCATTGGACTTTTAGTGCCACGATGATATGTGCCACTTTTCGGGCATCTTTGCCTTGGGCACTTTATATGCAAGCCGATCGCTGCACTTTGCTGTGCAGATTCCGGCCTTCAAAAGGAAATTGGCAGCCCTCTACCTCATCCTCTGAAACAAGAAGAGAGCTCACTCCAAGTTATGCTTGGTAGGGGAATAGAGCTTCTAGAAAGCTCTGTTACGTCCTGGTGAGTCTTCATCTTATTCTTAAGTAGATTGAAGAGAGATTGCTCCTAGTAAGTATGGACAAAGTTCGCGCAGTCTTCAGTAGCAACATAATTCTCTACCTCATCCTCGACAAGGAGAGAGCTTCCTCCAAGTTCATGAGAAAAAAGAGAATGCTCCATCTCCACAGAGCAGACAAGCCTCTGCAACTTCACGAGAAAGAAAGAGAGCTCCGTTTTCCCCGGCAAGAACAGAGCTCCTTTCTCTCTAGGCAAAGAAAACAGATCCTGACTATCTCCCTTCACCTTGTCAAAAGATGGAAGAGAGCATACGCTCAAGAAGAGAGGGTGGAGCTCACCCCAACCTTTAAAAGAGATATCTGGTCCTCCCCCCGCGTTGAAAAGAAAGGGTAAGTCCCCCATCTCATGCTCCAAAACAAGAAGAGAGTCCCCCCCGATGAAAGAAGATAGCCTCTTGCTAGCTTAGAGCTTTTTTACCTCTTGGTAGATCGGCCAAGCTGAGCAAGCAAACCCAGTGACGACCGGTGAATGGTCAACGCCTTGTTCGGCTGTGGAACTCGTGTTGTAGTGTTCTGCTGCTCGTGCATTCGTGTGAAATGTTCAGTCGTTCTGGTGCGGTGGTGCTTGCAGTCTCAAGGGCAGAATCACCCTGAACCTGCTTTACCGTGTTGTGGAGAAGGAACGAGAAGAGCGGCGCTCGCTCGCGGTGTAAATCGGGGCTGTTCGAAAGTTGTGGAGAAGGAACGAGAGGAGCGGCGCTCGCTCGCGGTGTAATAGGGGCTGTGATCAATTCCACAACTCATGCACAATCTCTTGCCGTGTAGGAGCCGCCGCTTTGGCTGCTTCTCTGCTAGCATCCGATCGATTGGACTCCACTCCTCATGCTCGAAAGCGCGGCTGCTAGGCATACGATCTGTCCAGTAGCTAATCTTCTCATTTTTCCAAGGCCTTGATCCGTCGGCCTGGAGGCGGTGGCGGGTCGAAGGTGGTGAGTCCGTCGCCCAACCCGCCGGGCGCCATCCTCAGGGGGACAGGTTTTCGATCCCGGCGGCAATTGCACCGGAGGGCAGGGTCCTCTGCTGGGGAAGCTGCCCGCTTTGCTCTCGAGCCGCTGCTTCTTACGCGGCAAAGGACAACTCCACAAATCACGTCCAGAAGGGGCTCAGCACTTTGGCATATAACCCCCGTCCCTGCATCGCACATCCCACACCCCTCAGCAGCTGGTACAAGCAGCATCACACAGCTCTGGGAGGATCCAAACAGTCGATCCCTTGAGAACTTCGATGCAGTACCCTTTGGTCGTATAGGCTTGCAAATAGAGTCTCCACTTTCCAGCTTATTGAAGGGATCTGAAGGGTCTGGGATATAGAAGCAACTGATTTTTCCATGGCATCAGTAGCAACATCGTGTGTCGGCTTTGGCTACGTGATACATCGAAACACTCTAATGCAGCCGGTAAAGGCGAAAGCAGGTCACCTGCCAATCCTGACGGCCGATCGAGGAGTAGTTGAAAGTGTCTGAAAGGTGTCTGCTCTGGGCAGCAACATCCAAGCCGAAGCTCACACACGCCGCTTCTTGCGTGGTTTGTGCGGATTTCCTCATTTGAAGAGCGACACGGGATGACAATGTAACGGCGCATGACTCCATTGCGGGGTTTCGCGCTTCAGTCTCTTGACCCAGCGCGTTCATGCTAGCTTGATGCTGTCAAGTGGCCGATTGGAGTTCGAGGCATGTGCGTCAGCTTTGTGATCTGAGTGCTCTAGTCGCAAGGAACTCTTCATGCTAACTCGTCAGCATGGTTGAAGCGGAAAGCACTGCGAGAAAAAACTGCCTGCAAGCCAACGTTCTGGAATGCTTGGAGGCAGGTTTCCACCTGGCAGCAATGTTGAAAATTGAAATGGGCTGCAATTGCCGCAGAATCAGCGGCCACGCTCACTGTCGAGACCGCAGGGCATGCAGCAGAATCCGTTGCTAAGCCGTGCATGCTCTCGCTCCTTCATCAACTTTCTGAAGTGAACCTCGGCACAAGTGACACCTCAGTTCGACAAAGTGCGACGAGCAATCAAATCAATGCTAACATAGAACTTGGAAGCGTGATGATGCACAGGTGGTTGTCACTGTCATCCAACACGATCTGAGCATGATGCCAAGTCGACGCAGCTTCTTTGCGATGTTCAGACCCTTGGCTGTGCAATCGATTGTTCTTCTTGTCCTCGTGCGAATGCTGTGGACTTCGGATCTTTTTCTTCGTTCTCCAATGATTCTCCAAGGTCGGAGGATTGTCGCCTCTCTGTCGTGAAAGCCTTTCCTTGTCTGCCCTTTTGCGGCATCTCTGCCTTCGGTCATAACTTTGGACGTTAGGACTGCTTTTTTTGTCCTACTCTCGTGTTGTTCAGCACCCGGGAGAGCCTGTGATCCTCCCCTCTCGTTTGCTTAGTGCCGCCAAGCTGTTTGTGCTGGTAAATTTCCTGTAGACCTGTCAAGAAATCTTTCTAGTTCAGGGCCAAAGCTCAAAGTGAACTCCCAAACTCGCTATACCCTAGCGACTCGGAATGTTGCCAGACAGAGAAGCTGAGCTTGTGACAATTGCGTACGTGGCAGCTTCGGACTTTTTCAATGCCTCAGCTGCTGCAAAGATAGCTACCATGAAATGACATTTTCAGCGAGGCTGCCAGTAACCGCAATGCAACGCGTGCCGCAAAGAACTTCTGTGCTCTGTTCTGCCCCGGTGCGCCGCGGTAGCCCACGTTGCCGGCATGGGACCGAATGACAGTTCGATGACGCCAGCCTTGGTGCAAGACTCCCCTAAACAATTCCTGAGTTCCTGACTCTAAATGCCTGTGTGCGAACTAGCCGCCGCCACCTGCCTGCAACTTGCCTACGTAGAGTCTTGGCACCGCGCTTTTGTTTTTCACCACGACCCAGCAATTATTCTTGGATGACCTGCGGCTCATGTAGGCGCCGAGGCACACGCGGCTCAGGACTACTTGTCACGACAAGGCCGCCACGTTATGACAATTTCAAAGCTGTGCCATGGCCTCAGGGCTTACATGCTGCTAAATGCCACCATCCGATGGGCATTTCAATCGCCGCCCTCAAGCCAGAAGGGCGCAGCTCGAAGATGCGTCCGTACCTGTTGCGATCCACCTCGCTGGCAGGCAGACCCGTTCGTACAGCATTGGATCGCCAAACGAGCAGCCCGAAGAGCGCCGTGCATTGTGAAACTCCGGTCTGCCGCCCATGAGCTTGTACCTTCGGAGTCGCGGGGCCTGTTTGCTCACCGCTCTGCTCCCTTGGTCGGTGCTTCGGGGCACTTCCTGATGTTGCCAGGAAAGTTGCGCTTCTGGGCTTTGGAGAGATGTATTTGTGCGACCTGTGACATGCGCTGCATCAAAGACTCGGGCTTTGACAGGTTCTGGAAGCCTGCTCCGATGTCTTTACTGGGAACTCTGCATGTTGAAGCACCTCTGACAAAACCCAAAGCGAGCTGAGCTGGCCTTCTTCTGGGCTTGCATGGTTGCCTGGCCAACCAAAAGTCATGGCCAGTTATATCTGCTGCTGCCGACAAGCCTACGTCCCCAAACCGTCTCTTGCTAACGTGCTCTCTCCAGCCTTGATTGAGCCAAGGGCCCTCTCAGCATCCTGCACTGGTCAGAGGCTTTGCAGGTTGCAGGATGCTTCTCCCTGGCAGATCCGACGGTTGTAAGTTCTCAGGCCATGCCTGCGACAGACTGGGTGCTGCTTCAGCAAAACGCCGAACTGCAAAGCCGCAGGGACCTTTGCAGTGAAGCTGGGCTTTGAAGAAGTGCCTTCTACACCCAGCGAATTTCAACATGTGCTTGAGAGTCAGGCTTAACGCTGCAAGTTGGGGAAGACGAGGTGGCAACGTGCGCCTGCAAGCTATGCTTCTTCCAAGCTTGGCTAGCTCCATGAGACGTGCCGACACAAAACGGGGGCTGCAAGCTTGCCGTGGTTGTATGTTCAAGCAACCGCACACGGCCGCCTGGTGCAAGTGCAAGTGGATGAGAGACCAAGACAGGCAAAGCGAAATAGAAGGCAGCACTTGCGGGGTTCGTCTTCCGAACCCTTGACCATCACAACCCTCAGCAGAAGAAGTTTTGTCAGAACGGTCTGACTCCTGTTCGGATGCCTCAGAAGGCTTCGACAAAGGTTCCAAGCCATGGCTGCAACCAATTGACAAAGCAAGGCAAGACAAGGCAAGCCAAAGCTTCTAAGTGTGGGCTTCGTCCCCTTGGAGGGGTGCAGGGTGGTCACCCTTAGGGGTTAAAATGCAAAAATGCGAGCCCTTGTTGTGGAGTGCCGCCTGACGTCACGAGCTATCACCTAACTAAATGATCATGTGCTGCTTTCATGACTCCGGCTGGCGGCTAGAGCTGCTTGCAATCGGGACAAGTTTGGTGTCTGCCGGCAGCATCTTGCGACGCACAAGCCAACTTCAAGCTGCCGTCCGTCGACTCACTGTGGGCAGCCTGTGCTTATGTGCACACACAGTTCGGCATGTCAGCTTCTCGTACCACGCTTTCCTTGCTCGGATCTTTTGCAGAGCGCTTTCCTTTCTCGTCGCTCTTTGCACGGGAGCGCTTTGACTTGGGCGCAGTGTGAGCCGGTGCGTCGTCACCTGGCATTGCCCGACCAAGCTTGATACGAAGGTGCTGTCTGGCCAATTTTGGCATGTACAGAAATCTTGCGACAAGTGCTGCTGCAGATCTCTCCCTCCAACTTAGCACATGATGACATCGAAAGGTGAGCCTGACTTCAGCATGTAGCTACTTCATGAAGCATCTTCGTTCGTGGGTCCGTCCTTGGAAGGTGGCGGGGATTGCAGTCCGCACGGTCCTGACAACGCGGCAGGCTTGAAGCCGGTCTTTGCGCACAGGATGTGCCACCAAGCCCACCACGCAGGCAAATATGGCAGCCAACGATCGCCACCTGACTTGAATTGAAGTCACTGGCCTTGCAGGTATCCTCTCGCCGAGGACGTGACAATCAACTTCCCAAACTAGACCCTCGGCAGGTGACTCCAAGGAAGTGTACCTTGGCGAGGCAACCAAGAAGAAATAATACTGCCATGGCTATCCCCCTGAGTCGGTGGTGGTTTCTTTGCCTTTCCTTGCAACGACACAGCCTGGGACGCCAGAGAAGGCTCTAAGGCGGCCGGGCTTGCGGGCTGTCCATTCTCCCGGTCTTCTGGGGTATCCATGCCCCGAATAGCTATATCAACCTCTTCGTTGCGAAGCTAGTTGGCTTGCGGGGTATCTGTGCCCGGGTCTTTCCCAGGGTCTTGCGGGTTTTCCATGCTTTGGGCTGCTACATTCTCCTCCTCGATGCGAAGCTTTCTTCTTACTTTCGGAGGCATTGTGCCCAAGCTTGTTTCTGGTTGAGCTGGTTGAGGCGGTGCCGCCTTGTGAATCGAGTCTTTTCGCCGTTTTGTCGCGTCGTGTCGCGAATGGGTCAGTAAGCCGTCAGGCCAAAGGCGATACCGCCTTTGACAAGACTTCCAGTTTGCTTTATACTGTGGTCACACAGGCACACGTCTCGGTCAACATGGCCATGACGCCACAGCTTCAGCCAAATCCAAATCCGGCGTAAGCTCTGTACACATGCGCCATGCGAGAATGGCCATCGCCCAGCTCGAGGCCAAGAACCTCCAGCGACTCCGGCGGTCAAAAGGAGAGATGCAATGCGATGGAACTGCGATGGGTTCTCAGGTTGCGGCCCATTTGGAATCTGCTGAATCTCGGTACAGGAAGACCTGCTCGAATATGCAAGGACATTGCCTGGAGCCTGCATGCCAAGAATCTCAGCCATCCCACTCCGTGAGCAAAAACCCTGGTCGTCCCGTTCGCATGCAAACCACCCCACCCGCAGGGCGCTTGATCACGTGCGGATGCCTGCCCAATTGGAGCTCCTGAACACATCAGCTCCTCGCCTCTTCTTTGCTTCCGCTCTGCCTGACTGCTATGTAAGCAAAGGCGACAGGAGATGTGCTCGGGCCCACCTGTGCCATGCGGGCTGGTGATTCCAGCTTTCCGACCTTTGATCAAGAGAGACTGGAGCGAACGAAAGCAAGGAAGCTCCGCATCAGCTTTCGGGCCGAAGAGTGAGCTTGCCGTTCAAGACGGACAGCCTGGGTGTGTGTCGAAGCGAAACGAAATTCAATTCAAAACAAGCTTTGAGGGCTCGACGAGCCAGGAAACCCACTCACCTCAACCTAAGTCTGTGGAGCTGAATAAGGCTAAACAGGGATGTGCTCGGGGAGAAACTTTATGTGATCTGTCAGCACGGAAATGCCACTATCGGGGTCACTGCCTCGCCCTGTGCTCTTTGCAGCCGTGCATCCTCCAGGAACAAGAATAAGAAAACACCCTTGCTCCACATTATCTTCCATTAGCTGATGTGAGCTAGGAACTGGGGAGCATCGATTGAAAGACATGTGATGTGGGTTTCTGTGCTCAGCATTGTAATGCGACATGTGTGGAGCTTCGGTGCAACACCTCGCTGCCGTGCGCAGCCTTCCCCTCGATGTAGCGCTGCCGGATGCGAAGTACCTTCCACAAGGCATCCGAGCCCGCTCGTTCTGTTCTGAAATATCCTGAAGTTTCGGCGCCTCGGCAAACGTTGCGTCGCTCATGGGTTTCAGCATGACTTCGCTATCTGGTCGAAGAACCCCGGCCTGCAACGGAAACAATGAACTCGCTGAACAACGTAGCCCTTCGCCCTGATCTAGTCTTCATGAACGATTCAGAAGGTTGCATTGCATATTGGTGGCTCTCCTCTTTGAAACCTGGCATCACCTGCAACCTCTGTGGCTGCAATAGGAGCAGTCCCTGGCCGACAGCTAGCTTTCTTGCTCGAGTACAGCACCTAGCAGCTGTTTGCGAGAATCCACTTGGTTCTGAGCTTGAGGACTCTGATTGCTAGCTGCCCGCACGGGAGGCGCATTAACTGCCAATGAGTACCCGGTCTTCGGGACCAGTCTGTGCAATATCGCCGCTCTCATTCGTTCAGGAGCTTTTCTCCTTGTTGACATTGTTCTTGTAGTCAGGCAGAAACCTGACACATCTCATGTCCCGACCCTCTAGGCAATCAGATTCGAGACCTGATTCATTCCTCTCAGTAACGGAGCCGCCAGCGCAAAGCCATAGGTCATCAAGTTGTAGCCTCGGGTTTCGCGCGATGGAAAACCCCGCCGGGCTTCTGCACAGGTTGAGGACCCATCGCTGAATCACCGATAAGTGTTGCCACTCCGTGCGTGCCTCTAGCTGGAACTGGTCCCTTGGATGCAGTGACGCCAGGGGTGTGTCAGCCAAGTTGCCCAAGAAGTGAACGGCCAACCTCGAGAGAATGCTCGATAGTCAATGTCGTGACCTACACCACTGTAGACTGGCGCTGCGCATTGAACCCGGAACACGGCAGCAAAAGTTTGACGGTATGGCTACAGAATGTTACGATCTGCCATGTCTGCCTTTTGAGACTCGGAAAGAAACTACGAAAATGAACTTTGCAGGGGCTTTCGTGTGTCAAAGGGTTGCTGCGCTCTTTTTCCCGGCGGAACATGTCTGCACAAACAGGTCCGCGAGAGCTAGTTACTAGTCATCCTCATCTTCATCGTCCTCATCATCGTCTAGGTCCTGGAAGCAGGAGGTCACGAGATGCAGCAGCAATCGTGCGATGCACCTGGGAACGTTTCGTGGAGGGAGCAGGTCCTCCATGAACTTTTCAAGGACGATGGGACGCTCGTTCTCGAACGGCATTCGTCTGCACCTGATGACTGTGCGGCAAATCCACAACCAAAAGCAAGCAAGCAAGCAAGTGCTTCCGACAGGTACCGTACACATAAAACTACCGTGCAGTCTGGGCGCCCTTGAAGAAGCTCGTCGTCTTCGACAAGATCTGCTTCCCGCAGCCCGACTAAGCAGCCAACCATGGCGATAGCTCCTGCCCGAGGATTGATGAGTGAGCACTTCAGCATCGCGTGTAGACTGCGCGTGCACCTACTCGTGCAGCTGTCAGATCCTTCCGCTTCTTTGGCACTTGCGGCTGTCGCCGCAGATCCGGCTGCGGTCTGAGAAGCCGAGCAAACAACATCAGCAGCCTGCATCAAGACAACTGCAGTCCGAGTCCAATCCATGGTCCAATTTGGGCATTAGAGCCTGGAAAGGATCGCCAATTTCATCGCCGATCTCAGAAATCCTTACAGACTGCAGTGGATCTACATTGAGCCCATGTCCTCACTAGTGACGAGTGAGAGCCACAGAACAGATGCACAGTCCTCTGGTGCTCCAGTCCTTTGAAAACATGTGTCTTTGCTCGCAAGAGTCTTTCGATACAGAGCCTTTAGTAACGGCGCCCATCTTGTAAGCGGCTTCTCCAGCTTCTTGGCAATAGCCATTGGCCTGAGCAGTGGCCAGGCAGACAACAAGAAGTGTTGTGGCGCAGAGTCGCCAATGTGCTGCTGCGGTGCTGGAGTTTCTTTTTGCTGGCCGCAGCTTCGCTGATGCAGGTACTGCATGCCTCTTCGAAGAGGATCCGTAGAAGGCAACCTCTCCGAAACAGAAGCTTTGAAGATCGCACTGTGAGTGCTTCAGTCTGTGGTATTTCGGAGCAGCTGTCAGACCTCAAAACTCTATCCGATTCTCGAAAGCGCACCACTTCGGGCAAAGCCAGCCTAGATGATCGGTGGGCGTGGTGTCCACGTGTCCCTGGAAGCGAACCTGTCAAAGTGAGCTACAGGTTCAAAAATGCTGTGCACAACATGTGGATCAAGCAACACTGCGCTGCAGAATCACTTTGTGATGCTGATGTGAGTTGGCGCCTGCATGTTGAAGTCTCTCATTGGGTCCTGAGCCGTAAAACATCGGCATCTCCCCTGAAAGCCGAATCTCGGAAAGTAACAAGATCAAGGTCAGCAACTGTCCTCCTCCAGGGTTTGCGGCTGCTCGTTCATCCATCGGCGGACGGAAGTCGGGAAATCCTCTACTCCGTCTTCGTCAAACTCGTCGTCATCCAGCTCCACATTTTTTCTCATCTCTAACATCACAGCACGTGCCTGGCGAGTCATTTGAAGGCCTTTCATTCTGCGAATGAAGTAAACTCAGCACAAGCTAGCCTGATCCTCGGACAAACCTTGCAGCTTCAGATCCGCCAGGAGTTTGTCGTCCTGAATGACATGGGCACAGCGGTTGTTACAGGTGAGACCCGGCAGTGAGCTTTGTAGACCGGTTCCAAATGGCACTAGGAAATAAGGCCGAGCTTACTGGAGGGAGGGCTGGACGCACCTTTAAGTTTTTGCTGTTGTGAAGCGTCATAGGAAGGAAAGAGTAGCAGAACAGGAAATGGAGCGCAACAGGAAGCGACGTGTTAAAGCAACCCGGCATGCTTGACACAAAAGACCAAAGGTGATCGGCAACATCCTGCAAAAAGTTTTAAATCTGAGGCGTAAAGTAGGATTTTCAGTTGTTGTTGCGATGAGCCTGAGTCCTGACATAAACATATGCAAGGTGTCACGAAAGACTCGCCGACCAAACTACATGCTTTACTGAGCTAGTAGTCGCACTAAATCCACCCGTAGGGCCGTAGGGGAGTTGGTGACTACACTTCACCTGACCCCACGCCCACAGTGATTGCCTCCTTGCCGTCATCTTTAGAGGCTTCTTTGACCTACCAACATAGAGGGACATAATGCATGAAAGACGGTCACGAGTGTGGTAGTATGTCCGTCGAATGCTTTCAAAACGAGCTAACATGCCCATGCCTTGCGCTGCTCTTCTTGGATCTGGCGTCTTTCAGCCTCGGGGGCTCCGGTGGAGACTTTCAAGTTTGGCTTTGGTTTTCGGACGGAACTTCTGCTCGCCTTGGTCAGCTGCTTCTTGGGCTCGGCTTTTGCCTGACCCTTGGCTTGGGCTCGCCGTGCCTCGTGGTAGGCTTTGCGCTCTTCCTCGCGGTCCGAAAGGCGGTTAACACCCAATCACTGTAATCTCTAATCTCTGCGAAAGCCTGGAGAAGGGTATGGTGGCCTTTTCACTCATGAACGATCAACCCCATGAGGCCTTTTTTGGCCGCGCTTCTGGCTTGGAGTGGCTCAGCAGTGACTTTTCGCATACTGTGAAGCGCGACTTCACTCTCCCCATGTTCTTGCCCACTTTTCGACGTGTGTGTAAACTGCTCCCTGCAATGACAACCCCGGCCTTGGAGAGCTTGGCCAGCTGCTCTGGCGACAGCCTTCAGAAACGCCCAAGGGGGAGGACATGAATCAGCAACAAATACCAAACAGGCCCCGGGATGCAGACTCAACACAGTGTGGAGCAGCTATAGCACTTGTATAGGTCAAAGTTCTCATCCTCTCCGTACCGAATAGCGAGAGATATGAACGCAAGGCATGGCAGGGCCACTACAGAATCAGAATTGACAAGCGAAGGGCCTTCCCTCAGGCAACTCTTGTCCTCCGCTCCTCTCGTGGAGATTGCCAGTGTTTCAATCCCACTTGATGCCGAAAGTATCTTACTTCGCCGGACGCAGCTTATCAAGCTGCAAAACCAGCATTCGGATTCGAAACCTGTAGCGACAAAACGTGGCTCTAGCACGAGGAATTTCGTTATAAACTCCAGGTATCCCGAAGTTGAGGCACAACACAGAGATTTTCGACCAACTCAAACTCAAACCTACTGAGATCACTAGGACTTCCCTGGTGCCTTCCGAAGACCATTCTTTCTGACACTCAACCCCCTTGGCAGTTGGATCCACAGGATCAACTTGGTTCATCAATTGGCCAGATCCAGACCGGCGGGGTCGATTGGATTCTCCATTTAGACCCAGCGGACTAACCGACTGAGTAAGCTAGATCAATCATTCAAGCCGGTTTGGATTAACCAGTTAGATAATTTGCAATGCATCGGCTAGGTCACAAGTTGACACCTTCGACGCACCCCTCCTCGGGTGGAGAAACAATTCCGATTTGATGGGACACACGGGTGGCAAAGGAAAGGCTTAGCTTAGGGGCGTACTATACATTGGAAACACTCTATACTACAAGCAACACCTGCTGCCAAGCGATGTGCTAATCTGCTAATCCTCGGGGAAACGATCACCTCCGGTGCTACAAACACGTCTCTGATTGCAGTGTTGCTTTGGGTATCTTGGCCGTGTTGCTCAGAGCATTTTTCAGACTAACTGACTTTGGTGCATCCAAGGCCAAATGTTCTCCGGATCCTTTTCCCAAGATCCCTGCCCTCTGAGGAGAGTTCCGTTGTGTCCAAGTCGCTCCTGCACCGGGCTGGCAGACGAGGGCTCGGCTGGAGCAGCTGGAGCTGCAGTTGTGGCAGCTGGAGCCGAGGGAGAAGTCTCTGTCGAGGGAGAAGGCCAAACGCCAATCTCCTGCATGTCTGAGCCTACATCCAACTGCACGAAGCACTCTGAAATTCAGTGCTTCAGTTTTTTGCTGGAGAACCTGTCCTCCAAATAATCTAGTGTCCAAGCACTGGCCATGGCTTGCAGGGCCGAATTAAGTGCCAGGTATACAATCAGCTCGGACCAGAATACCAGCACGGACGGGCATAATGGTGCTTGGCCAGCAACTGAAAGCATTTTGGCCCAGAACGCAAAATCCTGGAGAGCCGAACATGTCAAACCAAATGGCACCAAGTCACCGCATGCCGACCGAGGTGGCACCAAGATCAATCATCACCTCATGCCAACTGATCCGGGTGTTCAGTGTTGAGTTTGTAAGAGAGCCCAATGAAGTAGATACAAACCCTGCCTCGCCGTGCCGCTCGATGCATACCCAGCCTCAAGCCTCTACTCGGGGGCTCCCTTCCTAGACAAGTTGCTGGGGATCGGCCGACAGCAGCGAAGATCTGGTTCGGAAGCTCCTGTTTTCGGAGACTTTAAGGAGCTTGCTTTACCTTTGACATACTCTGACACCTCGGACTCCGATCCCGCCCGGAACCGTGTTCCTAGGTGACGATCTCGACAACCTGGAGACTTCCGAGGGGTGTCCCCGCGTGCAGCTCAGCTCCTCCGGACCTGTGGCCATTTTGTAGGCCATGTCAAACCTTGAGACATTTGCAATGCCAGCAGGATGTTGTTGCGTTTGCTGCATGCTGAGGGACTGCGACCATGTCGGCATGGGCATGAGGCTTCCAACAATGAGACATCACGAGTACCCATAGCCATATGCAGACTTCGGGTTGATGCCAACAAGAAACCGAACCAAACTGACTTGACAGCCTAGCAACAACGTCCTGTGAAATGTCAACCCCACAACAGCAACATCTGCCTATCAGCAGACAATTTACCCTGATACGGCTGGCTGAGCAAGGCACATGTTCATCTTGTGCACTTTGACATCGTTCCCGCCACCAGCTGTGAATCGAGAATTCACCTCAGGCGGGCAGCAGACAGCCAAGCTGCAGCTCACCGTGCGAAGGACCACCCTAAACTGTAGTCATGGTAATCTTCAAAGCAGGGCAACTTGTAGCAGTCCGGACTTGACGTCAAGCTGCGGTTCAAAAAAAGTGAGAACGACATAGCTGACATAAACCGAGACCATGCTCTGAAACCAAAGCGCCGGGCTCGGGTGCACCGCATGAACGTCCACGCCACGTGCCTTGCCCTCAACAGCAAGGCTTGCAGCCAGCTCCTCGGATTGGCGAAGGGCTCGCAATCTCTTCCAATGTTGGTGGGTCTTATGCAGGCCATCTTACGAAGCACGAGCATGTCTAAACATGACCGTTTCGACGACAGAGATTGATATCTTCACCGGAATACAGGTGAACATGGTGAATCGCTTTTCTTTCCAGTGAAGGGACTGATAGCCCTGACTTGGTGCAGCCGTACCTTAGCCATGCCATGCTTTTGCAGCAACACGTGCAGGAGTCACAGGCTGAAGCTTGCTGACAGCAGCTGTGTGACATGTGCATGCCGCCGCCCATCGAGCCCCGAGTCGGCAGGATTCTTCACGCTGCTGAACATGGCAATCGAAATCACACGATTGAGTCTCTCCTTCTGCTTCCACGCAGCATTGCAGCAAAAGGGTTTGGAATGAAGCCCGCAGAGGACGATGTGAAGACAATGCAGCCTTTCAGGCCCTGCAGACAAGGCCGGCAGTTGCCGGGTCAAAAGCTGCTAGACTGCAGTTGCCTTGCTGATGAGTCTGCTGTAGAGGTAGTGGGTGAGGTGTATGTTTGCGGTGAGATTGCAGTGGAAGTTTGCAAGGTGCGTCTCGACCGAGTGCTGCTCGAAGAAGCCTGGAAGCTTGAGCATGCTTAAGCCATCTATGCAGCCTTGCACTTCCCTCTCTGGCCTGTGACGATGAAGCCGGCGTTGTTGAAAATTACTTGGACATCTATGTCCTGCCGAGGCTGCACCGGTTACAAACAAAGCTCATGACTCAAGCATGACCTTTAATGCACAGAGGATTCTGAATCATGCTGGTTCGAGAAGGATCCTTGGTTGCCTCTTTAACGTCTGCCATCCAGGACCCAGAACTGTCCGACAAGTTTGCCTCAGCCATGTCAGCTCCACCAGCAACGTCGCAACATCAAGCAACCAACGGCGGTGCCATGTGCAGCTGAAGAATGAGCAAACCAGAGCGCCTTGACGCTTCGGATAGTCGCTTTCGGAAACTCTTTTTTCAGCTCCTGGCTGGGGCAAAGCCAATACCACTATCAGAAACATGAAACACAGCTGCCTGGGATCTGCATGGAATCAACTTCTGAAGGTGCATATGTGAGCTCGGACTCAAGATCTGCGAGTCAATCATACACATAGCAGCGATCACCTTTAAGGTCTCTTCGAAGATCGGCTCGTCACCTCCATGCTTCATTCTCTCTTTGCATTGCCCCTTGCCTGTCAGTTGCCTGCATTCCACTTCTCCCGAATTTGGTGTGTCCAACTCCAGGCTAGCCCTAGTTGCACGGAGTCCCGTGGCTCTCTGCTCCCGACGCTCAACGACACACTCCCTCAGCAGTCTTCCATGTTAGTTCGGCTAACATGCAAACTGAGCGCGGGGCGCGCTATGATAATCAAATTGAGCCCTTGGGATAGCAATTTTCGCGCCAGCTCCTGCGCGAGATGATGAGATGATTGGCGTGCGAAGCTTCTGCACGCTTGCAACTCCGACCCAAAGGCATTCCACAAAAGGCGGTGCCTTGCCAATTCCTGAGGAGCCACCTGAGATTCAGATTCCTTTCTGCAGTTCAGGGCGAGCTCTGGAATCGCATGCAGAAGCACAATGGGATAAAGAAGCAAGAGCATGATGCGTGCTGCCCAGGAGCCAGTCACGAGCGACCAGCTCGCGCCGTAGCGTTCTTTCAGATTCTGTGGTCCCAGCAGCCTGCCGTGAGTTCGTTGGTGTAGTGTGTGGCCGTGTCTTCCATGTGCAAGGGCATAAGATGGCCGGCCTGGGGACTAAAGAGTTCAAAAGGAGGTACCTCTGTGGCCCAGAAGGTGCAGCATTTCCCAAGTCGTGGTAGGTAAAAGTTAACACCTCTGTCACAATTACCAGTACCATGCTTTCGTAAACTCGTGGCTCTCTCATCGCACGCGCATCAACCAATGCAGCTCAGCTTCAGCACTGGCGACGCAAGCAGCAGGCTAAAAAGCAACAGGAAAAACATGGCTAACAACTGCGGCCAGATCCTACAAACTACCTGAAAAATCTGCGGCGGGACGGGTAGAATACCATAAAGAATTTCTGCAGCAGGCTAGGCGGCTAGCTGCAAAATGGACTGAGGAGAAGGCCGTGCCGGAAGCGACCTTGCACTCCCCCTCTACTCTTGTGCAATACTTATGCCGAAGCGTATGCAACGCGACGGACATCCAACTCCGCTGAAGTTTTACGTGCTTTTGCGGGAGGTTGCATTATTGAAGCTTTGTTGATGCGAAGGAGTAAAAAACTGTTCTACGGCCGGCTCAATTCCGTCATGCCGATGGCTTGAAGCGTATTTCCCGGACCTGCACTTTCTGCGAGTTAAGTTTTAACACGAATGAACTCATGGCAACATCCGAAGTATTTACACTTTGTTCAGTTCGCCTCGGGTTTCCCTGTTTCCCCGTGACAATCTCATGTGCTGAAGGCTGTGTATCACGATGCTGCGGACTGCCTCGCAGAAGGGATGACATTCCGAGATTACAATTTCTGTTCCGGTGTGCGATGCTGACAAGCGACAGCTCAGCCTGGACATATTGCAAAAAGAAGCGGTTGTTGACAAGTTGCGTTTCAGCAAGACCTTGAGCTTGCTTGCTAGAATTGTATCAGCATGCCGAATGGATGCCAGCTCTCCTGTGAACATGTTTCCGCTGCACCTCCCAGCCTCGGGCGGCCGGCGACACGCAAACCTCGCTCAAAGCGGGGCTCGGCTCTTCGATTCCCTCGAGGAGCCTGATCTCTGCCTCGGAGGGGTCTTCGCCGTCACCCTCCACAGCAACCCGCCGTGCGATGATGCCACCAGCACCACCTCAGGCGAAGCTTGGAGGGACAGTCACAGAAGTCTGGGGCAAGGTGAACCTCTGTAGTTGTAGCAATGAGTAATGGAGGTCGGGATGTCCGTAAATTGACTGCCTAAAGCTGGACGAAACATCGCCTTCGCTTCGAAGCAGGCCATCTCCAAGTCGTGTGCCCACTGTCCATGCCTTCGCTTCGACTCGCAGTGGAGCGGGTCCCCCGAGGATGTCTGCAGCAAACCGATCTATCTATTTGGTATAAAAGTTGGGCGTGGAGTCGCCCAAGAGCCACCGCATTTCCGGTCGCACTTCTGCCAAGAGCCAGGCCCCAGGCTTTGCTCTTCGCTCCTTTGTAGAGGAAAAGGCACCGTGCCTCGCAACGCCATGCAACGCGAAGGGCGAAGGACTCTTTCAGGTTGAGAGATGTCACAGTGTCTGGAATGCATGATATGCATGTTCGTGACAGTTCTAGCTGTAGGGCCTCGCGGGAACTCTTTGGGGAGGCAGCTGCGCTGACCTTGGGTGCGAGGGTCGGGCAAAGACACTCGCCTATGTCTCAAGCCATACGACCTCTTGCAGACATGTTGCCCAAACTGGGGTGACTTCCAAGTCGCTTGCGACCTGTGAGCACCAGGGTGCTCGCGAGTCTCCAGCTGCAGATATGCTTCATGCATGCTGCACATCCCTTCATGTGCAAACACACCCGCGACTTTTGCTTTATTCAGCGATCAAAGCTCCTACTTCCATTCGGAAGTAGCCGCCGTGCTGTGGAACCTACTTCGTTAACCAGCCCACCTGCCATGTAAAGGGTTGCCTGGCATTGAAAGCTCGTCATCTGCACGGTACAGTGGTTTTCGAAATTCCTAACTAAAGCTGCTGCGAGTGCTGCTGCTACCGTGAGTTTAAACTTGAGCTGCTTAGTCGGAGGCACCCGCCCCTAGCATAGCAATATTAGTGCAACCACCAGCACATACACACACACACTATGCCCATTCTCCCTGTTACCAAGTACCCCCGCTTCTGCTACAACACAACAATTACTACTACTGCTCTTGTTGCTGCGCTGCTGCTACTACTGCCACTTCTACTGCTACTACCACGACCACGACCACCACCACCACCACCACCACCACGACCACGACGACAACTATTACCAGTATGATGATGTTTCTTATTAATAGCAGCAGAAGTAGTGGTAGCATTCGTGGTAATGGTAGTGGTGGTGGTGGTGGTAGTAGTAGTAGTAGTCATACAGCTAGTAATACTAGAATCTAGAAAACTACAAGTGCTGGGACTAGTACTACTACCACCACTGCCATGGCGACGAGGACCACGACCACGACGCCGACAACTACCACAACATATTGACGTTGTTTGTCTTCTGCTTCTTCTGCAGGAATTGCTGCAACTATTGTAAACTGATCTTCCGAGACTTTTAGTGATTTTAGTAAGAGTCAGCAAGACTCTTGTGTGCGGGCACAAAGCCCATCTAAAACAAATGAGGTGGACAGTCGTTCAGGTCATCCAATCGCAACTTGGGCGGATGATACTTTCAACGCTCTCAGGTAAATTCTGCAGGCATGGTGGTTGCAATTGCTCTCGAAAGTTCCGATGCAGCAGAATGCAGTGGTGGAACCTGCGAATGAAGCTTGCGGTCTCTCAGACATCATGTCGGCTCTTGCGGTAGAACGACCATCTCTATCCGACTCATCGCCTCAAACTTCAGGTGCCACGGGGGCGTGGAAGCGGGCAGAAGGCAAAGCGCAAGGCAAGATACCCGTACAAGCCACGAAGCAAAACTCAGCTGGGTCCGGTCTGGAACACACTATGGCATGGCGACGCTGGATAGGTGTAAGAATTTGTCTGAGTCGCCCCGTACTAATTGCGAAATCCAAACTTCACCTATTCGGCCGAAGTCACATCAGCCATGTCCACGAGAATGGACTGCACATGCCGCAGCCTTTAGTAGAATGCCCTCTTTTCGAGACGGCGGCTCTTACAAGAATGCGCTCCTGCGAGTAGGCGGTCTATGTTAGGGTCTGTCTGGGACCAGAAGTGGCAATGCGAAATCTGAGGTGCCAGCATCAGGTCGACACAAACAATGTCGCCTCGCATCACGACAACTGAAGCATCGTCACTGTTGCCGTCCTCCACACGGCATTGCATACTACTGTTTGCTGTGTCTGCTGGTTTGCCGTAGGCCAATCTTCACGGAACGCAAAAGACAAGAAGACTTCGTCCTACACCGCCCGCGGATCCAGAAGGGCAACCAAATGCCACCAAGTATCTTCTGCGAGCTTCCCCGCGGAGCCTAGCAGCTAGCAGGCGTAATGGTCCCATTTGAAACCTAATCAAATGACAAACTGAAAGAAGCGACCCGAAACCTGTCTCCTTAGCCATGAGTGCACCGTAAACGCATGGTCATGGGGCTCGTAAGATTAAGATCCCGACTGAAAGGCTAGTCTAATTGAGGCTTCCATCGTCATTCGTTGTGCTTATCATCGTCCCAAGTTTGAATTTCCTATTTCTCGCGAACCCAATCGGAAACGAGCCGTCCTCACTGAACACGGTTTCAAGTTCTCGATTTCTGAATTGAGTTACCCTTTTGGACGCATTATAAACGAACTCTTTAATTCTGCAGACAACTGCTTCGACGTTCGCCTGGACTTGTTACCATTACGTTGCCATTACGGCCCATGTCTGAGCTATCCGAATGCGAGAGTAGTCTGGGATCATGCAAGCAACTCAAGAGCGACATCATGACCATTGATGGCTGCATACATTGGACTCGTCCCATGCAAGTTTGTTGAGAAAGCATCCAGCAAGCCACGACTTATCCCTGCGAGAGGTTTCTGCAGAGTCGTGCCGAACAATTCTTGCATGACGGTTTTGCAGGATGCATCGAGGCAGTTCCGACTGCCAGGTAGCTTGCATGGGTACTCTAGCATTAGATTTGTCTCGGCATTCTTCCGCAGCTCACGTGCATCACATGCCTCCGGATTCCGGCAGCAATGTCCATAACCCCGATGGTGCCACCATTGTCCGGGTCAAAAATGTCCGACAGCCGGCCCTTACCGCTGGAATCTGTTGCTGTGAGCAGGAACCATTGCAATGAAGCAGAGGTGCGTGATCGAGCGGGTTGATATCCAGATCCATGAGAGCCTGCGGTTGTCATCAGCATTCCCGTGCTCATGTACACAGGCCAGCTCTGATGCCACAGAATGGTGTGACCATGTGTCCGCGCAGCCCAAGCCTGCTTAGCTTCGTGGTCAAAGATGACCTGTAGCGGGCCGATGACTCTCCGAGGTACGTCCCTAACTGGCCTACGGATTCCGCCTGGTCGATGGTCTCCCTGGGGACCTGGGCTCGCACGATCGTGTCCAGGTGCTCCGTCAGAGCCTACAACGGAGGGCTCAACTTCGATTCTTCCCGTTCGATCTCTCACCTTCAATTCAATGTGAACGTGTTATCCATGTTCGCTATGCCCTCGTGTGCTTACAGCTGCTGCCACCGTATGATACCGCATGCATGGATGGCTTCGACTCGCGCACTCGCTCAAGGCAGACACAGATGTACATTCTCCGCACCTGTCCCGGATCTGTTCCGGTGGCTTTGATCATGATCCGCCTGCGGTAAGACTATCCCTTACTCTCCTCTGTCTCCGGGTTGCAGGAAGCTGACAGCACGCACGTCCAAAGCAGGAATTGCATGCTCGTGCTCGGGATGAGTTATGTACACCCTCATGGCTGCACACTCAGCCTGACCAGAATAGCAATGCGGGTGTACAGCAAGCCCTCATCCTGAGCACAAGATTCTCAGAACGCAGCATGCCTCGTACACACACCTTTGCGGTCAATTGCCACGAAGCTAGTCAGTGCTGTGCCACACAAGCCCAATTCATTGAAAACCGTTGCTGTGTAATGTCAAGCCTGGGGCCTGTGGCCCTCAGGCCCTCTTTGCGATGGGAGACGACATCATATGACAAGCTTTGAATTAAGCTGCGTTGCCTGCAGCCGCTCCCTTCGCTTCAGATTGGAGATGTGAGCAGCAGCTTCCATGGTGCTCTCTACGAACATCGCACTGATGACGTTGAAGAGGACAATTTCCACCAAGATTGTGAAGCAACCATAGAACCTGGATCAAGTCGCGAGTGAATCATATCTGCATGTTTTCGTGAGCCTGGAACCTGCAAGCTACTGTATGATCTGGACATCGCGTCTCAAAGCTTCACGCATACACAACCTCGAAAGGATGCAGTGCATTTTCGTTGTCTGTTAAGTGAGCTGCTGCGGCATTGGCGTTTCGTACATGGAAGCCAGAAACCAAATGGACACGTAGGAGACCGTAGGAGCCAAGTGCATACCTGGTTGCATGCCCAACACTTCGCCGTTCTCGTTGTCTTCCAGCACCTGAATTTGGACGGAGACACGCTTGTGACAGAATCTAGGGAACCTAGGGGCACATCATTCGCATCTCACAGTTGGTCCTACGATCGTCTAATTTTCCGAAGCGCTGCCTTTACGTGGCAGTGCGCACTAATTTGCACTCCGTTCTGGTCAACCCCGAACAGTCGGCTTTTATGTGAGTCACGTCAATAATCAATGCGTCATGACTCAATGCAGCCGTGTGGCATACTCAAAAATTGGAACACCTGACTCCGTGACTGGATGCTTGGGAAGTTATTTGGGACTCCGGCAATCACCTTTCGAGTATAAATTGCCAGGGAGGCCCATCTTGGAGTTGCAGTCTCCGAAACTGCAACGAAATGTGGTGAACCATGCTCTCGGTACCTGAGTTCCGAGACCCTGTGAACACAGTGTGCATCTCGGCCAATTGAACGGCATAAATCCTCAACCCAGGAGCATTATTGAATAGCTGGAAGACGTGCTCCTGTGTCCACGCGGAAGCATGCAAGGACGGTACTGTGACAGCACCACAGATAAGCACCGACCATTAAAAAACCAAAAGACTGGACAGTGGCTGAACCTGAGCAAAAGAGTGCAGCTATCATGGTGCCCAGTGCCTAGGGCCTAGTACCCTGAGTTTGCTGCATGCTGTGGCAGCAACTGGCCCTCCGTGCTCCGCGCGTGTATGTGTGTGTCTGTCAGGGATTGGCAGGGAATACGCTTCCAATGAAAACGCACCTTTGTGATGCAGTGTGTTCTCCAAACAGCATAAATTGCACCCTTCCGCACGAAACGCTTCCTACAAGCACACATACCTCAAATACAGCTTCCCGAAGCTCGAGAAATGAGAACGAGACACAATTAAAATCTCGACAATAGGCTCAACCATACTGGACCTACACAAAACGAAGGAGCATCACACTCAACATCATGCAATGTCCTTCGAAGGTGTCTCGGCAGCTCTGCCCAGCGTTTCTCGAAAAACCAATGCAACCACATACCTCTTTCCATAAACAGGGCAGCAAGAAAGTCTCCGTTTATGCTCAGTTTTGCATGAAACGCATTCAATGCATGCTTGCCGTGGAGTTCAATCGTGAGCCTGGGTGTTTATCAGTCGATGCTGCTCTCAGCAAGGAGCTCTCTTGGGAATTCGGGCCTGGCTGTCTTCTGAGGAAATATACCGAACAGGACACACACGTCGTAGTGCAGATTGCAATATGGCAATCCTTGCATCCATGCTGCATGACGATCGCGAAAAGGAGCAGCGACCAAACCTTGCGTGAATCTACGAACATTGGGCACCTAGCCGCTGCCTAGCCGGGCCTAGCCACCTGTTGGGGCAAGTGTGCTTCTGGCGAGCAGTTTTCATCACGATTGCCACTCGTGCCTCCTGCATTTGGCCTGTGCTATCATCCAGACTAGAACCCACTCTGCATTCACCAACTAACTCAAGCTCCGAGCAGCTGTGGTGTACATTCCAGCAACAATCCCATACATCCTCGGCTGGTTTGGGGTGCAACAATGCTCTTGCTCATGAAGGCGAAACGTTCTTCCTGCAGGGCATGGGAGAGCAGCAATCTGAAGCTAAGAAAGTCTCCTGAATACTGAGCAACAGGCAGAAAATTCACCGTAGCGCTGTGACAAAGCATCACCACCCATCATGAAGTGCGCGTACCGTTCTTTGCAGTGCCGTCGAAGCTTATCGCGCCCAGTAGGCTGTGAACGCACATCTGCCGTATTTGCCAGAGTCTACAGCTGCACATGAAGAAAGTTCATACATCTACCAAAACTTCACAATCCCAGCACATATTTCTGCGTTCTCCCCAGCTCAGTTCACCCAAGCTTGAGTGAACAGCCCTGTCGAGGAAGTGTGCCAAGTTTCTGATGTGGGCAACTGCATGATGTATTAAGTAATTATGTCAGATGTCTGCTCCATTCACGCAACCTCTTCAAAGCGGAGTTTCCAATTTTGGCCAGACAACAAGGGCTGCTGTTTCTGCTCCAACAGTGCTCCAACACAGCATGTCACTAGTTTTCCAGGTCTAAGTCGCGTAGAACTTGCAGGGTTTTAATCAGGGGCGACAAACAGATGTTTCGACACGGCATCAGCCTGCCGGTACGCATCGCGGGATCTTTTTGTGCGTGCCCGAGGGTCTGTAGCATGGTTCTCAGAGTTTCGGGTGCAAAAATCCAACAGGTATCGGTACAGGGTACCCCGATTTTTCAGGCAAAGTAGCAACCGAGTTTATTCAGTCGCCAAGGGAGAGGTGTTTTGTTTCTCGGAGCGAGCCCAGTCTTCGACAGGCCCTCGTCACCGGGTAATGCTGGAGGATTTGACAGTCATTTCCGGTTGGCGGGTCTGGAGCGTGCTTCGAACGTTCTGAATCTCCCTCGTGCCACGCGGGCTTGGGCATCACGAAATTAGGTGGGAGCATTGGTCAAGGAAGGACCCAGGCCTCCAGGGTTTCGTCTTCCAGGTATGCCTTTTCCAGCTCCGCCAATGTAATGAGGGCTTCTTCTTCCTGCTCCGGAGTACAACCATGCGCATGAAGTACCCCCCACAGATATTTCCAGAGCTTCCTGATTTTCCTCCTTTTCCTCCTGTACCACTTTGCCTACACCTGGACCTAAGGGCGGGTGTTATCCGCTTGGCTTCGAAGCGCCACATGGTCTTGGGCCTTCCCGCCGCGGTTTGACCTGCGGCGCTTAAGGGCATGCTGGCTGTCCCGGATCACTCAACGCACTTGGTTCTAAGGGGGAGAGGTCTTGGCACTGGACTGCGGTAGGACCAAAAGACTCAGTAGAGAAAGAAAAAGGGGGGACACGGAGGGACACCTCAACAGGCACCTCTGCGAAGGAATTGCCAGCAGGAGTCCTGTCCGAAGTGCAAAAAATGGAACCACCTCGACGAGAGGCCCTTTCAAAGAAAGGATTTAGGCATGTGCAATCCCGGGGATGCTGCCTGTCGTAGGTAAGAACACTTCAGCAAAAGCACGAGAGCATCGGGACTCTTGGAGGAAGCCACCTCAACCTACAACACTCTTACTCGGCGAAGGGCAAACAAGCTCAGAGCGGGAAGCAAGCACCTTTGGTATACGAGCATCCCACGCTTGTCAATTCCTGCAGTTGTAGTCTGGCCATTGACATGAACAAACAGGTTGAGATGCGTTCTGCTTGCAACTGCCTTCGATGTGTTTGGACGGTTTTCTGTCCAGCCTTCCCCGATGTGCCACACGTGTGATGTGCGCCCGATAGCAGAATGGCCCTTTTGGCGAGCTCTACACAGTCACGCTCCCCCGAATCATCGCCTTAAGCTCAAGAAATCCTGCTGCCTTGTGCAAATTGGACTGTTTCCAAGGAGGGGCGAATGTTGCAACTGAGCGTCAGCTCTGCTAGCTCCTTGAAGGTGTCTGATTTGGTCACCTAAATGGTGTCAGGCCCGCTTAGGGGCGGCAAAGGTAAAGCGGCTAGCAGTTGGCGCAGCTTAGCTTGACCAGCCAAGCCGAAAACTTAAGCAAAGCCTTCTTAGCCCAGCGGCTCGCAAGATACCTCAGCTATTCTGCTTCGGTTCTGCTTGCGGAGATTTGGAGCAAGGGGAACATCCCATCAACAATGGTCACAAGCTTCCGGAGGGCGAAAAGACTTACTGCGTATACCGAGCCTGCTCACCTTCTTCAATGCTGCATTGTGCAGATTTGGAAGAAATACCATGAGTCCGATGTAGCGCACACCCCTTGCTGCCCGGCGGCGCGTGAGACGGAGGAGACGAATCATTCGGAATAGCGAGGCGGATGGTGTGTCTTCCATCATGGCCGAACCCCTCAAAGGCATAGCTTCTCAGGGTCGCCAATATGCAACACTGAAAGACTGAAGTTACTCTCGGAAGCCGGCATCGTTAGCTCCATCCACACCTGCTGACGCGAGAGAGCTTCATGAATGCCAAACTTCCGGACAGCGACTGCCGAGACCAGCCTGCACGAAGTCAATCAGAATGATAAAGCTGTCGAAGCCTGGCTTTGCGAGAGCAAGCATGTGACAGGATGCCGAAGCCGAAACATGCCGAACAAAATCACAAAGCTCCACGCTGTGTCTGGATTCTACCAGTAGCCTTACTTGCTCTGCAAACTTCGCGTTGGCAACATACTAAAGTCATCATCTGAACAAGCTCAGCTGCATCACCGACGGCGCGCTTGACTAATCCAATCGTGACTGTCCAACATGTCGCAGCGACAATTCATCCACGGCGTGCCGGTGCAGAAATGTCCACGAAATCCATTCATGTAGACCTTGCTTTCCCAATTTCTGTAGCATGTATCAGCTGGTTCAAGGGTGAAGCCCATGCTTGTGCATGCCCGTTGATGGCTCCAATCCGAGGGGCCTTAAACACAATTTCAAGAAGGAAGATGATGGAAAATACCTCAGTGCCGTGAACATGTCCGAGCGGGGCCACAGAAGACATCCCAAACACGGGGTGTTCGCTTCAGACTTCCGGCATGAACACGGACTTCAGAAGCGGCCACGAAAGCCAGGGCCAAAGAAGGAACCACTGTCGACTGAACTCGGGCAGCGTGGATGCAAGCACGTATGTAGTGCCACGAAGGGTAAGCCTGCAAGATGATAGCACTATTCTGCTTTACACCGGCCCACATAAAGATACACCCTTGTCGTATCGTAGTGCCTTGACCGTCCTCATTGCGCGTCGGAGTGTCCCTGCGTAAGCAATAACTCGGCCATCTACGAGCAGCTTCGATCTGTCCTGGTGGCAGCTTAGCTCATTACTGAGGGGTCAGACGTGAAACCTGCTACGTGGACGCACTCGGCCATGTGAGCACAAAATGCAAGTTGCCATGTTGCTTAAACAGATGGACCGTGATGGACCTTGAGGTGGGGGGTGCCCTTGCGTGATGGCGCGGCCCTCCCCCTGCCCCCATTGTGAACGGACCAGATAAGGTCCTGTGTGCAATTTTGACGTAGTTCTTTACTACAAGCGAATGGTAGACGCTCCACAGAGCTAGCTTTCGCGACCTGCTCCTCTGAGTGCTCTCAAACCAGCCATCGACCAAGTCCCGATGCAGGCAGAGTGCCAGGTTGGCAACGATCCATGGTAATGATCCGTCAGACCAGTCCATGCTCACGCCAAGGAATGCCGCCTGCACAGACGGTCATTTCAAATCCAATCATCGGCATTGCGCTCTTGCGTACATCTCTTGCTTTGCAAGGGCCCGAGGGATTTTGGGGCAGCTCCCAGCCATTGCACTCTTGGACATCCAGAACACAACCACAAGTGGCTCTACAGGCTTTGATGCGTTCAAGCAGCATTGAGGCAAATGGTAATGCTCACGAACCTTGGTCTCCGGTACTGCATTTGTCTGTACTCGATGTTGCTGCCCAAGGCTTACAGACGTGTTGTTGGTCCACCGATGAGGCTTCGATCGTTCGATGCGAGGATGCATCTCCAGGCCATTAGTTTGTCGTTGACGGCTCAAGACCTCCGTACGGCAAGGTTATGGATATGGATCCTGAGGTGGAAAATCGAGATGGAGCATCCTTTTCGGGGCTCAGTTCTCGCACATTCATTCTACTGTTGTGGTTGGGCCATCTGCACTCAAGTTCCAGCCATCTAGATCAAGACTTGGTCGCAAGGAGACCAGCCAAAGAGAAACGAGGCCCACCCGCATTCACAGCTTTTGTCTTGCTCGTGTCTCGAAAGAGCACTCCACACGGCTTATCGGAAACTTATGACGTACTGCAACGTACAGCGTGACAAACTGCTCTCGCCCGCAGTTGTCATGAGTCATGACTGCTCCTGCGAATGCCGAGAAGTCATTTGCTGCATGATTACGCCTCCCTCCATCTCCCTCCCGCGCTTCTTGCCTTAACTTATTCCACTGTTGCCGCGATCCCCGCGCGCAACGTTGCAGATTGCTTGCGCTCTGCCTGCGAAGAAAGAGTCCCTGTCGACCACCAACGTCCCGCCAAGGCACACGTCCAATGCCATAGAGAAGCGCTCATTCGATTTCCTGAGTCGATCCCTCCTTCCAAGTGTTGGCAGTGCGAACAGAAACTGCCAAGACACCAAATCTGCCACATCTGATCATACCAATATCGAAATCCTCCGAGCAGCAAGCCAGGTTTTGCACTTGTGCAAACATTCCCGGGTGCGAGGAGTCTGCATTTAAGCTCCGCCAGGGCACTGTCTCTTTGGGCCATCTTGAGCTTGAGCCTCAGTCTGCGTTTGCGCGTGTTCGGACACGGCAACTGTCCTTAAACACAGAACATTCAGCTGATGGCTTGTCGTCACTTGACCCTTTAAGGGCATAAAGAAACGGCTTCCAAGGACCCGGCTGCGATCTAGAGCTCAATGCGAAGGTTTCTCAGCACCACACTCCTGCTGCATGACCATCTCGGCTTTCTCGAACATGATCTTCAGATTCTTGGTTGAACAAATGCCGCTGAATGCTACTGCCTGTAGCCATGGTCCAATGGTGAACACACCACTGAAACATCCTGGCTAACGATTGCAGCTTTGCAGCGTGTCTCATCTCATCTTCAGGAGACCTGACAGTGACAGTGTTCTTTCCTCACGCTTCCCTCTGTGCCAGACTTCTGCTCGCAGGCAAGCAAACATTTAAGGAGACTGTTCCCGCTTGCACAAGGCCGTACTGCCGTCAAGCTGCCACGTCAAAGCCTCCTGACCATCCTTCCTGGAGAGAGACAGCAGCTCTGGGGTAGCCAAGTGGGTGCAACAACGGCCCCTCGCAAACGTCTCTATATTCGGATGAGGTTCACCAGGATGGATTGTCGGACGTTCATTCTGTCGTGCACCTGAGTTCAGAGACTGTCCCATCTGGGCTCGGTTCTCTGCCAGATTTCGCTTCCAATCGTGCAAACAGTGCTTGAGGAAAACAAGGCATAGTCGTGAGTGCGAGGCTTGTTTCAAGGAGAACAACCCAAAACTGGGCTTCATGTTCTCCTCTGCATCCTCGACGGACTCTCGATCATCTACCTCGTCCTCGACGCCTGCGAATGAGCCAGATGAGGGTGGGGGTGGAACGGGTTGCCAGAAGTGTGCAAAACTGGTGCGGATGGCTCTTGATGAGTGTTGGCTAAGCCAGCAGGACTAGGTGCGTCTAGGTTCTCGACATGGCCACTCGCACCAGCTAATAAGGAAGTGTCAACTCGGCCGTCGGTGGTTTGGGATCTCGGGTTTGTGTGGCCTTGCGCAAGAATGAGGCTAGAACACTCAAACACAAACACATTAGGACGGCCTTTCCTCTACGCTTTACACCAGATTTTTGTGGTAATGTGACTCAATGAAACGACCAGAACTGAAACTCCTTTATGAGTGCAAGTCAGAAGCCACATGAATGCCATGCCTGGAACCCCTATGCCCGGCCGGGCTGAGCATTCACCACCGACAAAAGCTCCGAAGCAATGAAGACTTGTAGTGATCCGCATTGTAGTTTGGCCGACTTGGCAATCACACTCGGAAACATGTCTTGGGTGTACGGTGAACCTGCCCCAAAGTCGATCAATCAACTGTGGGTCTCACCAGGAGCTTTGAAGTATCTGGGCTTCCCGTCTACATGTTCTACCCCTGTTAGTACCTACAGTGACTTCCAGAAATTCGGAACATGGACTTAGGATGATTAGTACTAGGATCCCTTACATTTTAGCTTAAGGGTGCCAGGAGAACGGTGTTCCAACCCATATGTCGAAGCTCCTCTGAATTTCTCTTTAATGATGCCTTAGCTCTCTTTACATGTCTTGTTCTTAGAAGTGTTTGACCGACTTCACGGAAGCACAAGCCACGCATCAAACTCGTGCACAAGAGACGATCCTGGGAGCAGCGTCCACACAAGCAAGGACAACGGAAGTCTGAGCAAGTCAGATCTCAAAAGCAGCAGCATTTTGCTTGTCGGGCCGGCCTTCTTGATCGACAGCACTGCTCACGCCGTGAGTCATAGTCGGACCATGCCGGAGGCCTCCTTTGGGCCGGACGGCTTTTGCTTTTCCGTCGCGACTGTGACCATGATGAAGATGTGGGCTGACTAGGAAGTTGGAGACGTCGCCTCAGCCATGCAAGGGCAGTCCTCGTGCAACTGCTTACCGAGAAGGCGGAGATGCTTGGCTTGGACAGAGGCATCGTGCCAAGTTGCTCCCAACCTGATGTAGTACTGACTGCAGTTCATGCTGGACGTCCAAGATGGAAGACAGCTGTCGGCGAATCATTGCCAACTCCTGATGCTGTGCACGGTTCGAGAACACAACATCGGTCCCGTCATGTCTTGTCCCTCTGGAATGCTCAGGATCCAAAGTCCTTGACTCCAACTCTTCCGAAGTGAGCATTCCCGCCCTACTGCAACTCCATCTCCGTACATTGTCGAGTTACGCTCTTAGGCTCAAAGCCGCTAAACCTGAAACGCTAAATCGTGAATTATTCCCATCTCACACCGGCAGAGCCCAGCCTGCTTGATGCCGCCAAGATCGGGCAGGGCGTCGCCACTGTGGAAAGCCGTTGACGGTCCTCCGGCAAATGGGAGCCAAAACATAGTTAAGTCTTCATGAAGCTTCCGTGCTCACTCTTTCTGAAAATGAGTCAGAACCTCCACCTGTCTCGTGTCGTTGCAGGTGAACCTTCGACGCCTTTGTGTCCAAGCTCGCCTTGTGAGTGCGCGAACATGCGATGGAAGTTCTGCATGTCCTACCAGCTCGCGGTGCGACGGCACTGCGCCGACATCTGCCTTTCGGGCGACAGAACATTGCAGCCGAATAGCTTCTCCTTAAGCGCGGCAGCGTGCAACACTCACCTTGCTTGCCCTTTGCCGCCTTCTGGCGTGCACTGGTTGGCTCACCACGAGGCGGACGAGAGCTGCTGGCACTGGAGGGTCCGCGCCGAATGGAACCTTGAATGCCAAACTAGCGAAAGCCTTTGCCCGTCTGGGTTTTCTGAGCAGAAGACCACGGCACACGAACCCCAAGCAGTCTGCTTCCCAGATTCGAGGAATAGGTTCGATGATATTCCGGCAGCGTCCAACTTTCGTCATCTTTCGGGCGCATTACAGCATCCAGCTCTGCCTTCCGAGAGGCTTCGGCCCTCGCCTCGTCCGGGGCTGCTGCAAGACCTGAGTACTGCGCTGAGTCTCTTTCATGAATTACGATTATTTGCGCCTGCTCTGCTGTGTTCGGCGGAAGGTTCTTGTTTCCTAACGCTGGCGGTCCCCGATCTCATTTGCAAACGTTACTGTAAATTGCAGGATTTCCTGCTGTTTTGCATCAACTATTGGCAAGCTGTTGGGGGAGTGCAATTTCGAGTCTCCCGTCTCGTGTCACGCTATTGAAGAAATTACAATTTGCAGGGTCTTGCTTGGCTTCAAGATTTTGGGGAATTACAATTTGCAGGGTTTCGCGCTGTGTCAAGATATTGGGGAATTCCAATTCGTAGGGAATTGTTTTGCTCCAAGATATCGGGGGAGTGCAATTTCGATTCTCCCGTCTTTTGTCAAGCTATTGGGGAATGACAATTTGCAGGGTTTCGCATTGTGTCAAGCTATTGGGGGATTACAATCTCGAGGCTCCTGTCTTGTGTCAAGCTGGTGGGGTGTGACAATTTGCAAGGTTTTGCTTTGCACCAAGCTACATGTATTGGGGGAGGGGAGCGCAATTTCGAGGCTCCTGCCTGGTGTCAAGCTATTGGGGAATTACAACTTGCAGGGTTCTGCTTCGCGTCAAGCTATTGTGGAATTGTAATTCGCAAAGCTTTGCTTTGCCCCCAAGCTATTGAAAACAAGTACAGTTTCGAGGCTTCTGTCTTGTGTGAAGCTCGTGGGGAGTTACAACTTGCAGGGGCGATTCCGGTTCGTCATATTTCTTAAACACGCAAAATCAATTCTCGATTGCGATTCAGCATGCATCTTGAGCACGCCCCTTCATGTAGCGATTCCGGTTCATCATATCATAATCTGTCTTAAACACCCCCCATCATGTCCCCTCATTTGGCGATCCAGGTTCATCACACATCTTAAACACGCCCTTTCATGTGGCGATTTCGGTTCATCAAATATCTTCAACACGCCCCCTCCTATGGCGCTTCCCGGTCATCATAATAGGTACCAGTATATCTTAAGCACGCTCCTCATGTGGCGATTCCGGTTCATCATGGTTCATCATATATCTTAAACACGCCCTTCCCCCCATTGGGCGAGACCGGTTCATTATAAATCTTAAATCACATATTGAACACACCTAACACGCCCCCTCATTTGCCAATTCTGATTCTGCACTTTCGCTAAACTGCTAAACCCCCAACTTTTCAGAGACCCTGCCGCGGCAGGGCTGGGGGGGCTGCCGCCCCCCCATTTGCAACCTCAATGTCTGTATCAGGGGTTCTGAAAGGATCCATATGCGTGCGGTGTCTGCTGGCAGGATGTCATGTTGAATCGAACTTGCAAGGCTCAAATTAAACGAGCCGGGCAAAGCAGCGCACAACACTGACAGGGAGCCGGTTGTGTGTGAAGGATTGTCGATGGTGTCTTGATGCATGCCTGGGAAGGTCTCGTGTGTGAACCAGCATGGTTCGTGCGAAAACGTAGAAGCGAGAGAAGGCAGACATGACTTTGCATTCCGTGCACGCACACACGTGGACTTAACAGACACTCCAGATTTTTTGGCTCCCGCATAGCAGCGTCCAAGGACTCTACGTGGCTCCAGATAGATTGTGTTGTTGTTGTCGTCTTAAACACGCCTTTTCATGTGGCGACTCCGGTTCATCATAAAAAAGACAAAAAACACGCCCCCTCATGTGGCGATTCCGGCTCATGATATATCTTAAGCACACCCCCTCCCCCTATTGGGCCATTCAGGTTCATTACACAACCTAAACATGCCCCCTCATTTGGCGACCGAGGTTCATCACATATCTTAAACACGCCCCTCATCATGTGTCTTCATCAGGCCCTTGCTGTGTTCCTGTTGACAAAACCGTTCGTTCAGATGCGTGCGTGGCGTAGCGTGGCGTGGCGTGGCGTGTGCGTGTGCGTGTGCGTGTGCGTGTGCGTGTGCGTGTGCGTGTGCGTGTGCGTGTGTGTGTGTGTGTGCACGCCTGAACATGGCGAGTTGGATGACACGTCATTTTGCAGCAGGGGGGCAGTGAGCCTTCCATCATTCACTGCCCAACGAAGACAGTGCTGGAAGTGCTGTGAAGCAATCTGGGACGGCGGATTGTGTAGCTGCATTCGGATTAGCCAGTGGGCCCCTGAGGCACTGTAGTAACCAACCCTAGAGTGCATTTCTGCATGGTTGCTGCAATCTGATTTGCATCATGTAGTCCAGGGTTCATTGCATCAGTTCGTGCCAAGCCTGAGTGTGTGTGCGCGTGATTGTTGTGCGTGCGTGTGCGTGTTCTCCTCATAGTCTGGCTACGTCTGGCTCTCTGCGCACCGTGGCTTCTGTTTCATGGAAGCCTGCTAGACTCTGCTGCTAGACAGTGTCCAAGCTCGTGGCGGCCAGCACAAACCTGGATCGGAAGTGCGGCCCCTGCGTCCAACAAAAAGGCAAAAGACGGTGAGAATGCATATTATCCGGATTTGATTCTGATGTGACCGAATGTCCACCTGCATTTCGAGACTTAGCAACTCGGCAGGTCAGCAATGGATGGCTTCTTCTGACAAGGAGTTCACTGCGTGCTTCACGTGCGCTCCTCGGGGATGGCATCAGGCAACGGTCTGTTTGAGCAACTGTCGCTGGTGAATGTTCTCTCTAGTTTCTGAGCTCTGGAGGCCTATACTGCGGAGAAACTGCGGAGATCTGTGGTGGGCTTGCCGCTCGCTTCTGGGCTGCACATAGATTTTCATGCTCTTGCCCCGGCGGAGTCCAGATTTCAGCACTCCGCCTTGAGCGTGCAAACGCTGCAACAACCTTGACTGCAACCCTCGAGAAGCCAAGCAATATCTGGTGTGCCGATTCGAAAGCCTGCAACGCAGAACGGGCCCTAGGCTTAGTCTGAACATGTCTGAACATCAAAGCGACTTCTGAATCCATTGCCCTGCAATTGCCGCTGCAGCATGGGCCCACCTCGTATATGCCTCAGCTTATTTATACCACCAGCGGCACGAGCGCCACACCAAAGGACAGCAGGCTGCGGACGAACTTGAAAACTCTCCAAATGTCACGGGCTCCCGCACCGTTGAGAACGTCATTCGTTCCGCGCCGCCCGGTTATGCAACTCGGACAGCAGGGCAAGCACGAGGCATGAAAACGTTACGAAATGCAGTTCTGCAATTCCGACGCTGCGGTTGCTGTGCGATACTGAAACAGGTTTAACTGAACTGCAACCTGGACCAAAGAGCTTGGACTGTTAACCAAAGCAGGTTGCCCCAAGAAGGCACTGGGCTCCGCCACACTCGTCGTGGCAGAGGTGCTGGTTGTCGCAAGGACGAAGGAATTCCTGCGAACCCCACCACTCTGAAGCCAAACCTTCCACACCGTGCCGGATTTCCCATTTAATTTCATGAGATGTCACGGAGCACCTAGTGCTCGTAGAAGCGTCGCTCGTCCCTCCACACCTGAACCGCTGAAGAAGACCGGCACAGCATTAGTGTCCCATCGTGAAGCCTTCCCCATGCCAGGAAAAGTGCTGGATGGGCCGGTGGCGAACTACTGGTCAATACCATGAACAGTCCCGACGAAATATAGAAGAGAGCTTAAGTGTAGAGTACTATGAGAATCTAGAAACAAGTGTTTACAAGACTTGGACTTGGCCTGCCTGAGTCTTGGTGCCACAGACCCATGTGCACCGCCACCTGAGAAAGCTGCAAGGCTCTGGGACTCCGAGATGCTGTGGGCCTAGGAGAGCACTGGCTCTAGACTCTAGGTGCCATTGGACACCTGCTCTGAGCCCCCGCGCTGCTTGACCTCTTCTGTTTGTCAATGGGCTGCCAGAAGCCTGGCAAAAGCAACTAGCACCAGTTGATGTAGCACGACGAATCCGAGTTCGCGGACGCCCGTCTCCGGAAGATCGTCCGAAAGCACCTGAAACCACCAAGTGCACTGTCATGGTCGGGAATGCTCAGGCGCAAGGCCTCGAATCGCAGAATTTCGCCGGACACGGCCAGAGCTCGGCAGGCAAAGGTGCAGAATGCACTGCCGCGGCAGTAGCCTCGGCAGATCGCTCAGCCATTGGCGAGGGCAACGTTCAAAAGCGAAGGCACGGCTGCACTTCAAGGATCAAGGATGCGCAATGCAAAGCATCCGAGAAGCCATGCAGCAGCAGATCCTCAATTGCACACCAAGCATCGTCCTCCTAACTGTAAACAGTCAACGCCATGACATCTGGACCTGCCTCACCAGGCAGCGGAGACTCTGTCAGGTCCATCTCCTTTCCGGGGCCAGGAACATCCAGGAACCCATCAGCCACAGAGGCCGACACAGCCGAACACTACGCAGTCCTGAGGTTGCTGGTTTCTCGGCAGGCCGGCGGCAACTTCGGAGCAAACGCGCGTGATGACAACCTCTGCAAGCACAGATGACAGCGGCAAAAGAAGCCTGCATCAGCGTATGTTCAACCAAGCTCTGCCTTTTTGTTGCTTCGGCTATCTGCTTCTATCTCCGACCCTTCGGGTCTGTGCAGAATAGTTCGGGGCATTTGGAGAAACAGGCCCGAGTAATCGTCACACCGTGTAGCTGTCAATGCTAGCATGCTTCAACATGGACTCTGCGGCCTGCAGATAAACGAAACTGCGAGGGCTAGAGGCATCGTGTCCTCATTACCTCGGAGATTGCTCACTCACTTCACATCAAGCAACCGATTTGCAGCATGCCAGAGCATTAGATATGATTAGATCGAGCCACATTCGGGATTGTGATAATGACTCATGACCTAGACCCTCGATAGCGACAGCGGCGTTGAAGCACTGCTGAACCTGTTTGGTCGCATGCCTCGGGCATAAGGCGCCAAACGCCGGAAACGTCCCCAGGAGCTTCAGCAGCGCGCTGATGGGATTACCAGGTTGAGTCGAGCCTGTGTCACTGCATGCTTGGCATGGCTTTTCTCACTAGTGCTTCGTACTCGTCGATGTCCAGGCGATCATCACCTTGGAGAGGGAGGCATGGCATTGGCACAAGGCGTTCGCTGCCAGTGGACCGCTCTGCCCTGAGGGCATCATGACAGCCGAGACCGTTTTACGACGGCCAAGTGTGTCACAAATATCTCCACCAAGTATCAGTCTTGTTTCTATGGCTTCGCCTGTGGTTTCACGCCTTCATCAAACGTTCGTCTTGTGACATTGTGTTAATGCATAAGTTCTTCGTGATGTGACCAAAACCTGACTTTCCAATCAGAAGCCTCGAGCCCACTTGAAACCCGACTTACTATCATGTTCGCCTGCTGCATACGCTAATCAAGGTTTTAGGATTCTCTGAAGTAGACTCTGATCCTTCCATCCATGCCCGGGAGGCTCACATGCAGCATGATGTGAAAGAAAAAGATGGGATCTTTCTGATCTTTGGAGGATAGGCTCAGGACTGGGCAGGCACGAGCCAGGGCGACCGACTTGTTGCTGCCAAAACCGTTTCCGAACCAACGTGGCGCAAACGCATGGAAACATATGAAGCAGAAGTGTGCTCCTGAGGATTTCAAAGCATGCTGGGTGAACAGTTCGTCTGTGCCTGTTGCGGATCCTTCAGGAACAGGTTCACAACATGAGCCAGGATGGATGCTTCAATGCAGCTTTGGTGCCGTTGAGGTCTGCAGCACGAAAGACCTGCGCCACCTCCGAAGACACGAGGCTCAGAATGCAAGCTACTAGCAACAGCCGGCGTAATGTACTGCTGCCGGGAGCCATGGCGACACCGGCTACACCATCATATCGCTGTGCACTGCGCAAAACTCCTGAAGTCGTACTGGCAGCCCCGGCTGCAACATCAACAATAGGTAGCCAGGTAGGCTCTGAAGTTTCGAATTTTGAAAGCTGGCACAGATGCGCGAGCCTGTTCCGAGGTCAGGTTGACTCCGAGGGTCTGCAGGACAGCCTCCAATTCATTGACCTCAATGAATCCTCAGAAAGTGTGTGCGTTCTGTGATGCCTGTGAGGGAAGTCGATGCCCCGGTGTCAGCCCCGCTTGCTCAGCCAGCGGCCAGACTTGTTCGTGTCTATTGCCCTAAAGGCAGCCTGGAATTTCAGCTTCATCTCGGCCTGAGGCAGCTTGCACTAAGGAACAGGAAGGGCGGCCGTGATGCAGGAACGCACACGAACTTTGCCTGGTCTGACCCCAAAAAAGCCGTAAGCAACAATGCAGTGACAGGGCAAGGAACATTCTTCCAGACCTTCCAGCACAAAATGGAAGTGTTCAGGTTCCATCTCACCTGGAACTGGGACATCGCTGCGCCGCATGAAAACAGCTCACACACTTCCCTCTGGCTTTGCGGCCACTCGACCACAAGGCGACCATCCGATTCACCATCAGACTCCCACGTTGCGCACTGACAGGCTCTGCATGTGAAGCCGGTATACGGTATGAGATCATTCCGGGCCACCACAAGATGACCTCACCAGAAAGGCATCGGCCGTATGAAGCGGAAGCGCACCATCGGCCCCACCAAGAAGGACAGTACACCCCACCGAACAAGACCACCAAATCGCAGTCAACACCGGAGAAGAGCCCACCACGAGGGCAAAGAGCGCAGAAAAAGACCGCTGGCCCCACCCAAGGAGATAAACCCTAAACCCTAAACCGGAGACCCTTGAACATCCTTGAACCAGGATTTGGACCCTAACCTTCATCGCAACCAAACCCTAACCTGGCCTTGCCTCCCTGATCTTAGCCCAGGCGTAACATAGCCTAATCCAGCTCAACCTACCCCACAACTGCTCCAGCTTAAACCCCCGACTTTAGGATCACCTCACCAAACCTGATCATGACCTGACCCCAACGTAATCAAACCTAACGTATAACTTAAACTACCCTGCAGCTAACCCTGGGATACACTGACCTTAGCCCAAGCTCAACCAAACCCAACCTAAACCTAGCAAGACCTGCTCAAACCTCAACACGAAAGCTAAGGCACAGTAGCTCAACCGTAACCGCAACCTTTAACCTAACCTACGGCAGGCAAACCCAAGGCTAACCTAACCGAACCTCATGTAAACAGTCATGTACACTAACTGACATAGTCTGACACACCCAAAACTGCAACCCGAACCTAACGCAGTAATTTAGCTTGACCTGATTCAACTCACCCAACTGTGCTTCAACTCAGCCTGACTGAGCCAAGCCCGACCAAGCCCAAATCAGTTGATCCTAGCCTCATGCAACGTGGATGTACCAAAAAACATGAACGAAACCCAGCTTCCACATAACCGGACAGAATCCAGACTCATGCCCTTAGCCTGATCTAGCCCAACTGGGCAAACCAAATTCACACCTGGCCTAACCTAACCAATTTCACGTCACGGTCTGCTAAGCCGAGCCAATTCACTCTGAGTATAAGCTCACTTAGACTAACTTCACCAAAACTAATCTAAGGTAAGCTACGCCCACTCGTTTTGTCGTGTTACAGGTTCGTCGAATTTCAGTCTGAATGAATTCAGTCACAAGCCAACTTGACCTGCTTTGACCTAATCCAACCAACCAGCAAAACCCGACACAGTCTAACCCAAAACTGAGACATGTCAAGTTAGCCCACTTGACTCACTTGACACCTTCCTAGCTTAACCTGTTTGAAAGCCAGTGTCGTTTAAACTCATGTCTCAAACTTCAGCGAACATAACCAGTGCTGTGCAATGTTTCTGGCGGCCAGCAGTGATGGACTTTCTTGAGGCCAAAGGTGATGTCAGCGAAGATGAACAACCGGTCAACCTCCTGACTGTTCCAAGAGGCCTCGGCAGCTGCTGGCTCCACAGGCTTTGAAGCCTCCTGCGATCAACAGCTGTTCAAGGCTGTGCACCCACACGGACCTCGGCCGTCTTGCAGAGCCTGGATCCACGAAGTGGGTTATGTTAACGAATACGACGATGCCAATGCAAATGACAGCGAATCATCATCATTGTCATTGTCGGCAGTGGCAGCAACAAAAATGATGATAGGGGTGATGGTCAAAACGGCCTGTTGTAGTGCCGTCATCACCATCATCGTCATCATCATCATCATCATCATCATCTTTGTTGCTGGGGCCATATCTGATGTCAGCGAAGATGAACAACTGGTCAACTTCCTGACTGTTCCAAGAGGCCTCGGCAGCTGCTGGCTCCACAGGCTTTGAAGCCTCCTGCGATCAACAGCTGTTCAAGGCTGTGCACCCACACAGACCTCTTCCGTCTTGCAGAGCCTGGATCCACGAAGTGGGTTATGTTAACGAATAAGACGATGCCAATGCAAATGACAGCGAATCATCATCATTGTCATTGTCGGCAGTGGCCGCGACAAAAATGATGATAGGGGTGATGGTCAAGACGGCCTGTTGTAGTGCCGTCATCACCATCATCGTCATCATCATCATCATCATCATCATCTTTGTTGTTGAGGCCATAGGTGATGTCAGCGAAGATGAACAACTGGTCAACTTCCTGACTGTTCCAAGAGGCCTCGGCAGCTGCTGGCTCCACAGGCTTTGAAGCCTCCTGCGATCAACAGCTGTTCAAGGCTGTGCACCCACGCGGACCTCGGCCGTCTTGCAGAGCCTGGATCCACGAAGTGGGTTATGTTAACGAATACGACGATGCCAATGCAAATGACAGCGAATCATCATCATTGTCATTGTCGGCAGTGGCAGCGACAAAAATGATGACAGGGGTGATGGTCAAAACGGCCTGTTGTAGTGCCGTCATCACCATCATCGTCATCATCATCATCATCATCATCATCATCTTTGTTGCTGGGGCCACATCTGATGTCAGCGAAGATGAACAACTGGTCAACTTCCTGACTGTTCCAAGAGGCCTCGGCAGCTGCTGGCTCCACAGGCTTTGCAGCCTCCTGCAATCAACAGCTGTTCAAGGCTGTGCACCCACACGGACCTCTTCCGTCTTGCAGAGCCTGGATCCACGAAGTGGGTTATGTTAACGAATACGACGATGCCAATACAAATGACAGCAAGTCGTCATCATTGTCATTGTCGGCAGTGGCAGCGACAAAAAATATAATAGGGGCGATGGTCAGGACGACCTGTCGTAGTGGCCGTCGTCATCATCATCATCATCATCATCTTCATCATCATCGTCGGCATTGTCGCCGCCACCCTCATCACCGTGCACATGCCAACGAGCACCATCTGGTATGAAATAGGCCAGAAAGCCGAGATGGACATCAACCAACCCGGATGCACACAGCATGCAGCGCACCAAAGACAAGGCTTCCAACCTGCAACTGGCTTCGGGACTTGTGTTGAAAACTCCAAATAACAGGTGGAGATGTGTTTCGACATATTTCTCACTTCCTGCAATGTACTAACGTGCATGCTGAGCCCAGCCTCTGTTGCTGCCCAGAAATGAAGAGACAAGTGAACATGCATTGTTCTCACCCACGTGATGAACAGTTCAAACCACTTAAGCCTGTGCATTGCAGGCCGTCAATAATCGCACGGGTTCTCTTGCCTCTGTCGCAGGCTCGGCCGGCTTCGTGGCATCCTGGACGGGGCGAGAAAGTTACAGAACGACCGTAGTTCCCTTCCTCACTCGGGAGGCATATTCAGTTCTTTTATCTAGTTAGAGCTTTCAATCTTGCCAGCTGTCAGCGTCAGATTGGCACCATTTTCAGAGCATCAAAGGCTATCCAGAAATCGTCAGACCTTTCGGCAGCGGCTCACTCTGGATAGTCTGGCCTGTGCGGATTCTTCGGGCTTTGCAGCTTCAGCTCCTCCAGCCTGCAATGCAGCCACGAGCATCGAAGCGGCTCTGCTCTTCGCTCTCGGAAGCCTGTGTCTGCTCTGATGCGGAAGCAGCGCCTCTGCACAAGCGAATGAAATTCTCACCTGCTGCCGACTTGGTTTCGCACCTGCGGATGCCTCCTTTATCTTGGCAAGCTCCTAGCAAAAATCCAAAGTCTGACTGATGAAAACACAGAGGCATCTTGTAAAGCATCCTCGGGGGACAAGGCCGCCAAAGCTGCCGTGATGTCGGCAATTGAGGCCTTGTTGAAGGCCTGGCAACGGCTCGTGCAAGGAGACATCCAGCGTGCAAGCTGCTGTGGTGCCGTGTCAAATGTCCTCAGAAGCAGCAATGGCAGCAGCGCTCCGGTACAGAACTATCTTGAATCTACACCGGATCGACTCCCGCGACGCCCTGAGTGATGCAAGCTAAGACCAACCGAAGCTAATAAGCTAATAGCTAACCACTTCCCGCCGACGCACGCCAAGGTCATTGCACCGCAGCGATCGCAAACCAAAGACAAAAACACAGCACAGCCAGCGCTTGTCAGAACGCAGCCTCCGCGGCTTCTGTGGAAGCGCCAGAACCTGTTACCATGCAGCCCGCAAATCCCTAGCCTGCTACACATTTTCTGGTTTCTCTGCCATTGAACCTTGACTGAAATCAGCTTGCAGTCTCCCACACCAAGACCCTGACCCATGATGTCTTCGGAGAGGCTGCGTGGGGGAGGACCACGTCGCCAAGCTTGAGCTCTAGCCGCGGGAGCGCCCAAAAGCAGCTTCCAGCGAAACAAGTACAGCATGCACAGCTCCACAAACGCTCCACAACGCTTCGCCCTGGGGCCCTGGCATCCAAGAACGGCGGAGCGGCGAAGCCAAGAGCAGGTGAAGGACTGAGACTGTGCCCTGGCTGCCCTGATGCCTCTGGCAGAGCCACGCCGACTTTTTGCAATGCTTATTAACTTATGGCACATTACGGTCTTTGCCTCGAAAGTACAGATCGCGTTGTCGCAGGAGGCCTGTTCCAGCATGACAGTGACAGTGGCCCAAACCCCTTGAGAGGGTAGCCTCGTCTGGGAGCACGTGTCGGCAAGTGACGAGGAAGAGCAAGCCGGCGAGGTGGTCCTGAGTTGGACGCAGGATACCAAGGAAGAGAACAACTCGGCTCGTCATCGCCGGCGAGATGCCGGGAAAATACCCAGGAATCCGGTGCCCACCTTGGACTCGATACCTAATTCAGGTGCAGGACATGCTCGCCGAGCACATGTCAGCCTCTTCGTGGCTATCCCAGAGCTACGCCTTCGGCATCTTCGACCTCGACTTCGATGATGCAGACCTGATCGGAGTTTCCAGCGCGAAATCAAGTGCCCCATGATGCGATGCATGGGTCCACACCCTGAGGAAACAGCTCCGGAGCCCAAGCGCTGCTGCTTTGAATTGGACGACGACTCCTCCCGTTGCAGACAGATCTTCTGTCTGTCCCCTTGAGAGAGCTCCTGCAGACAAAATGGTGGCTGATTCGCCGCTTACATCTGATGCACTTGATGGGGTCCTGCATGCTTCATTGTCGGCGAGACCCAGGGCAACAGAAGGGACGCTTCTGCTTGTGACTCCCGACAGAGACTCGCAATGCCACGCAGGTGTGAACATCATTTCCCTGAAATCTCGATCCCAAAATAATGCCTCATTATTATTATGTCTTTGCCATGGCACGAGCTCGCTTATTCTGTCGCATGAGCTCACGGTTCTTGTGACCGACCAGCCGGAGACAAACTGTGCAGGAGTTTGACGTGCAAAGCTGGCGGCCACAACCGGCGAACTCCCTACAAGCGTGTACCCGGACGCAGTCGTTGATGCAGGTGATGAAGCGGCAAGTCTCGGTACAATTCCTTTTGCAATCGATCGATCAGCATCTCACTCGCAAGCCGCTCTCAGTTCTGATTCAGAAACGAAGCTGGCAAGCCTGGCAGCGGCGAGTGCGTGCAGGCGCACACACACACACACCCACCGACCCACGTAGCGACGAAAACACTCTCGCTCCGAGGTGGAAAGCAGAACTCTGGTGGCAACACGAGACGTGCTGGCTCATAAGCAAAGCCCGAGGCTTGGATCTTCTGCTCGTTTGCTTCGGAATGTCCTCAGCTGCCTTGGAAGAGCATGGAGCAGCACGGCGACACAAGCAGTCTGAGTTTGCGAATAGCCGAAACACAGCCCGCGCCCCCACAACCCGAGTGAAAGCAGTACTTAATGACACGACGATGATCGCTAGCAATAGTGATAGTGACTGATAGTAAAAGAATTTATATGTCCAGTTCTAGGACTATGCCATAGGAGTGATGCGAGTAATGCTGCTACCCCCTGCAATGCTGCAATGCTGGTGACCACCATGAATCCGAGCATGCGGGCTCACTAAACGCCGAGTGCCATGCACCGAAATGCCGTACAACTTCTCCCGCAAGCCACTGATGTGAGTCCTGTTGATCCAAAGCTTATCGTTGCAAAGGCTACGTCTAAGCCGGTTAGCCTTTACCCTGCTCCTTGAAGGGGAAAAGATCAGCGATGACCTCGTTCCGCTTTGGGATGCTGGAGGGTAACACCTGACAGCCAACAAAGTGTGATGCCGACGGCACTTTTCGCCGAGTGCTGTGCCTGCGCAGCACTCGCCAACACTGGCGAGAGTGAGCAGCTGATGCCCTGGAAATACCAGGCAAGCGTGACCTGCAGTGCGCTTGCTCAATTGTGTGCACTGCCAAGGACATCTGCTAACAGGGTCTTGATGCGTTAACGGAGAGACATCTGAGAGCGCATAAGAGCTTGAAGAATTCCACTGGCCTGTCGACCAGAGCTCGGATCTGAGACCCAGGCGGACTTGTCAGCTACACCCCCCAGGCCGAAAATCCCGCCCTCCACATCAAGCAGGGAGTACAGGCGACGGTGCCTGGAAGCGTTTGAGACCGTTTCGACTTCTGCGGTCCCAACCTTCAAGCTTAGCTACCACACTAACAGCAAGATGTTGCAAGGGCTAAGCTAAAGAAGGCCTTCGAAGCAGGAGTGCCGCTTCCCGCAGAAAGGCCAAAGCTGCCTCGAGTCTAGCGGAGACTCTCTAGAGTCTCTAGAGAGCCTGGTGCCATTTGGGGTGGGGGTTGGGTATGTGTCGGGTTCCGGGCAGCTGTCGGTGTGGAAAGATGCCCAGATGCTGACAGGAGGCGTGGCAGTCGGCCGTCAAGGAGATGGACAGCAGCTGCTCAAGCAGCGCGGCTAATGCCTTATCAACTGGCCGCAACTAGCCAGTTCACAAGATGAACACAAACAACTCGCGACCATAAAGCAGCTGTCGCACATGAAGCTTTAAGGGAAATACGTTTCATATTCAAGCAGAATGGTGAGATGTGTGCAAACTCCATCCTTGCCTGTACGGTACTCTCCCGGCAGCACGGACACCGAGGCAGGTGGATACCTCAATGCCTCTAGACGTCAATGTTCATCACACCAAGGCGATGGCAGCGTCCGATGCTGTGCTATAGCCCTGGGGACACCTGCTGAACAAAACTGCCCGCAAACTTTTTCCAGAACAGCTCAGAAGCTGCGCCTCAGCGCCGCGTGGAGGCATCGCAGCACCAGGGCTGGGACCTGAAGAGCTCGAGATTTTCACTTTGGGGTCCTGTTTACACTGTACTGTGTGGTGTCGGAAAGCCCAGCTCACGCTGTGCTCAGCATCACGCACTTTTACCCTCCATGGCTTCTGCCAATTCCTCGCCACCACAACTGCTCATCATAAAGCCAGCCCGTGTTGCGCTGCAGCAAACTTGCGCATGTTACGGTGGTGCTGCGATGCGCGTATGCAGCGTCCTTATCGGAAGTCAGTACCTGGTGCATGAGAAACACTGGAGGTTCCGACAAGTAAAGTACCCGAAGAGCAGCTTCTAGTAGCACAAGTCATCGATGCATCTGCCTCGCCCTCATCATTTTCCAGAAAACACCGCGGAGGGGGCCACGTAGCACCCTGGCAACAAGTGTTCAGGCTTGGCACAAATCCCTTCGTGGCCAGAAGCATGGCAAAGCTGCCTTTGTTGTCCAGTCTTTTCGAACCAACTCAGGTTTGTTACAAGGAATCAGGATGCGAACTGCGTGCCCGACTTAGAGCATTTTAGGCAGTTGCCTGAAGGCATTGTCAGTCCGATGTTCAAGACTAAGACATCGATCGTCCACGGCATTAAATTTCTTTGGCGCGACAACAGCACGCTGCCGTACAGGAGGCAGGAAACCGTCTCTCGTTTACGATTCTTCCGAGCTTAGAAAGCTCTTCGCTAGCAGCGTGGCATGATGCAAAATAAAATCGAGGGTGCCCAGTATGGGCAAAACGAAGATATAGTCGCGAGGTGCTTCCTGGAAAGCATCAAGTTGCGTAAGACCACCACTCACGTAACCAAACTGCAAGAAAGAAATGCTCAACGAAATCAGTCCTGGATAGAGGCTGGCCGCACTTGCATCGATGCCTTCAGCAGCATCCGATGCACCCAAAGCTAAATTTGCAAAAACCAGTTTGGCTGTCCAAGCACTAGCAAAACGGATTCAGCCAAACAGCCAGTGAACTGGTGTTCGATGGGACGGTGCCATTGGACCATGACACACTTTCCAGGAGCCAGTGTGCCTGAGCTCCATATGGCTAGTTATCCAAAAATCAGGATCGTTGACATTGGACCACCAAAACTGTACATGATTCCGGCACTGCCCCATTTGCCAAGTTCGGGAACTGCACATATTTCAACAACCATCCCAAACCATCGTGGACATACGAACAGCATCGCGACGAACTTGACACATTGACTCAAAGCTTGGACTAAGTTGTCGTGATCGGCCACCTCCAGAAGCTCGCGACATGCTGACGCGACGTAAAACCCCTGGCAAAAACGCTCTTGAAATTCCTAATTGCCGGGCTCCTTCCCAGTGAGTCAGTGAGTGCTTGCTTTGTCTATTGCATGACACATTTCTCTAGGGTATGTCTTGAGGTGAACTCGGCAGGCACACTTTAATCGGCACAGCTCAGTAACAGAAGTGGCTAACAACGACGCGGGTTGCATCTCGGGTCGCGCTGGGGTGGGTTAGGCGAATAGCCAATGGTTTCATGGAGCTTGCTATGCGCAGCGCACTTCCTTTACAGGGGGGTGATCCTCGGCACCACTGTTTCGCGGCATGCTTTGCATCCGAACACCGCGCTTCTCACTTCATGCCAGGGTTTGTGCACGATGGGGTTGTGGTGAAAACTCGAGCTGATGCATGATCAGCGGGTCGACGGGATTCAATCAAGTGGGCGCTCGGACTCTCGCAATTCGGACTTCCAGGCGAGGTCGGCTCGTTCGGTCGGAAGGAAGGCACATAGGCTCAGCTTAAATGTCAGATATCCGCATGAAAACGGCACACCAAAAACCATGCAGGCGAGCACTTTGTTTTGCATGGTGGATTGGTGTGGCTGCCGACTCCCTGCGGTCGAAGGTTCTATCCAAAACTGTCCCGAATGGGCGGTCCCTCAGGGCCCTAGGCACCTGTGGTCCCGGACACCAACCATCAGGCACAGCAAAAGACTTGTGTCGACCAACCAGACAGGCGGCAGCCCCGACCTCACCGGGCGTGGGCCCACGGGTGAGGGATCGAGGTTAATCGAAGATGAGGTCCTCAAGGATCGCTTTGACCAAATTGAAATTGAGAGAACTGGCCCCGCAGGCAGGCGGAGGGTAGGGCTGAAACCGTTAAAATTTGGGTGCCAGTTTGTCAGCCCACGTGTTGAAGTCCCTCTTCACGTGCGAGGGGGCACGTTGCATGCCATGAAGGTGTAGTTGAAGCAAGATCTCCATGAAAATGACAGAGGTGGGCATCTCGAAGGTCCTCCAAGATACGGGTAACTAGAAAATGTTTCTTTATGTTTCTCACGTGCCATCTGCACGCAGGGACCCCGAGGGTCAATTACGAAATCAAGCCAGGTATTGACCTCTGCCAGGAGCGTCTTTTTCCAGCTAAGGGGTGTGCCCCAAGCTAGACGCAGAAGACAAATGGACGTCGCCATGAGTCTGGAGTTGGACTTCCTCAGCAACCAGGCAAAGTCGTACACAAGCAGAAAAACGGCATAGCAAATACGAAGGAGAAGGGCCGCCAGTCTGCCCCAGTAGAGCTGGGCCCTCACGAGCCGGATGTCGTAGCCCAGGCTATCATGCGGGAGCTGCATTATGCAGTAGCAAAGGGACTTCCGACTTCCCCATGTCGTTTCTGAGCTGGCCATTCCTGCCCGGGAAGGATATGCACTTGATTTTTTTTGGCTCCCACTTGGTGAAGCCGTATCTTGCATTGCGCCGGCCAAGACCGTCCGTTTGTTGCTCCTGTAGCCATCCCATAAGTCCCAAGCGTGTTTACCCACCACTCATCACCAACTGGGCAGCCTGGTACCGCCATTCTTGAAGCAGTACCTTCACTCGTCTGTGGGCCTTGATCACGTCAGCTTTGAGGAGGCACCATTCTTCGTCGTGACTGGGACGAAACCAGGGCTGCTCGGAGGCTGCGCTGGATCCTAGTTCGGGGGTTGTGCTCCCCGGCCAACGGCACCTGTATCCAGGGAGGGCGTCTTCTTGTCAGGGTCCTGAGACCTAGATGCTCCCCGCCAGTGTAAGCATTGGACTTCGTTCATCACCGTCACCGTTGGGGCTGTTGGATTCGGAGGTTCGCACCACTTTCGAACCATCAGCAATGGAACGGACTTTGTCCGAGGAGTCGTTGTCGTGGCTCAGCGGAGGGGACGCGCAGCGCGACCCCGGTGTTACCGTCTCTTTCGCTAGGCTTGACACAGGCCTTGTAGAGGTGAGCCGGCGGCTCGTCCAAGATCAATTGGAGCTGGGCCGCTTCGCCTCGCTGATCAGCAAGAACCTGCTGGAGCCCTTGGCACTCCCGCAAACGCCCTGGCAGTGACGGCAAACATAGCCGCCCTTCGTCTCGCCCTTCCTCCTGATTTCCCCAAGGCTCACGCTGCTCAGCGCCAACCCGCATTCCATGCGCGTGCGCGCCCAGAAAACGCGCACCTTCTTCTTGAAGTCGTCAGAGGCAACGGTCGAGACATTGTCCGACGTGATCGGCGGGAGGCGCTGCTCCATTTCCGTGGCGAGATTCGCTCAGCGCGAAAGGCAGCTCACCGCTGGATGCAGCTCTCCGGGTACCCCAGCTTGCGGTACGGCGGCCCAGCAAACTCCGGCTTGACCCAGGTTACAGGTTGTCCACCACTGATCCGTGTTGCGGCGCCGCGCCATCTTGAGATCCATTATACGGGGAAGACCTTCAAAGGGCGGGTGATGCGCTCGTCGCACACCGTTCTCAATCGGAGCTGCTGGATGTCCGCGACCGGGAGGTCGAGCGCTACCTTGGGGGTCCTGTTGATGATAACTTTGGCTGCGAAAAATTCGCCCATTTCACGCTGAAGGTGTTTCCAGTCAACGTCATTGGTGGGCTTCGGGAGGCCGTGCAGGACAACGAACTCTGTCGCCTCCTTCATGAGGGGCTGGCGGTCACTCCTCCGCTGGTCGTTGGCCGTCTTGTTCTTCGGCCCCCACCTGTGAGCATGCATGGTGATGGGAGGTGCGACCAAGCCGCGTAAAGGTGGCGAGCCGTATACGCGTTCCCGAACATCGAGAAGAGGCTGACCAACTTTCCAGGTCTGCACCTCCTTGACCCAGTGGTGGGCCTCATCTCCTTCTGCATGGACGGGGCCCGCAATGGACTTCAATGCCGGCCTGTGGCCGGCGGAGATCTGAACCATGAGGTAGTTCCTCTTGAGGAGCGACTTGAGCTGCTCGGTGTCCAGGTGGCGCAAAAGGGCAGCCCCTTTCGGGTCCTTAACCTCGTGCGCGCCTCCACCATAAACGTTCAGCTGCGGGTTGGCCTTCTCCAAAAGCTATTCTTCCGTGTCCTCGTGCTTCCAGTTGTCCACGCGGCCTGCCGCCGGCTTCTTCATCTCGAGGACGGCGGCCTCTCCCCCTCCGGCTTGTCGGCAATTGCCACATCGTCAAAGGGCTGGCTTGCCACCGTGTGTGCCAGCGAAAGCCTCAGGGCCGAAGGCACCTGGTCGGCAAAGCTGACCTGAATCCGGTCAGAAGGCCCAGGCACCAATGTCGACCGCTGAGTCACTGTGCCACGAGACCCCGGAAGGGCAAAACAAGCGCCAGGTAGAGCCGCCCAACTTGATCTCGGCAGAGGGGGGGCCTTGTCAACCGCGATGGCGCTCTTCTGGCAAGGCTTGCACTTACCCTCCGACGAATCGGAAAAGCACTGTGAGCACGTCAGCAAAGCCTCCGTTTGCCCTGGGTCAAGGCGGCCCAGGCTTCCATGGCCTACTCCACGACGGCCGGAGCTGTAGGGTGCCACAAGCAACTTCTCCTGTGCCACCTAACTTCCAGGACCCGCTCCGCTGAGGCGCTGGTCCACTCCTTTGTGTTGGGGTTGGAGAAAATTTCGCCCAACTCCGACTGAGTGAGCTGCTGAGCGAGGTCAGCTGCTCTCTTGCCGATACCGGGGAAACCTGCAAAAAATCACTCCAAGAAGAACAGCTTCTCCTCCAAAGTGCCCGAGAGTAGTCTTGGCGAAACCGATGCAACACACATCCATCGCCACGTCCGGGGCGTCCACTGAGGCGCTGGCAGTAAGTACCCTTGACAAGGACAAAGTCACCTGGGGCTGGCACGTCCGAGGCTGACCAACTTTCCAGGTCTGCACCTCCTTGACCCAGTGGTGGGCCGGCCTGTGGCCGGCGGAGATCTGAACCATGAGGTAGTTCCTCTTGAGGAGCGACCTGAGCTGCTCGGTGTCCAGGTGGCGCAAAAGGGCAGCCCTTTCGGGTCCTTAACCTCGTGCGCGCCTCCACCATAAACGTTCAGCTGCGGGTTGGCCTTCTCCAAAAGCTCTTCTTCCGGTCCTCGTGCTTCCAGTTGTCCACGCGGCCTGCCGCCGGCTTCTTCATCTCGAGGACGGCGGCCTCTCCCCCTCCGGCTTGTCGGCAATTGCCACATCGTCAAAGGGCTGGCTTGCCACCTTGTGTGCCAGCCAAAGCCTCAGGGCCGAAGGCACCTGGTCGGCAAAGCTGACCTGAATCCGGTCAGAAGGCCCAGGCACCAATGTCGACCGGCGGCTTCCTCAGCCAACGCATCCTCTGAGTCACTGTGCCACGAGACCCCGGAAGGGCAAAACAAGCGCCAGGTAGAGCCGCCCAACTTGATCTCGGCAGAGGGGGGGCCTTGTCAACCGCGATGGCGCTCTTCTGGCAAGGCTTGCACTTACCCTCCGACGAATCGGAAAAGCACTGTGAGCACGTTAGCAAAGCCTCCGTTTGCCCTGGGTCAAGGCGGCCCAGGCTTCCATGGCTTACTCCACGACGGCCGGAGCTGTAGGGTGCCACAAGCAACTTCTCCTGTGCCACCTAACTTCCACGGCTGCAAAGGAGGTAAGGGTGGAATTGACTCCCTCGTCAGAGTGTGCTTCCATGTTGTGCAGCAAGGTTGCACGAGAGATCTCCGTCTCATCTGTCGCTTTCTCCCATTCCTTATCTCTGTCTACCTCATCGAGGCGGAGCCAAACTCTCAACCGTCTCCATGCTGGAGGCCATCACATCAGCGGGGCGGAGGCAGAAGACATGGCGGAAGTTAGCAGGAGGAAAAGAAAGCGAGGGGGTAAAACTTTGAAGGAGCCACGGTCGCGACACTTGAGCCAAAATGGCAGTAGCCATTTTGGCAGACGTCTCCTGACATAACTCTTGCAACTCGGCACGCTCCTGCATGTAGTTCGTCTTCGGCCAGCTCTACCACCAGACAATGCGATTCGATGCAAGTAGCTGCTGACCACATATCAGGAACTAAAGTGGAGTCAGTATCAGGGCGCTGGTTCGAGAGAGTGAAATACCTACCAGACTCAAACTTCTGTGTTCCTTCAGGATTTCCGGTTCTTTGCCTGCCTCGTTTCTGACGAACTGAGCTCTTTGCAGACTAAGTGCGGCATCTTTCACAGCTGGGAGGAGCCCCGCTGTCCAAATAATCTTGAGAGCCGAGAAAACAGTCTCCAGGGCACAAAGCCAAATGATGATCCAGGTGAGCCTAGTCAGGATGGGCTACGCACAACCTCCGACCGTGAAAGTTGGAACAAGTCCAGCCTGCTCCCTTGTCTTTCATCCAACTTGTCTTTGAGAACGTCAAACATGTCCTCAAGCACCTGCAGGATGGGAATGGACGAGTACAACTGCAGATGAAGAGGTGAGTGAGACCGAATGATTGTGCGATAAACTTTGTGCGTCATGTGATCGCGCATCCTTGTACGACTAGTGACGGAACATTGAACAGACCAGGACCTCGAAACGGTGATTCACGATGTGGATCCGCCGGTCCACATCCAGATGCTGCCTTGCGTAGACGTAGATGGGCTCCTGCTGTAGTAATGTGCAAGCGATTTTTCAGGAATCCAGGACTCGTGCCACATATCTAGTCTATAGACGATCTTGCAGGCAATCCGAGTGCCGCCAAGAGGCGGCTTCTTCAAACTCCCAGAACACATCGGGGGTGTCAAGAGTGTCGAACTCAAGATTCACCTGATCTGGAGCCGGATTCCCGGCCCTCATCTTTCTGCCCAGATGCTTCGGCCTGGTTTTTCAACGCGAAAAGCTCTCCCATCATCTTCGCAACGTGCTGGCTGCTCAGGAGCACACGGCCTGACAGTGACGGAGCGGGATGTGCACTCTAACAGCAAGTGCACTGCTTGATGCGAGCTGGTCGAGATCTGCCACCACGCCTGTGCGAGCCATGTCTTCTGGGATGTTGCGTGTGGCAGCTATCCACTCGTCAATACGCTGTTCCCAGAAACCTTCGGATGGCTGGGTGAAAATGTTCAAGTCGCACTCTGCACCAGCTTGGAATGAATTCATCTCCAACCTTGAACACTACAGCCAGGATGCTGAGGCGGACAGACTGAGCCAAGGAGTAGGCGATGGCAATGCGTTCCTGCACCTGCGTGTTCGGGATATGAAGGCAGTGTGCCGGGCCTCTTGTTTTCCTTTGCAAGCAAAGGGGAGTACACCCCCATAGATGAGCGCCCCCTGTCGATGGCACTCACTAGATTCACTACGTAGATCTGCCGCTGCATCTCGCTCTTCCATCTGCCCCATCAGGCCTTGTGGCACGCCGGCAGTGCATCACCCCCCGCGATGTTGAGATGATCGATCTCCACCTGTGTGGAGGTCAGCGGTTCCTTCAAGAAGTTCTTCACGGAGTCCCGCGCGGCGTGGACCTCTTGAGGAGTGCATCCCCAGCAGACCAAACAGCCGAAGGAGAAGACAAAGCAATCTTTCTCGTCAACCTTCAACAAGGCCACATCGCTGTGGAAACGAATGACCTTGGCAACAACGCTGCGCTGCTAAGACGATATGTGGTGGTGGTGGTGGTGGTGGTGGTTGCTGCTGCACCTAATGTTGTTGTTGTGGTTGTGGTGGTTGTTGTTGCTGTTGTCGAACATACCTGCTGTCTCGGCATCGGCAATCACCGGAGTCAGCGCCAGCGCACAATCTAGCTCTGACATGAAACCCTAGCGGCCCTAGCGGCTGCAAGGAAACAATCGAACAACACCGGGATCAGAGAAAAGTCTTGCTGATTTTCCAGCAGCATGACAGGTCGCGGTGAAGCGTGCGGCATTCGTCTGAGGCTTGCCTGCAGTATTAAAGTTGCTCTTCGCAGCGCTCGAAACAGAAGCGGGATCTCTACGCAAACCCACTCTGGAAGAACAGCAAACACTGGTGTCAGCGGTAGCAGGGGCCTTCCAATTCTCGGTCAACGCCTGTATGTCGAGGCTGCTTGCAAGGTAGTAGGCAAAGCACCAGTCCTGGCAGTCTGACCGGATTCAGGCCTTGTTTTCGGATTACCTGAGAGCGGCAAGTGTCCTCGTTCGGCTCGGTCGGTGCAGGGTCCCAGGTGCTCCTGAAAGCCAGACCATGCCCGGGACCAACTGCAAACTCTAGACTCTAGAAGACAGAATCGCAAAGGTGCCAGAATGTGCCAAACAGGGCCATGCAATGATCGACGAAATCGACAAAGTGATTTGCGCCTGACCCGTGGCTGTGCTCCGATGGAGGCAGTCCGCCTGGCACCTGCAACAGCACAACCATGCATGTGACACATCTTGCTTGCTTAGCTTTGAGAGCACTTGCACATACAGTTTCTGGAAGACTCAGAAGAACGCCCGCAACAAAGTCTCTCCTTGCCGGAAGAAAGCTGTATGCCCGCAAGGTTGATTGATCTTTGGACCCACTCGCCTGGTCGTTGCGACATGTGAAAAGTTGGGCATGTGCTGCGATACAAGTCAGAGCCCTGCTTTACGGCAGGCCAATTAAATTTTGCCGCTCTGTTCGTCTCTGCTTCCGACAGATGCCCATCCTCGTGCTAAAGTGCAGGCACGGCGGGTTTTGTCGTCTGCTGATGCATCCCTTCGCTGCGCTTGATACAAGAGCGCTTGACAAACACAGGAGAGACCCTGAAGATAAGCTCGGGCAACACTTGAAGCATCTCAAACTATATTGTAGCTTCTCTTAGCATGCTATTCTCCTCATTATTGTGAGTTTTTCGTCTCGAGATTCTAGCTAGCGTCTAGCGCCGTTCATGGTGTGTACAAATCTAATGCTTTTCGCATGCGGCAAGACTTGACAATGAAAGCGGACTTCAGTACATGCCAAGAGACGCAGGACTTACAGTCGGTTCTCGAACGTCAAAAGAAAGTTTAAGGGAAGGTGAAGACACAGTAGCACACGTGTTCACAGACCTTCACTAGAGAGCAGAGAAGAACTAAATTAAACTCAATTTACGCGGCTATTGCTAGCTTGCCCCTGCTGCCTCCTTGGGCCCATGCGATGCCGGTTGCTTGCTCTGCGGTGCGTAAGGGCATGACTCGGCATGAGCCGCCCCGTTTGCATCTGAGCCCCCTTCACGGGGAAAAAACAAACTAGCGCGGTGCCGGTGCCGGATAAGTCTGACTCGCTCGCTCATTCCGAAATCTCCTGCCCATGTCTTGCATTTTGTGGCCTCAAATTCGAGTCCAGTTTTTTGTTGTCCCAACTCATCGACCCCTAAGTGTGGACAAAACATGGACTCTGGATCGCAAGCCCAATCTGCAACATGTCAACATTTCTCAAACATGATTCCTCAACCCTTTCGCAGGGTTTCCATCACGGGCTCTTCACATCTCTTCACTCTCACTCTACCTGTAGCGCTCCGTCCTCGGGGTGCTGAGAGGCTCCTCGATGTGCCAAGCGATGTGGCCCGCGCCAAACCTGCAAAGTCCGGAGAGCTTCCAAAACTGCGAGCAACGTGCACAAGAGAAGCTGGGCTTTCTGGTTACACGTTGACAAATGTGAACGAGGCCCAGGCTGGCAGGTTGAAGACGCCCACGTCGCACGGCAGGCTCCTTCCATGCACTGTGGGTCGGCTACAGAGAGTCCCGAGTCCCGAGCCTGGCGGCCGATGATTCCCGCAGGCCGTTCACGCCGGACACCAGGTCCCGGGTTCGGCGCTCTCTCGCGCGGGCGGACCATGAACACTGACGTTACAACGCGCTGCTGTCCAGGTCTTAGTGTGAACCGAGGCTAGGAGACAGCTGCATTGGCTTTGGGAATGTCTGCCAATGCAGCAAGCTCTGAGGGTGTGTCGGAATGCCATGGCGATTTGTGTGCGAGATTGATCCAAGACTTCGGACTGCAAGCGGATACACCCGTCAAGTCGGGCTGCAGCACGCCGGAAATGCTTGTTAGACGGGTTGTCTGGTTGACTGTCCAGCGCTGCTCGAACATGAACTCTATGTATATCTATGCTTCGTGTGTCTGTCTGCAATGCCGCATATGCTCCAGAGACTCTAGTCCACCTTGCGACCCGCCTCAGAGTGAACGGAATACATCGACGGCAAAGCCAAAGCAAGGGCACTCGTCATCGAATCTGAAAGCCAGCTCACATCTGTGAGCAAGGCCTGAGCAATGCTGTATTGCCTGTCTTCGTGCATCGAAGTTTATCGGCCCCATGAATAGATTCCGACATGATTAGAAACATCGCGAACTCGTGCAACTGGCCATCCGTAGAAAATAGCAAGACCCCCCAAATGACCACAAGCACTTCCAACGAGTCAAAGAAAGATCATACGTGGTTGCAGGAGAAAGGGCTTCATTGCTCCCGAGATCAACGTATCGGAGGAAAACACCGTTGCCTGGGAAGGTCCGCTGAGTAGCACCAAGGCGCAGTTGAGGCCTTGGTTTGAGAAGTCAGTAGAAGTCAAGGGGCATTCCGATGTGAACACCTCATGTGCAGAACATACCGTCCGGCTCCGTTGCTCGAGATCGTGCGCATGACTCCAACGAACAGGTTAGAAATGAACATGGAAGGAATGCATTTTTCCCGATATAAGGGAAGCACACTACAAAACCCTTCCTGAGACTCGCATGCCCGGAAAGAATGCTTTCTGGGTAGGTGGCCATGGAGTGCCACCAGCTCGTCGGATCTTCCTATGGCATCCTGAGGTCGAGGAAAAGCTCGTTCTCTTTGACTCTCACACTCGCACAAGGCAGCCAAGGCTACATGTGATCCAAGCTCACAGCGACGACCCAGACTGCTCAGCAAACGACCAGAACCAGTCTAAGACCATACACCACCCAAAACATGTCAGTAGACCTCAGTCACCCCCCAGTTCTCTACTGCGCACGGCCAGAGGCCTGCTGCATGCTTTTCCTCATCCATACGGGGCTTCTGAATGGCACATCCCGCCTGCCTTGACTGCCAGGCGCAGCTCTGACAAGATCTCAAGAAGAAGCTCCAGGTTCACCTGTCAAGAACTCCCCTTAGCAAGCGAAGGGTCCTAGCATGCCCGGCCCAAACGACGCGACGAAACCGGGTGGGGGCCGAAACTGAGGGAATGCTGGCCTGCTGTCCCCACCGCGCTAGGCCGGTGAGCACCGTGCCCATCAACTCACGGCCTAGGCTGGGCACTATGCATCGCTAAAGGGAGTCAAATCGGCACCGAACTGCAAGCCTAGCATGCGACTTTAAAGTATGCAGGAACTTTAGATATCCCATACACCCAAGGCTCGAGGACCTTTGTGGTATTTTTGTAGTGGCTTCTCGTGGAACATTGTACCGCAGCATTTCTAATTACGCGTGACAAGCGTACAAGCATTGGCAATTATCTCAGTCGTCACATTCACACGGACGAACTACAACGTGCGTTTTCTAAAGCTCCTCGCGACTACTGAGAGTACTGGCTCTAGGTTTCTATGGTCACCTCTGCTTACAATCTGTAGAGCAATCCTCACTAACGCCCCTACCGCAGTCTTCATTCCGGTCCTATCTAATATAGCCCCTTTTGCCGCATCTTGACGCATGCGAGTGCTAGAAATCTGCCACTAGCCGGAAGTGATACTGACTGCCTTTCCAAAATTTTCCAAACAACGAGCTAGCCAACTCTCATCTGCAGTTTTGACAAACGAACTCAGATGATCATTCATCAGAAACTCGTAAGGAAGATTACTCGTTGCACGAACGTAGGTCCCTGGCGACTGTCTCGCACTGTTAAATCTTGAGGGATCTTTAGAGTTATTGGTTGGAATCCTGCCCGTGTCCATTCAACCTAATGGCAGAAAGCAAAGCCCAGAATTGTGGTTTGTTCGTGGTCACGACTAACCTAGTCTACCGGTGCATGTCTTGGCTACAGTCCTTGCGACTTCGCCTTCCCATGCTGGGGACAGGTCTGTGCAGATGCCGCTGCCGGAGGATGCGGAGGTAGACTACAAACACCTGTGATATCGGCAGGGCGAAGCCGTCACGGTTGTGGTCCATGACAGAGATTGACAAAGCATCGGCTGCAATCTCACAATCATGCGGGGACTCATCGCTTGTTTGTTGCAAAAACTTGAAGCAGAGGGCTGTTGGGGTGATTCTCCGAAACACAGTGACAACTCAAAGACATCGAGGTGCACCTCGTACAGAAGCTCGCCCTCACGCTTCCGCAGCTGTTCAGCGCTCAGCGTGATGGAGGCCTTTCCACTCCGGCAATCAGATTCCCTAGAAACACGGCAGCCCCAGAGGCCCACAGCCTCAGCCAATCCCTTTTTGACATCCTCATCCGCATTGGACATGTCACCTGCCAGCCGGCAGGTCCGCGGCACCACTGCGTTGCTGTTTCAGGCATGGACATGCCTCAGCGGTTCTCGTGAATATAACTCATCGGCAGCCATCCGCTCAGAACTGCAACCGGACTCCACATCAGTTAAGCGCGACGGGCGGATACAATCCGCCAGTGCAGTACCTCCGCGCCTGCAGGTCCTGCCAGCTCAGCAGCATCGGCGCGACCGATCGGCAAGTGGAGGAGGATCTGACAAATTCGAGTTGCCACGACTGCGGAACATGTCATCACGACCAAACTAGGCGATCAGAATGGCATGAATGTCCAAGACCTAATCTCCAAGAGAAGCTGCAGAACTTTGATGGCTGGTGCGGCCTGTAGCAGCTCGTAGTGTAGGCCCCGGTGCGCTTGGCTGGTCTCAGAGTCCTACATGATTCGCGGACAGCACTTTCACTTCCAATGCGAATGGTTGAGCCGTGGATGTTGTTCTTTCCGAATTTGCGATAAGCTCCAGATATGCCCGAGCTCCTCTGCTGGCACTGCTTTGGCTTTACTACGCCCGGCCATGCCCTGTGCCAAGCGCCCAATGGCCAGCACGGCCTCTTTGGAACCCTGGCCGCGGATGGTACTCCAGGCTTCGGGGCCGTGCACTGAGTCATTCTTGAGAAGTATAGGCATCACTCCAACAAACCCTAAATCCATTCCAAGAGCACCCTGTAGCATGCGAAAATAGATGTCGTGCAGACAAGCTCGAAGGCTTGCTGGACTCCGCACATCATTGCAGCGGCGGGGTTGCACATTTTCTGCTCGAGCTTTCAAGTCTTTGATGGTGGCTGGCAGACATGGGGCTATCAACTCATGGAAACTATGATTCTGGGATTCCGCACCCTCGACCCATATCGATCCCATCTGCGCCACCACTATCGCAAAACAAGGTCTCCGTTCTTTCAGACTATTTGTGACTGCGGCTCATGCCTGTGCAGCCGAAAGCTGTCCCGTAAGAGTTCTCACCCTGCAACTTCTTGGATATCTGAGGTGATTGCATGATCTGGTAGTCGCTACGTCCTACATTCAAGAAGCTGCAGGGAGTCCCACTCCCCCGGAAACGATTTCGCTTGTGCAGTAAACCCGACAAAAACCGGGTAACTTAGCGTGACCGCAATGGAAGCCATCGCGACCCAGCATCTGTGCTTTGGGACAAAAAGTTACAAAAAGTTCATGCATCAAGAAGTTCTCTGAACTCGCAATGAATGCATTCTGTTTTGTAAGTCAAAAACCCTCCGTCTTGCCAGCATAGATGAACAACAGGCCGTTATCCAAACACAAAGAAGTCGATCCAGGCAGAGCTTGGAACACACAAGAATACTGTCAGTGCAGCCATCGGGCCGGAGCAGTTTGCCTTCATCGGGGCTCTTGCCCATTGGTTCCTTGCCAAAGTGCCCCCGCCTCAGAAGCTCACTGGTGATACCCGCTCGGAAATCAGTGAACTACAGGAAGAAGCAGATCGAGCCATCTTGCCGGACCTCGTAGAGGACCTGCCGTTCCTCAGAGGCGCCAGAATTTAACAGTTCGAGATGCTCCTGCAAGCTCCACTGGTCTCCTTGCACTGCAGGGCTTGAAACACTCCGTTCGCTGGGATCGGTCCTTTCGCCGTCTGAAGCCCCCCAGATCATCGAGGCAGAGCTACTGCCATCTCTCGTGTCCAAGAACTCAGCCTCTCTGGCTTGCTGCACCTTCCAAAGAAATGCAGACTTGCCTGGCGATGTGGTAATTACTTTGCCAGCATCTCGCTGCCGTGGCTTTCTCCTCACGACGGATTTCTGCCAAGCCCGATCCTCTCCGACTGCGTTCATGTAGTCTTTCGCCTCTGCCAGCAGTTGCATGGTCACGTATGTCTTCGCGGCTTCAATCAAGCTAATGCAGCGGCCACGTTCAAAAACCTGGGGCGCATGGGGATGCTCCATGCCAGCAAAGCCGTTCTTAGCGATGAAATACGCCAGGTTTGCGCCCAGGCCCTGGACGTCTGCCTTGGAGACACGGATGTGGGACCCCAGGCAATGGCCCCTCGCATCGTTGCGTGACGCCTTGAAGTATGCAAAGGCAGCCTGTGCCGTCCTGTGATCCGTGAAGTTGACAAAGGCAAGAGACACATTCCTGGACTTGGCCCGGTCATGGGGGACATACACAAAGTCATAGCAGCCCGGCCAGAACTGATCCAAAATCTGTACAAAGCTTGCAGCCGTCAGCTTAGACGGCAGACGCCTCAGCATGATGGATGTCGCTCCATCAGGCAAGACTTGTCCATCAATGCTGCGCTGGTCGAATGACATCCTCACCCGACCGTGAAACTGAAGGCGACCACAATTCACTGAAAACTCGGCATGACACCCTGTCGCCCGCAAGGCAGATTTAGATACATTTAAAAGACTTGTAGAGTCGCTGTCTGAGTGTGCTGACCTCCACCCACTTTTGGCTACAGTATGCCAGCTGTGAGCCACAAGTAAGACACCGATACGGGTGCACGAGTTCAAGCCTTGGCGTGGTGAATCGCCGGTCAGAAGGGAAAAACGTTGCAGCTCGGCGGCATCTTAAACCCAAACAGAGCTAAGCAGCTAGGCTGGCCTCCAGCCTTTGATCCGACTCCACCATCTCCTGGACTTCAGCGCTGGCTTCAACCGGAACATCTGTCGTTCCGGCTAAGCAGGTGCAGTCACAGCAGCAGAACGGTCTCGTATCCTGAAGTCCAGCTACTAAAGGTGCTCGGACGTCTTTCTCAGGGCTGTTGCAGTGCCTGAACACCAGCAGGCACTGCACAACTTGCCACGCATTCAAGCCTCAGGTCGCTGGGTCTCCGGCTTTATGGCGGTGCCAATTAAGCGCTGCCGATAGTTGAAATCGAACGCAGCCTTCATTGATTCATGATCCAGCCAGAATTTGGGAGGGATAATTGTGCACTGCTCTCATAGCCCACCATACGACATGCAAGCCTATTGAAAGAGAGGAGTATCTAGTCCGCGGTAAGCACGAGAGTCACAAATATCGTGCTACCCGCACCATCTAGGTCGTGACGCGATTTGACTCATGCGAAACTTCTTCAAGATAGCAGCTGATGTCTCGTTCTGCCGAAGGTTTCGGGTTCCTAATTCCTGTTCCTAGCTTGAGTTCGTGCAGAATGCAGACCTGTGTGTAAATATTTTTGAAATATTTTGAAGAGCGGGCTCTGGGATGCTCCTTGGCCAGGCTGCGTGCCTTGACCATTGCCCCCAGAGCCGGGGCTGTCGCAACGGGGTGGTTCCGCATGGCTGCCTGTTCACAATCGCAATGCAGTACGTGCCTGCTGTCCTGTGCTGTCCTGTGCAGGCCCTTCTGGGTCATCGCTTTTTGCACCCCGCACTCGCATCTGCTTGGGCCAGGTGATCTGTACAGCTGACCCTTGCACTCCCTCCTAACTTGTTTGCAGCGTGGCGTATTCCTTCTCGAGACTTCACCCGAAGGAACGACAGCTCACGAACAAGGAACCCTAGTTAAAGAAAAATCACACAATGTGAAGACATGCCTCTTACGTGTGAAAACCCTCGCACTCACCCGGACAGCCGCAAATTCACATGCCCAAGTTCGGAATATCGCCTTGTCATGCACAAACTAGTGGCAAGTCAAATTCGGAATGAACAAAACACATCACATTGCAACAGCGGCATCCGGCAGCTTTAATAATGGAAGTCCAGCGACTCTCACGCATGTCGATGGAGGGCTGGGTCTCAAAATCCAGTCGACGTGCCGGGGGTGCCCAGGGCACCACATGCACGAAGGTTGTGACTTCAGTGCCTGGTTTCATGACTTTACAGGGCAGTTCTCAAAGTGAGAATGTCAAGTCTCCTTGGGTTTGGGCGACCGGTGTGTCACTGTGTCTCACAGAATATCTCCTTGGCTCCATTTGCAACGCAGGAGCTCTGGCCCTTGCGGAATCGCTTGAAGTTGGGCTTCCCTTCTGATGGGTGCACCTCAGAGGCCACGCATAACAACGCGTGTATCCTTCACATGGAGCATTTTTCCTGTCTTCACTGGCCTCCGGCGCGCGCTTGTCTGCCGTTGCCCACGAAGCGCGAGGCAGCTCGACGCCTGATGGGGTGGGTTCAATTCAGCCGCACCAGTGCGGTCAAGGCGCGTCGGCAGAAGCAGTTGAACTAACGCCCTCGATCCTTCAGATTCGTGAGTGCAGCAAGACGACTCGCATGGGTGCCTTCCAGCACGAGCCGATTCGAACACCGCGCCTTCAAAGGATTGAGCCAGATCCTGCAAGTGCAATACTCAGTAGATAGGAATACAGCTCCGTTCATAACCACAGATCTCGGCAGGCAAAGGGCCCGGTCGGATGTACAACAGGCTCAGCGCCATCGATGATGAGCTCTTCCTGCGAATTGCTGAGCTATGCATTTACCTGACCCCAAAGCTCCAGAAAAACCGAAAAGGCCGGTGCTGCTCCTCCGTCTTCACCTCCGGAGGAAGATGCGTCGACTGGACGGATTGTATAGTGCCCGGACTGATCTTTTCTTCCTGCCAGCATAAAGACTTGAACATGACATGCGTAAAGGAACGACTAACCGGCCTGTTTTTCTTCCAATTTCGGTCTTTGCGACATTGGCGGCACTGCTGCTCTCATGCTCAGAGTAGCCTGCTGGCTATGAATCACCTGTGCGAAATAGACCGAGCAACGGTGAGGCAGTTGCGAGACGAGAGCACGTCATTCACACCAGCTGCACATACGCGCATGCACGTTGGACATGCAGTCTGGCCCGAGAATGGAGACACTATCCAAGCCTCGGCGGGACGCTCTGGCTCAGGCTTGTGCCCTGGGACAGATGCGCCTGCAAAAAGGTTGGCATAAGTTCCAAGTAAGGCTTCTCGCTTTTCCTCCTTGGCGGGTGTTATGTTTTTTCTCCCATGGCGTCAAGCAAGCAATGGCAAGCATGAGTCAGCCCAAACATGACTCCAACCGCGATATTTCCTTCGTGAGAGACAATGCTATACTTCCCTAAACCATTGGATCCGTCGAAGGACATAATACTTTAGCCGGCAACACTAGCTTCACCTGGATTAGCGAGCAAACAACCTTACTAACCACGAACCACGGAGCTTTCCTGACCCTTTCCTCCCTGCCCACCGTTTGAGTCATTTTGAGTCTAGGGGTCGTTGCAGGCAAAGGCCGAAGGAGGCTTCGTGGTCTCTGCCCAGGCCTAGAGCGTGCGCGCGCTCTGCGGCGCCCTTCGGTCCGCTCTGCGAGGGCAAAGGCTGCTCGGCATTCGCCTTCTCCTCAGACACCGTGAGACATCTTTTCATCTTTTGACCCATCTCGTGGCAGTGCTACGGCGCTGGCCGGCCCCCTTCCGAGCTCCTCCCCGAGTTCCTCTTTCACCTTTAGCTCCACCTCACCTCGGGCCCCGCGTCGCGTGGTCGCGTGGCACCGGTGCCGGTGCGCTGTCGCTGAGGAGCGCCGCTTCTTTGACCCCGCACCCTGAGCTGAAGGGTGCGATGTTTCTTTGGGCACTGAGCTTGCAGCTTCGATGAACTGGCTGTGGAACCGTCTCCTTCGGCACGTGTCTCTGTCATGCAGCCGGTACTCTCTGGCTCTCGGCAATACAAAAGAACTCTGCGACTCCTCCTTGGCTTCTGGCGCTGGCTTGGGCAAAGCATCTCCATCCTTCATTGATCAGAGAGCCAACAGATTCTAACCGATTCAAAAGCTCCAAACTTCTGCACCCGAATTTGCCGAGGTTCCCAAGGCATCGGGCGCTTGCGGCTTATCCTGGACCTCTGCCGGAGCGGTGCCTGTGCCTGTGTCGACTCGTTCTGATGCGTGTCTGGGAAGCTCTCTGGAAGCTCCTGGCAGCTTCTATAGCTGGGTCGTGCGCGTTCTAGGACGTGTGCATCAACGGCTGCCGAGGTTCCGTCTTCGGAACGATGGTTGCCGTGTCGGTCGCGCGCGTCTTCTGGCCTGAGAGTAGCGCCGCCACCACAGCCTGCGTTGAAAGGCAGCCCACAGGTTGGAAGCAGTGCAAAAGGCTTCTGTTGCCTGCTGGCCAACGACCAGGCACCTGAGCAAGCACCCTGCAAACAGCGACTTTTTCAAGCCCCAAAGTCGCGCCTGAATCCATGCAAACCCAGGCACGGGCAGCGAAGCTCTCCAAGCTCTGAGAGTAGGGGTGCCAGTCCTGGCGGCAAAGCCTTTGACAGCTGGTGGGGATAGAAAGGTAAGGAAGGCACTTTGCGATTGCAAGGGTGATGGCACCCCCCAATTCAGGCCAGCAGCTGGGATGATCCATACCTCACTCGGAGCTCCATGCATCGCCACACCTATCCCAACAAGGCCACGAGCCTTGTAGGAGAATAGACGTGAATGTGGCTGGCTATTGACAGTGACTGCATGGCATAATTGTGTTTCTCCATATTTCTCGGGACTGTAATGCCTCGCTTGAGGTCCTGTACCACGCTGCCGGCTGGCACATCCTTTGACGGCATGGCAGCAATCAAGTCGAGGAAACACATGCAGTCGCTTCAGCTGCTGCAAATAATGTCCTGCGCCACCAACAGGAACGATGCCCCTGCATGCTCTAGGGGCAGGTGGAGTGCATCATAGGCCTCCAGCTGCGGTTCTTGGATTGTCCATCAGGGCTGCCACACTATGCTCCGGCCTGCTTGTGACTGAAAATGATCCAGCTGCCTCGGGAAAAATGTGTGCCAAATGGTTGTGTTACTGTTCATGACCTCTGTGTCCTCCCGTTGCAACGAGGAGGCCGTCTCGTTTGCAACCCTTAGTTTAAAAAGTGTGGTGTCCTCTGGATGTCTCGAGTCTTCAATGTCGTAGAGACTCTTCGTGAGCTTCGAGAGAGTGGACCAAGTTTGATTTAAAATTTCTGGGAAGGAAGAAGCTCACAGGCATGCTCGACATTTTGGCAAGTGGTCCTTGACCTGTGAAAATCGAGTGCTCGCCGTGTTTCGTGGCTGCTGGCATAGCTTGCAATGGCGGATTTTGAACTCGAGCTCGCCTGTTGAGCCCTGTGAAATAGGTTTGTAACAACACGAAGAGAACCTGTGCTGCAAACCAACCAACATTCCTCCTATCATCAACATCTCACCGACCCTCTTCCTCACAAAACGGATCTGCACGAACTTCACCATGAGGTGATTGCCGAGTAAACCCGCTTCTCAACCCGCGAGCTAGGCTCCGGCCTGAAGCGGAGCGGATCGTTTCGCGGGCTATGGTAAGGGTTTCGAGGATCTGGCAAGTGCTGTTGATGCCACTTCAAGTGGCCGAGCTAAGTAGAGACCCCGCGCCCCCTCATTAATATTGATGCTCGATCCTCCAAAGTGCCGCGGGTTACAATGTCAAAAACTTTGGCACATCTCGTATCCATCCTCGTCAATATTAAAATTGGGGGTGTGGGGTTATGCTCATGTGTTGTGTCACGTGCTATTAAATAAGTGGTGCAAGATTTCCTCCATCAACCGTTGCAGCATCTTGTGTCAACGGCCTTAAGACCAGTTTACGAGGGGGGAAGGTTTTGAGGCAAAGAAAGGCAGGAGCTTCAGCGCATTCACACACAACGCACTGTTTTGCCGGAAGGGCTCTCACGGCTAAAGAAGATTTGAGACTCAAGGGATCCGCCGCAGAGAAAGAGCCTTCAGAGCCTATTGGTTCACCGAACAGAAGGCAGGCTAAAGCTGAACTTTCACACTGGGCAATTTTTCTTTTCGGTGGACCAACGACTCATCCAGCTCCTCAAGTCGCACTGTAGGATTTCTCAACCATTTGATAAAACCTTCACGAAGACCGACAGAATGCTTAGTCAAAACATCAGCATGCATCAAAGTGGTCGGAACCCAGTGAACCTGTTCGGGACTGATATAGTCCTGTATCGATCGAACCGACATGGTGGTCCGTTTCTCGGACGTTGCAGGATTGTCTGCTATGACCGAGTCGTACAGACTTTTACAGTCGGTGATCTGAAGCTGAAACAAGATTCCCTGTGTATTGAGCTGTTCGGGCGTTACTTTGTTGCCACCCAAGAGCTCGGAGAGGAAACAGTTGCAAAAGGTGCACCCGTCCACGCACTCGTCCATGGCATTTCCACGCACTCCTCCATGGCATTAGCTTCTGATGCCAAAGTGGACCTGGTCACTCGTGGACTTTTGGAGCTTCTCCAGTCAACGACTGTCGCACGTGCGACTTTGTCCTTGCACTCAGGACCTGCAAGGGCGGGCTTTTTCCATGAGGAGCGTTTGCCCAACTGGAGTCGCCGTAGCCGATGACATGGGTCGCGTAGTTGAGGCTGACACCCTGGAAAATCAGGCCGTCCTCAGGAGTGTCCTTGATGTAGTCAATGCACTCGTAGAGCATCTTGAGCTGCTGCGGGCCATTGTCTTGACCCAAGTTGCTAGGGGAAGCTGTTGCGCAAATGTCAGGCCTTGTGCTTCCGCCCAACCACTGCAAGCTTCCAGCGCAGCTTCTGTACTCTTCGGCAGTCAGAGAGCTTGCTTGATCCAACCGTTTACGTGGAAGCTTCCCATGCGCAAGCTCGTTGATGAAGGCCTTTTGCGTGCCCTTAATCTTGAACTGGCCTTTGTCTTGGATCAGCTTCACCTCCTTGCCTTTGCAGACAAACTCCCCGTCGTCCAGCAAGTTGGTTTGTCCCCAAGTGAACATTTGGGAGAGCTCGTCGAAATCGTAATCCTCGCGAAAGGCCACCAAGAAGTCGTCAACGTGGAAGAGGAGGATAATGAGGAGGTCACCCACCTCGTCGCACTTGTAGTACACGGTGTGGTCCAGTCGATGTCTCTTGAAGTTTGCAACGAGGAGTTTGGACACGATGTGATTGATCCATGTCCGCGGCACGTTACACACGCCGTAGGGTTGCCGACGATCTCGTACAAGTCGTGTAGGAAGGTCTGCGCCATCATCTGAATGTCGTCACGCGGTGGTCTCATGAAGATTGGCTTGTCCCGGGCCTGAGGTTGCCCTTGAAGAAAGGCAGTTGACACGTCGCCGCCCCAAAGCTTCCAGGACTTCTTGTTTCTCTGTACTCGCCGGTTGTAGCCTGCACACGCAATCTCATAGATCAGGAACTCTGCCAGTCGCGTAGGCGTAGGACTCGATCGGTCAAGTAGGCCAAGGTCAGGTTCGTGACATCCTTGTATCACCGTCCTGCGTTTGGCCTTGATCTGTGGACCAGCTCCTCTGTTCTTATCCGTGTAGGCATTCCTTGACGGCATGGTACGGCGTCCCAACAGTGGGTCTGCACGTATATTCCGTGCTTCGTCAGGAGGAACCGGCCTAATCGAACCCCACGAAGTACAGGACTCGAGCTCCTTCTTGTTTGCCTGCACGTAGAGAGAGGTCTATCACGTTTGTGGGGAAGTCGGCGATCAGCTTCCGCCACGGCATCCCTCTATCGATGGCTTTCTGCTCCTGTCTGGACCAAGTGTCCATAGGTCGAGTCTCTTCGTCATCAGAAGAGTCAGAAGAAACCTCCGTGTCCTCAAGCTTTGCGGCCGAACACCTGAAGGCTGAGCAAGGGGGGGGGGCCGTCGCACTACGCAGGAGATCCGTCCCTTCCCATGTCGGGGTTGTAGATCTCGATGTTGTCGAGGATGAAATTTGCGAGGAGCGGCGCGCGGTAGTCTTTGTTCTTCTTGTTGTGCAGCTTGTGAACAGGAAGGGCCTCGTGAGGCCTTTTAGCAGGAAGTTCAGGAAGAGGTCCTTCCTCGGTGCTAGTCGCCTCCATTCTCGCAGAAGCTGTTTCACCAGTGCGGCCAAATTGGCCTCCTGTACGTTGAGCTTCCAGAGTCGCTGGCTCGGTGTCAGGCCTGTCGTTATGAGAGTTGCGGATCCCAGCGGTTCTGCTGAAAAACTCAGTTGAAAACGGAAATTCTGAGGTCGCCGGTGTGTCCAGGAAGGGAAGAAGGAACAGGTGGTCGTTGATGATGTCCAGGTGCTGGTGGTGTTGAAGGTGTACGGGCCTTTGTTGCTGGTTCTTCTCCTTCGCCTGGAGCTCGTAGTCGTTTGAGTCGTTTGGCTGCTTCTCGTCGAAGCGGTGTCGGAGGGTCGTGGTGTTGAAGGCTGGCTTGGCGGCTTGGCGTTGGTGGTTGTAGTTGAGGTTGCGTTGGGGTCGTAGGCAAAGCTGTAGTCCGGCCTCTGGACCTGGAACCCGAGCGCGGTTTGGCTCCTGGTCTGGCGTGTTGCTCGTCGCCCAGCTGCCAGATGTTTTGTTGCTGGTGGCGATAAGAAAAGATGTGGACGTTGCCGCCAGCCGTGGCCTCTTTCACCTGGAGGTTTAGCCGAGCTGCTAGGCAAAGGCGGTGACAAATCATCTGCTTCAGGTGGTGCTTGTGATGCTTCAAGTTCCTGCTGTTGTTGTTGCCGCCCGGGAGGTAACTCGTAGGCGCCTGGCTCGCTTGGCAGACCGCCAGGAGGTTCAGGAACCTGTTCAGGAAGAGCTTGTACGACTGGTTCAAGAGGCTCGTCAGCAGGAGGTCCTGCTTCGCGTGCGTCTTGCCAGAGACCGTCACGAAGTAAGTTTCCATGCATCTTTGAGCATCTTGGCGTCAGTCGGGCTTGGCGTCCATGTCTCAATCCCGATTTCCGGTCTCAGCTGCTCGTGGGTCACCTGTACAAGTCACCCCCCACGTTGTGCCCAAGCGTTCTTATCGTCTTTCGCGCCCAGGCGACCAACAATGTAGCCGCCTCTCTTCCTCCCACGAGCCTTCGGATTCCATCTCCAATAGGCCACCATGGATCCAGGTAAAAGCTCGTTGACTCTGGCTCTCGAGGTTGCTGTTTTGCGAAGCAAGGCTCTTCGTATCACCGAAGACGCCGACATCTCAGAAACAGCTTGACAAGCCTGAGAACGTAGCAGTTCAATGCTGTTCAGCAAGGAGTGGTAATCAGAGGTTGCGAGAGCAGCTGAGTCGGAAAGAAGGTCGTCTGGTAACCGAGGTAACTTGCCGAAAACTGCCTGCATGCTGCTTCTGCCGCGAGCTTGTATACTCGAGTTCACTGCCCATATGGCTGCTCTCAAACACATGTCGAACTGATCCTTGTTTGTGACCCCATTCTGGTCTATGATTTTCTCTAGGACACATCGGAAGACCGCGTTCTTCCTCTCAATGGCACCCACTTGATGGTGCCCGTCTGCTGGCACTGTGTAGGAACTCCTTCAAACGCACCATCTGCGTCCACAGACATTAAAAGAGGATACCCATAAGGTCTTGACCAAAGCGTGTCGAAGTCATTCAAGACGATTTGTGGGTCTTTTGATGGAAGGATCGCCGTTTGGTACAGTTTTGTAGCTAAGCGTGTCACTCCGAGCAGCGCATGATTTATCGAAGACAGATCTGGGACATAGAAGAGATGAGCTTGAAGTTGCTCGGCACATTGACCAACGAACTCGGGAACTGAAGCGGGCCGTGGTCTGAGTGGACCACGTGCCCTCTCACAAGTGCCGCACTTCACGTGTTCCAAGGCAGTCGGAACTGCAGCATTGATCGTGCCATGTGCTGCTAGCAATTTCACCAACTCTTGCCTCGGCAGACCTCACCTCCTTCGGGATGGTGTCAGGCAGCCCAGGAAAACTCACATCGGTACGCAAGCCGGGGACATGTACATCAGGAGTGTCTCTAGGCTCTGGCTTTTGATTTTTATCATCTTCTGCTACACCATAAAAACTCTGCAATGCGAACAGGAGTTTCGAAGCGAAGGCGTGGTTGCCGAACTTTGTTCAAGTCTTTGCTCTCTATGAGCAGCTGGCCATGGTTTAAGATCATGGCTGCGCCTCTATGTGTGTATGGTACATCAGCATGCAGGCATCCTCCTGGTAACTGGCTGCGCGTACTCCTGCGCTCTAGTCAGCTCCCGGGGAACAAGCTGCTTCAATTGACGCATCTTGTTGCTCTTTTCACTCAAATAGTAGTACCTGCTTCTACCCAGGCGTTTTTCGAGGCTTTCCAGAAAACTTATCCGCTGTTCAGGTGCATCAACAGGAGGGGCATACCGTACTTCTTGAGGCTGCTCATCGAATTCCATGGACACATCATGCGAACTTCGTCCTGAATGCGCTGCATCATGACATCAGCTATGTTGCATGTGTGGCGATTTTTGACATGTAGAAGACACCGACAGTTTGTGACAAAAGAAACTTGCCTGGCGGGATTCGGGGAGCTCAAGCAGTTTAAACAGGACGCCCGTCACGTCTTCACGCACGTTGTGATCGAAGCCGACTATGAATTTACCGCTGTGGATCACCTGAAGCTCGCAACACTTTTTTTGAATGGCAATCTTGACCTGCGCAGACTGTTTGGCTGCATTGCGTACATAGAGCACTCGTGGTTTGATCTGGGAGGCAATCTGCAGCAAAAGATCGGGGGTTTTGTCGAGCTCGAGGCCCTGGAGATTCACTAAGGAAAGACCCAAGGTTTGTGCCGGCGAAGCAAGACTGTAGTTGAAGCGCTCTGTTGCAACATTGTCCTCCCAAAACACTTCGAGAAGATAAGCTTTGTGGCTCAAGTGGAAGTCGCCAGGCCATTGGTTATAGACTCCCACCTCGCTGCCCAAAAGCTGAAGCGTTTTCTCAAAATTGCGCACCGACCTTTTTCACTGGCCCGTCTTAAGCGGCGCTGGGCGCCTGGCGCGAATCACAATGATCCATCACCAGATCCCAGTCGTAGCCCTCCTGGCTGTCGCTGTCGTCGATAACCTCCGTCGGTGTGGCCTGCGTCTCAGGGTACCTGGAAGCTGAAGTCGCCGAAGACGGTTGAGCCGTCGTTTTGGCTGAGCAAAGACAATCCCCGCAGGTTGTGAAGCGGCCCTGGGCGTTGCCGTGGCGCTTCATACGAGTACGTGGTCAATGGCTTGGTGGATTCACTGTCACTGGCTGTGGCTTGTTCTTCTTCTTGACTCACCCGCCGTTGAACACCTCCCACTGTCGACGATCACTTGCCCTTGCCCATTGGTGGAAGTCCGACGTTCTCAGCCACAGGCTGGGGCAGTTTTTCTGGCCTCCAGGAACCCTCCCTGATTCCAAATTCCGGCCACCCACCTCCAGTCTTCGCGAACAACGCAGCTGCGTGCTGGTCCACAACCTTCTGGCCTTTTGGCCGATCTCTTTGCGGTTCCCGTTGGCCACCGAGGAGAGAGTGGCGTTAGTCCCGAGTTCCACCAACTCCTTGGCCACACTGTCCGGCTCCGCCCCTTTTGCAGTCGCGAACTCTTCGAGCTTGCTAAGCAGCGCCGTGTGCAGACGGACATTCAACGGAGCACCCTTTCCTTTGGGCCTTTGACGACGGCGTCACGGTCACTCTGGTAGAGGGCGACCACTTCCTTTAAGTGTTCGCAAACCCGGCCTTTCGACGTGTTGGTGAGCTGCTCGAACTTCTCCGGCGTCTTTACTTGCTTGCAGCGCGAGGTGTGAAGTACGCGTGAGTTTTTGTTTCACCTGTGCTAGCTGTTCCTTCAACACTTCCTTGAGCGCTTGGTAATCAGGCGGTTGCCAACCGCCTTCATTATTGGCTGATCGCGTGCAAGCTGGCAAGCTCGTGAACTTCTTTCGCGGTCTTGGGCAAGAAAAAAGAGGGGTAGCCAGCTTGCCAGGCCGACTACCCTTTCAGGGGTGCAACCTCCGGTGGGACCTACCGGGACCACCATCGGTTAACACCCCCATTACGCATACCGTTGGCTGCTGCGGTAGTGTGTGACACTGTAAGCGGTAAAACAACGCCCACAACAACATGTAACACTCAAGAAGCAGCAGGAACACCCTGATACCTGACCACGCACCTTGGGCCTATGCTGCACAGTCTTCGTTGAGGTGGTAGTCCGATTTCATCAGGGCGCGCAGCTGCCCTGGATCGTCAGCTCCGCTGACAACTTGAGGCAATGAAAGGCTGGAGCTTCAGCTGCCGAAGCGCATGCACACACGACGCATTGTTTTGCCGGAAGGGCTCTCACGGCTAAAGAAGATTTTAGACTTGTAGACTCAAGGGATCCGCTGCGGAGAAAGAGCTTTCAGAGCCTCTTGGTTCACCGAACAGAAGGCAGGCTAAAGCTGAACTTTCAAAGAAGGATCGGTCACTGCCTTGAGATTTATAGCTCTCTTGGCATCTTGGCATCTCGAAGAAACCACGTGTCGTACTAGTAGGTCCTGAGGCCGAGGTGCCTTTCAGGAGCTGACGCCGTGGAGATGGGCTGCTGGCATAGGCGGAGAGCTCGTCGCCGTAGGCCGCATCGGCTCCTGCCAGGAGCTCCAGGAGCTAAGAAAGCGCGCTATGTGGGCTCAGAGTGCTCCTCCAGGTGGGCGTGGGGCACAAGAGGCCGCGGCTGGCCTCGGTATGCAGCCGTGGAGGTTCAGAATTCTGAGACCGAGCGACCTACTCGCAAATGCTGCTCAAAGATTACGCCCGTCTTTCAGCGCTGCGTTGCTTCATCCCAGGAGCTCTGGTCGGAGCTCTGTGTCGCGGCGAGACACGAGCTCGTCAAGGAAAGATGAAGTGACTGGCAACCTGAGATCAAAGCGATTTGAGAAAGATGATTCGATGCTTCCAGCCCTCCTTATTGCTCCAAGCCACGCACCGTCGATGATGCAGCACAGCAGCTTCCTGAGTCTTTTCGCTGTGAGATGTTCACAGCACAGTCAGATCTAGGACCTAGGATGAATCCAGCTGCGGAGTGATCGCCCACTGCTCGATCAGCAGGTGGGTACACTGCTGCGTCCACTCTGTGGTGAGGAACCTGCTCCAAAAGGTGCGTGCAAAGAGATTTTGGCTCAGAAGTGACAGCGACCTGCGTCACCTATTAAGCGTTATGAAACAGAATGACCCCTGACCTAGCCAATATCACCGGTTTAGGCCGAACTCCGACTGCTATCATGCTTACTCACCGACCGACGGATTTTCCCCAAATGAGTTAGATCTACTCGAAGCAGCTAGCTGTGCTGCGCAAGATCTCGTCTCATGCAGCAGGAACTCCAAAGCCACGGTGGGGACAAATCTGAGCACCAACGGCAAGGGTCCGGAGAAAGCTCGAGATTGAGTGACAAAGCATTAAACAGATTCCATGTTTTCAGCATGCCGCCAATGCAGCATTGACTACAGAGGCCAACACTCTTGGAGTCAGCCGCCGTAACCCTTTCATGTTTTCTCTGCTTCTGGACCCGCCCAAAGACGCCGCGCTGCCGACATGCTCGTGCACTGCGTGGCCGACGGACCGCGAAGGTGCCGCAAATGTGCAACCGAGGCAAAGTCATTGCATTCCCGACCGATACGAGGGCTGGATGCGTTTTACACTCGACTCCGCACCCTTGGAGTCTTGGCCCGGGGTATTCTTCGGTTTTGGCATGTCTTGGCTTGAAGTGCATCCTAGACGCACTCCACATGCACGGGCCAGGTCTTCCAAGCCCCGCAGCTCAGGTGCCGAGAGACGGCTAGAGACGCTGAGGAGAATGGGCCTCCACCTCCTTGGATGCACAGAATATCACAGAATCACCAGGATGTTTGGTGCTAGAGCTGCTCGCGGACTCCAACAAAAAACCCATGAAAGGACGGCAGACGAAAGCACGGGCTCTTAGCGTTGGGACGTGAGTTGCGAGCCGGTAACTCTTGGGGTACTTATGCGACCCCTGAAACAGCTTGCCCATTGCCTAAGTTGCATATTAGGTTCGCCGGGATTCTCGTTGTGAACTGCCGAACCGAACTCTCAACCGCCGGCAAGCCCTCAAGCTGCCAAGGTGCTCCAGTGGCTAGACGCGGCTAGATGCTACGAAGTGCTTTGGTTCATTCACGGGCGTTTTCGCAAAGTGGACCGAAGCCGAAAAATGCAAGCTGTTGGACATAACTATGACAATTTTCAGTTCTTCAAGGACACGGCACAGTGTGTAGCGTAGTGGGTCAATGCCGCACGTGAAGAAATCGCCGTCCTGTAGCTTGACCGGAACTCCTTTGCCCGGTGTCTTCAGCTCATTCACAAAAGTGTGGCCGGTGGACGAGCGGTCAATGAGACTGACTTCCAAAGGGCGCACATCAGCCAAAGAACCTCCAGGAACGCCAAAGCAGATGAAGGCGCAGCATGGTGGTTTTGTATGCGACGTGTCTTATGGCCTGCCTTCGGTTGCATTGATCACCAGCTCAGCATGAACTCTTGACACAGACCTGATGGCTGCAGGGTTATCAAAAAGTCGAGAACAATAGTTCATTTCCTGATGTCGCGTGCTGACAGCAACAGGAGCAGGGCTCACGAAGATACGCAGCTTACTAAAGTCCATGGCATGCGACTGGTGGGTCGACCGGATGATGGCAGTCTGTCCACGGCCGACTTGCGCAGATCCGGGCAAGAGCAAGAGGGGCGAGTCGCTTGCAGGCTGGCTCTGGCTCGCCCCTTCCAAGGCCAACTGCCAGCTCATCGCCTCGAATCGCGAGCTCACGAGCTGGTGGTCGTGACTTTGCCCCTTTCAGCCGTTATGAACTTGTAGACAAGCATCTTTCTGCGGTGCGGCCCAAGGAAACCAGTGTGGTGATGTGCAGTTGCATCATGGGAGCACAGACTTACTCGCTATATGAAGCGTGGCTCTTTCTCGTGCGGCGGCTTGTCGTGACAGGTTGTAACCTGCAATGCTGTGTGTGTATGCGGTTGATGCGGGCTGTTGCTCTATTGCATGTCTTGGTCTTCACTGAGATCATAAAGAGGAATCAGCTAACTGAGGAATCCGTGGGTCTCTGGGCGTCTGCTGCATTCATCCCCAGGTGTCGCTCTGCCCACCTCCAAATCTGGCAGCAAACGCCTGGCTCAAGGAGCATTGCGCGAGTTGCAAGCTCTGGCAGCAGACGAGTAATGACTGCCTGTAAGTTTGCAGCAGCTTCAGCTCGTATCTCTCCAGAGCCAGAACTGGCCTGAGCGTCCAGAATCACCCTCTGGCTGCTTCAGGAGGTGACAACTCGCCCCCTCGTCGGGGTACAACGTCACTACTGCACCGACTCGCGGTTGAAAAGCCGTTTGGAACGCTTGTTTGATAGGTTGGAACGTCTCAAAAGATCGTAACACACGTCCGCGGTGCGGTGGCCTCGGTTTGAACCGATGATGCTTCATCGGGAAGCCCGCTAGATCTCAGTAGCACATCAGCTTGAAGTCTTATAAACGATCGGCAGTCGGTCCAGTGATCACTGCTCGGGCATCCTTGGACAGCTGCTTTCGGCCATTCTGTTGAAAGAACAGGCCCAACAGTCAGAAGACAAACCACGATGCAAAAAATAACGCATCTTCAGCTGTGGAAACAGGTTGTAAAATGCATGATCACACCGCTGCTCGTCCTCTCAGCTGTCTGCTGTCGTTGTACAATTTGTGGCTGGTGCCATCTCTTGGGGCCCTGGCTTGGATCGAATCTGAGCCCTTTCCTGCTCTGTCGGCTCGCGAATTCGGTAACCTGCCGTGGCTGGTAAAGCAAGAGACAACTCAGCGATGGGCCATCTACACGAAGGGCACTCGTTCCAAGGCTGGCCTGGGACTAGATCCTTGAAGACAGCAACGCCTGAGAGCAATGCCATCAAGCGGGTCTCACGGTCCTTGCTCACACCTCGGCATGCCAAATCAAGCGGAACAGAATGTCTATGTTGCACCTGTTGGCTTTAGTAGCTCTCTCAATGGCAGCATCCACTACCCGAGCATGCTTCCGGACACTCGGTGGCCAACGATGTAAGTGAAAGAAAATGTCGAACAGGTCAAGCTCCTGACGATCTTGGCAAAAGCCTTATGCCAACAGCTTGCTCCGTCAATGACGTCGGGAAGCAACAAATTGCTACTGCGTTTGCAGTTGGTCTCCCTCCTTCCCGAAGCTCAACCAATTGGCCAAACTGGTGCGGGTCCTTCTCGGGCTCGGCAGCAATACGCTCTGCAGCGGTAGCTAGTCTCAGGCATAGCTCAACAGAGCGGGCTTCCGTCCCGAGTGAGTCACTCGCTACTTGCACGCTAGCTGCACACTTACACAAAGTTCGGTCATTCTCTGGGGTTCAGACAGCCTTCGGTCACCAGCCGGCCCTGTGAAGAGCGGTAGCTGTGCAGCTTTGACGATGGAATCACTCAGCGCCTATAGCGGTTTAGCGAGTTGTCTCATAATTCTTACGGGCTTTCCTTCTAGCAAGCACTTGTGCAGGTCCTCCAGAGCGTAGCTTCTCAATGAGCTCCGAGGCTGCCTCCAACGCTCTCCGTCCGAGACATTGCGAGATGAAAACGAGCACCAAGCACAAAAAAGAGCCGCGATTTTGGGCATCGCTGCTATTTAATAGCAGTTGTGGTATAGATTGGCAACGGTCTATGGAAGCATGGGTGCGTCCGAACCGCAGCCCTGCTGAGCAACGCACACATGACTTGGTCATGGGGCGCGTAAATCAAGAGTGCTCTGGCCTCAACTCTTCAAGTCGTTCTGCTGGTGTACTCCAGCTTATGATGATGGACAGGGCAAGATATGAGTTGAGGCCCGAGCAAGCTGAAAAGCTGTACTCTGAACCCACCGCATCTCGAGGATTTCCGCGATGAGACCCAGACTGCCAGAAGACGACTGACGACACCAAATCTTCAAAGTTAAATTCATCGCATTTCGATTGCTCCCGAGATGAGGCCGAGGACGCCACACACGACAACAACGATAGGGGCTTGGACTTGAGTGAGTATTGGCCGGTGAGCAAACTTGAGCCAATGCACTCCCCAGAAGGCAATCAGGCCGATGCAGGTGGATGCCTCTTTCGGAATAGGGCCGTTCGGCTTCGTGTTGTTCTCTCGTACTCCGGCTCCCATCTGGACCAAGGCGGCACAGAGAAGGCCCACAGCTGCTGCATTGAGGCCCGGAAGTGCCCGTTTGTAGGTGTCGTTGGAACGGAACTGGCCCCAGAAGGGAAGGATTCCGAAAATGAGCATGACTCCAGGCCCAAAGAGACCCAACCAGCAAAGCACAGCCCCCAAAACGCCCTCTCCCACCGTCATGTAAGCCTTGTAGCCAGCAGCTGCTCCAAGGAAGGCAGCAAAATTAAACAGAGGCCCAGGCATTGCTTGTGCCAGGGCGAGCCCAGCAAAGAAAACAGACTTGTCCACCCAGCCCGTGGGGACCATCTCGTTCTCAAGCAATGGAAGCACCACCTGGCCACCGCCCCAGATCACGGTCCCCGTCCGCCAAAATGCCGAAAACCAAAACAAACGCTTGAAGCTGGACTCCTCGAGTACCGATGGCAGGACATAGCTTGCCACGAACACAAGTGCCACAAGTACGATGAGCATCGCACCACCTATTGGCCCAAGGCCAAAATGCTCCACGCCACTTTCCTCTGCTGTGGGAGCTCCCCGGGTGTCTGACTCAGGAAGCGGACCACGCCAAAGGTATGTGAAAGCTCCACCAAAGATGATCAGAGTCGGGAAGATCCACATCCAATTACGACCGTTGCGTTCAACTGGCGCGATGAGTTCGGCCGAGTAGTACAGCAAGACGATACAGCAAAATCCAGCTAAGACCTTGGCATCTGCAGAGCCGCACGCCTTGTTCCAAAGACCAATGGCCGCCGAGGCTACCAGTGCCACGCCAGCTGCGCTCAAACCTCCGACCAAGCCAGCCAACCAGGTGTAGTCGCTGATGACCTGAAACGGTGGCTTTTCCACAAAACAGTGCAAGCTTCTGAATGAGAACCGTGCCTGCGGCGTAGCCCAATTGTGGGCAGTCAACCCCAAAATCGTCATCATGATAGCCCCAGGATACTGGAACAGAATGCCACTGAGAAGCCTCACAGTGTGAGCAGGTGGAGAACGCATGTGCAGGCTTTCAACGTCCACAAGCCCAGAGACTTCGATCGCTGGGGTGCGCTATACTGATTTCCGCCCGGCGGCCCTCCGGCAACACCCTGCTTGGTTGTACCCAGCGCAAATGACCTGCAGCTGGGGTCCCATGAACGAAAAACATCCGGGCGGCAGTGAACAGCATGAGATGGCGGCAAGATGCGGCAAGTGTACAGGAGCGCTTTGATGCCCTGTGCGTGTAGCCCAGAACTTGCATCAAAGACACATTTGCGTAGAGCTGGGGCCAGGCCTTTGCTCACAAGGTCAACGTCACTTGGGCCCATGTGGTCTTTTACACCTTAACCCCCAGCATCTCTGCTCTTGTGCATTCGGCCAAGAAGGTTGCACGGTGGGAGGAGTGAGCATGTTCTGAAAGTGTCAGTGGCATGGATGCCAGCATCGATTTTGAGTCTGGATCGAGTGAGGGATCTTTTACGAACGTGCAAATTCAACACCATGGATTTCAAGTGTTTCATTCCAAACAAATTTGACAAAGGTCGACCGGAAGAAGAGACCGACCTGAAGTGTTATGAGTGGCTAAACCCTAATCCCATTCCTTACATCGTTACAGGTCTGCAATGCCCGTTGGGAACCGGAGCCTAGCGAGGCGAGCTCAGGTTCTGAAACCCATGCACCAGAGCTAGGACAGGAATAACGACTAAGCGAGATGAATTGAAGTAGCCCTCGGGGTGAAGCAAGACATGCGAGGCAGTTGTGCGAATCTTTAGCACACTACCGAACCAGTTAAAGTAGCGGCAAAAACCTGTACACCTAGAATGGCAGTGGGGTAGTTCTGTTACCCGCTGCGAGAAACAAATACACTCGCTGAGACACATGGAAGAGCTGCATGGCTGGCGCTTGGGCTGCCCTCTCAACTCAAAACTTGAACAGAGTTGAAATAGCACGACATCCGTCCCCGCTGATTTGCCACCTTACCTCGCAAAATCTCGCTACATGTTACCAGTTGTTCAACCTCCCGCTTCTTGTACTCGGGCTCTTGGTGCTCTTGCACACTGCAGAGACCATCGGAGTTACTGTTGCCATCCGGTTTGATTCTTGCAGGTGCCTTCTGATGCTGAACGATGCCCTTTCGACCCCTTTGCCCCCTGCGGCAGAGCCTGTGTCGAGAATTGATTGCAAAGACCTGCCAGTTGCACAGCCTTCATCCTGGCGTGATAAGTACATAAGAGCAAATTCATCCGGTGGCGAGTGAAGCCTGGCTTCATAGGCGTAAAGCTTTGAACCTGGACTTCCCTGCAGTTTGCTCAAGTCTGTTCTCGACACGATTGCCGATTTCCGCCTACTAAATCATCGACGTACTAGGTAGCCAAGCTGCATGCACTGGCACACTGCGAAAAGCTCGGTGAAGACGTCGGCACTCATCCACCCCAGCCGTTCTACGAACGTCTTCCTCACAAGCTGGTGTCTGGTGTCTGGTCGTTTTGGAGAGGTTCAGGGTTTGTAAGAAACAATGCGCTCCAGGCATGATAGCACACCGACAGCCGCACACACACACACACACACACTCAAAGAGAGTGACATCGTTCAACAAAAGTGATGGCACCAACATGCCAAACCAAACTCGCCATGATGCCATGATCTGCATGCTGCGGCATTTTATCACTCGAGGATGCTACGCCTCGCCGAACTCGTCTTGAAGCCAAGATTCTGAAACAGTCCAACATGTGCCGCAGGTCCTCTAAAATTCCAAGGCCCAAGCAGCTGTGTCACATTGCATCACCATTGACGACATGACACTCGAATGCCATTCTGCTCCACAGTGAACAAATCATCAGTTTCAATTCTTGGACTATAAGCCTTAGACCAAGGGCTTGATGGTCAGTGAGAGGAGCATGATTTCATGGGCATCCTCCGAAGGCTGTCCATCCCATGAGCACGAAGTGCTTGGCAATGTCGGCGAAGCCTACTTGGACCTGGCAGGCACTTGGAAGCACAAAGAACTTCATCGCTACTTTCATCGAAGAACTGTGTACCTTCGCCGGCACGGTGGTCTTCGGCTCTTCAACATTCTGTTCTGCGAAATCATCCATGGTGAGCCACCCAGTATCGCCCCCTTTGAAAACTTGACAGAGCCAAAAAGGCCTGCAGTATGACTTGCAGTATGCTCAGAGCATCTCAGAGCTCTCAGCGGTTTCCAGCCCAGCACCGAGGGGTCAAAAACAGTGGCCTTTGAGAGTTGGCCATCCTTGGCTTTCGCCTCGACGAAGGCATATCCCTCAAAGGGCTCACGCTTCCGTCGTCCCCGCCTTGCCCTTTACAGCTTCCGCCGCCTCAGAAGCGTGTCGTGTCCAGCCCGTTGGCTGAAGTCTCTCGCATTAGACTAAACACTCTCTCGCCCCTTTTCCGTAGAAGTCTCTCAGACTATCAAAGCCAGGCTTGCGAGCTCCGGTGGCCTCGTCCGCTGCCTTTTTTGCAGCTGCCGCAGACGTGTTTGCAACTCGAGCCTGCTGAAACAATAGATTCTTAGATGCAGCAATGGTCGGTATTCAACAGAAAAACCTCCTCTTGCACAAAGGACCAACGCGCGGAACCACATTCAGGTGCAATGTCAACACAGCAAGTACTCTGCCAACAATCGTTGATGTTGAATGCCGGCGCCTTCTTTGCCTGGAGCTTTTCGATGCGTTTCTGCTTCTTCCTGCAGACATGACATGCCGAAGCTTCTTGGGCATTTTTTGGTCATTTAGGCGACCTTAATCCCAGTCCTTCCGACTTGTTTTTCATCGCCAGCTTCGGGCACCTTGCGCGCGCGGGCCCATTCCGACATCTCCTAGCCTCTCATCACCGTGATTCCAAAGCGCATTTTGGGCTGGAGTGCAGCTTTGATACAATCCTGCCGAGTTCCTGCAGCTGCGAAATAAGAGTCGGCTGGGTGGGACACCGTGTCGGCACTGCGGCCGCGCTTCTTACGCGACCTCGGACCATCTGATTAACACCACAGCATTCACAGTCAGCTCGGCCCAGGGCTTTCTCCGGCTGTGAACTGCTATACTGCGTTCTCTGCTCGCGACACGTGGCTTGGTCCACTTTCTTTTTCTCCTGCCCTTTGCCACTTCACATGGGCCTCGCAAGGTCTTTGTCCAGCTCGGGCTCCCAGCGCTCTGCCTTCCCTTGTGCCGATTGATCGCGGCTTGTCTGGATGTTAGCCGCACAGAATCTCCACTCTGAAGACCGTTACTTGGCATGGCCAGGTCAACAAAGATCACAGTTTGAATTGAGACTCCATGCATCCATCCTGAAGCCGTGCGGAAAAGATCTCTTATAGTGATAGCGGATTTGCAGAATCCCAGAGTTATATACAGAGGACCCCTTTGCAACCAACCACCAGCCATGGGCACACCGGGCACGCTTCGACACAGTGTGGGGTTTTTATGGTCCCGGGCTACAGTATGTGCCCAGTATGTGCCTGGCGGCCTGGTGGTTCCATGCCCACACTTTTGAGCCTCTGAGTCCAGCAGGGTCCGGTTTTGCAGACCGTTGAGGTTAGACTTTGACCGCACAGGCAGCGATGTTTAAATGGATCAGAATCAGAAGCAGTCCTCAGCCTGTAGCCGTTGCAACCTCAATGATAAGCTCCATGGGATACGACACAGGTTCGCACTTTTCCGTCAGAAACTAAGCTTGCAAGTAGCATGTCTATGAAGCCATGAGATGCTGAAGTGGAACCCATGCAAAGGTCATCTAAGCCTCCGTGGCCTAGCCTAACAGAATTCCACCACTCTTTCTCTCTGCCCCATGCTTCCGCATGCTTCCGCTCAGTTCTGGTGCCCCACGATGTACTTCGAAATGCAGGAAGCAAATTTTGGTGGAAGCATGGGGTGCTTATAGACAAAGCTTTAAAACTTACTGATGATCAGCGCGGTGGGCCTTTTTGCCACAAAGCCAGCTGCCCTCTCAGTAGACAAAGCTTTAAAAGGGGTCCACCCCCAGCGCCAGCAGAGCATTTTTCGCTGCCGTCCGGACACCTGACACCAAGCCAGGAGAATGATGCAGCAACCCCTTACCACCTCGTTGAGTGCACATTCTGTCTCTGTACGCATGCGCAGATGTGCGCATGCATTCATCACGGGCAAGCTGCTGATGTCGGTGTCTTTCTGCACCAGCCGCTGAAGAACCTGGATCGACTCCCTGTCGCCATTCCTTGCAACTTTGGCTGTGCGGAGGATGCGCTGTGACAGGTCCGATGCCAAAGTGCCCAATGAAAGCAAAGACATTGCACCACACGTCAAAGCGAGCAATCGCTTTGAGTTATATTCTCAGGCTCCTGCTGTACAAGGCGAACAGTCGCACGCGTGGCTGCGACACGGACTCCGGCGTCCATGTGCTTTAGGCAAGGGGCCACCTGCAAGTCTGCAAATCTAGTAAACAACAGCAGCAGCTGCAGCTTGGAGCATGCTTTCACGCTCTGTATGCATTCTTTAAGCAAAATTGACAGAAAATGCCAAATACCGGGGCTGCCTGCCTGATTCTTGAGTGCAGAGAGCTCCGGTGCCATGATCTTTCTATCTTTCCCGTTCCCTGCAGGGCAGCACGATCTCCTAAACGAAGGAGGCATCACTATCAATGGTCGGACAGACTGTAGGGCGGGGTCTGCCGAATCTGCTGCTACCAACTTTGCCCATTGCCCCTGTCGCCTCCATGAAACTCTGCCAAAGCTTGCAATGCCAACGCACGTACCTCGGGTTGATATCGGTACTAGTGACGAGTGCCGCTGCGCTTGACCCTCTCGGCACCCGGTGCCCGACCCGAAGATCTCCCAAACGACTCAGACTTGACTGAATGACAAACGGCTGCACGTCCATGCAGGTCAGGCTCAAATCTGAGTCACAAGCCCTGCGACCCTTCAACGAACACTGCAATGAATTAATCAACCCAGACTGTAGCGTCTACCTGCTTCCAAAATCAGATTTGTAGGAGCCTGGCTGTGTACGACTACGGCAGTCGGGCCTGCAGCCCCGGGACGTCGAAATTTGCAAAAACAAAGAAGCCCAGCTATAGTATTCTTCAGTCCGATCGAGCTTCTGCAGCACATTCATCGGCCAAACAGGCGGAGAGGGCTTGAGCAGCCATGGTGGCAAAGCTCGTCTCCTGCTGGGAAAATGCAGGTTCCTGCTGCCGCTGCTGCTGCTGCTGCTGCTCTGTCTGCCTATCTTCACTCCTGCCGGACAAACGACGACTGAACAGATACACAAATACTAGCTTCATAACAGCATCGACAGGCACAGGTATGAAGGCACACGAAGATCACGAGCTGACGTAACAAAGCTTGCAAGCAACTGAATGAACACGAAACGAGAAGCGATCAGCAGCAGATTGTAACTTCCAGAGACTAGAGTTCTAAAGCATGGATGGATCACTCCTGCAGCCCGGGAGTGCATTGCTTGGCCAAAGGCTGGACTCTCGCCACTTAATTGTAGAATTGTTTGGGTATACGCCCGCTGTCGTCGGACACGCCTCTGCCGCCTCCGGGCGACGTCGGCAATTGCAGCGTTCGCAGCGACGCCGCGCTGCAGCATTGAGCACAGCACCCGCGGCACCAGCCACAGAGCTGCGCACCGACCTCAGTCTGCTCAATACAGCCCTTCAGCCCTCGTGTTTGGTGAGACAGACTTGCGACCCAGGGGCGGATCAGGGTGCTGAAGGCGTGCTAAGACTGCGAGAAAAGCGAATTCCAGCCTATCTGCATATTGTTGAGGGTCGCCTGCCAAAGCAGGCTTCTTCGCAACATCGCTAGTCCTTCTCGACAACATGCCCCTGCCACACGTCCAAACCACAACAAATGATACACACAGTTCGCTGCTTCTGCCCGAAAGCCCATGCATGTTGACGGCATGCGTGCAGATTCTTCTGTGCGCCTGCTGGAGCACAAACAGGACCTTAGCTGCAGCCATTTAGCGATTCCATGGAGTAGAAATGAATAGAACATTGACAGAGCAATTTGTGATGGCGGCAGTTGGGTAGCGTCTTGGCACTCGATGCTATTGCTGCAGCGGCACATCCGCTCATTGAGACGAAGCGGGCGAGGCCGCGCATGGCCGCCGTCCGAACCAGAGCACTCCGGTCATGGAGCAAGGCGCTTAAAGCGAACCTCCCCATTGCGAAGAGTCATGCGAAACAAGCGAAAGTAACTCACGAAACAGTCATGGTTGGCATGTACGAAACCAGCACGAGGTGCGTTGCCTGGCCGCTTGATCCAGGAACTCCGGGCGAGAAGCCAAAGCCTGATCAGCAGGAAACAAAAGATGCCGGAAAAAGACCAACCACCCGGATTCGAATGCTGTAGTCCAACCCGGTGGCATCTGCTGGCTGAGCACAAAAAAGTGTGCGCTGGGAAGGATGGATTGGCTTTCAGTGCTTCCTTCCCCGCTTCTTCTTCCGAAGACTTGCCCCTTTCAAGTCCAAGCGTTGTCCTCTTCGCATGTCCGGTTGAGAAGACTTGGTGTGACTGCTGTGCGCGAGCCTCTGCCGCCGCTGCCCGCACCGTATCGCTCGGGTCTAACAGCCGCCGCCTCAGCGCGTCTGCTGATGCATCACCTCAGTGCTGTCAAGAGCTTAACAGTATGCCCAAGCTTGTGGCGACCTGTGTGAATTGTTTGTGGATGTCTGTGGGATGCCAGAACACGACGGAAAATCAAGAAGTTTCTGCATACGTATCCGTGACCAGTCAGTGGCTTCGCGATGAAGATCCAGAATGTGAGGTTTGGTGAGGCTCGGAAAAGATCTGGGATAACGGCGCAATAATGCGCACTGTGGGTTCTCCTGCTTGGATTCATGACGCTGTCGTGCTCCGGGGGCCGTGCAGGGTCTGCGGACATGAGTAGAAGGAGCGGGAGCCAGCCGCATGTGTCTGAAGCAGCCGTCTTGGATGAGTTTTTGTCATGTCATCCTTCCTGCAAATCGTCCACTGCTGGCATAGATGGGCCTCCCTTAGAGTCGCATCCTCCTGCACAGGCTTCATCCGAAGTCCATCGACGAAAGTGGTGATCATGTTGGTCAAGAGTTGAATGCCCCCTTGCCCTCGCATAGAGATTGTTTGTTGTTCTTTCTCGTGACACGGCGATGAAGTGCAAGGACATCTGTATCCTGGCACACAAGATGTGCATCCGGGTTGCCCATGATGCCCAGCATCTGCACAGCGACGAGCCTTTTGCTCTCATCACGCAGTGCATTAGGTGGTTGACTAGCTATCCATGCAATGACATGCAATGACGATGTGGTTTAGTCTGTGTGCACGGTCCAGCTGACACAAGGGCTTAACAAGCGCGAGCCAATACCGGCAAGCCTGGAGCGCTCATCTTGACTTTCGAGACGCTCCAAGACCTTGCAAGCAAGCGCAGTGCTGCACCTACTGCTGCATCTTCCACACCAGATGTGTTGAACAAAACAGCTGCCATGACCAGCAGACAAGCGTCTTCCTCTCGCGTTCCAGATCTGCCAGCCTGAAAAAGGCTGGGAGGGACGAGGAATCACAAAAAGCTGATGCCTTCCACGTGTAATCAACCGGCTAATGACCTTGCCAACTACGATTCATCTTACAGGGTGCAACATGAAACTATCATGTGACTGCTGCTGCCAACACAGGCACCCACCACCGACAAGCAGCCACGACAACGGCTCTTATGCTGCCGAGGTTCGCCAGCAGCTGCCATGAGGACTGAAGTGGCCAAATCTTGAACATCTCGCAATGGCTGATTTAGGCTATCCCAAACCTCGGTACCAAGCCAACAAAGTCGCAGATCTCGCTGCACGGTGTCGCTTCACCGCTGAGCTGTGGGCTTCAGCCTCCACTGCCGACCAGACCTGACGGTGGGATGGTGGTCTGCCGTCACCACGTCTATTCTGAAGAGGCTTGCCTCTTGCTGGTAACAAGGTCAGATCCTAGCCATGACGTCTACATTCTAACACGCTTCACGCCAGTAGCCCGGCAACCCGTCCCCGTGGTGTGCACGCGCCCCTGTCGTCTCCCGCTTAGGGCACTTAGTTCGGTGATCTGGAATCCCTCGGCCGAAGGGCCTTTGGATCTCCTGCGCTCTCCTTGGCGATGCCGTGAAGGCCCTGCAAAGCCTGGGATAAGAACACAGAAGCAGCTGCGACCTTGTCGCTGTCCGGGCCGAACCTCCAAAGCCAGGGCAGAGCTCAATGAGGAACGCAAGATCTCAGTCGTAATCACCAACCTGGCCGACGAGCTCAGCGCTCCCATGACATTCCGCCAATGTCGCCCCCCAAAGTGCCCACACTGGAGGTGTCTCAAACTGCACAGAAAACAGCCCACTACCATGTCTGCCCGAGGCTCTGGAGCTCGATGCAGCCGTCTGCGAAACTTTGGCAGCGGCATTTTTCCGCCAGGAGCTGGTCCCTGCCGGAACGAAACATACTCAATATTGAAACATTCCCCACCCCTGGCCCGAAGGCCGACCCGAGGAACCTCTCTCTTTCGTCAGGGCTTGGGTGTAGGGGCTTGACCACCTACACCGCGCGCTGGTGCGCCCCCGACTGTTGCGGACGCGAATGAGTTTCACTCACACTCAAAGGCTGCTAGCCGCGCTGCTAGCCCTCGCCCCGCATCTAACATGACAAGCAAGAAGAAAACAATGAACAGTAGGTAGAATGAACATGGCTCGATGCGTTGCAGCAGTCATTCGCGGGGCTACCCCCGAGGCTCTCTCTCTCTCTCTCTCGCTTTCTTTCGCCAGGGCTAGGGGCAAGGGAAGACTAGCCCCCCTCGCCCGCGCGCTCTCTCTCTCTCTCTCTCTCTCTCTCTCTCTCGCTTTCCCGGCAAATCTCAAAATGGCCCACATCCTTCAAGGGTCAGAAGGACTGCGATTCGGCCACCCTTTGGACCGCATGAAAAAAGTCTTTGCGTCTCGGGGGCCTGTAGAGAAGCTTCTGACCTGAGCTCTGGGCATAGGGATACACGGAATGCCGGGCCAAAGCGAATGGAGTACTGTATCTTAACCACTGCACCCGTCCAGTAGCTCTGTCAATCTGTCACTCTCGAAAACTCCCTAGAGCGCTTCGACACCACTCCTGAAGACTCATGTTTGGCATTCACTGGTCTCTGCTTGTGGTTTCCCCACCTAGGGCCGGCACAAATCTTCGGGATCGCCCAGTCTTGCTCGATTCGGTACTTCACATCTTTCACGGTTGACCTATGTTCAGAGTAGCCAGAAGATGCAAGCCGTTTCCCGGAACAGTGATTTTAAACATCAAACAGCCAAGTCGAACCGAATTCGACAAAGCCACTCTGGGGGTACTTCCAAGTCGAAGCTCTGCCCTGATAAGCTTCGAATGCGGCAAGCAAGCATGGGCGCCACTGACTTCCCCTCAGGCTCCAGTGGCTGCAGAATGCTGAAGGTTTGGTTGAGCTAGCAGCCACCAGGGGGCATACAGGCCACTTTCAGATGTGACGTTCCCCATAAAACCTTTCAGGAAACGTTATATGGCATTCGCTGACTTACAGACTGCATTGTGGCAGGGCTGTTGTCGCCCTGGGGGAAGTCCTGCAAGCCGTGGCTGCGGACATTCACACTTCTCTCAAAGTCAGCCAGACGGACGAGACAGAAAGTTGAAGGGTCCACGCCAGGCCCCTCAGGAGCTCGTGCTCAACTAGTGTGGAGCCTCGCTCCGGCAAAACCCTAAGCCCGGTAAGCTAAGCGATCAACATGGAGCTGGCGCCTCGGTTGCTGAAGAACTTCAGCCGTTCGTAAGCTCATCATGTCAACATGTGACAAGCCTCCAGAACTTCGATCAGTTCTTGATCTCTGTAGGTCGCGAACCCATACGGCACTCGGGCCGGGATCAGGAGCTCCAAAGCACCGCGCCGTTGCCATAACACAGCAACTATAACTACAATGTAGCTACAGTATGTATTGCGGATGCATGGCATACTACTGCAGCCTGACTCAGCTAGCATGAGGGAGACCAAAGTGTGATGATGTGTCCTCTGCGGTTGTCCGTTCTATCAGTTCCTCTACGATGGCTCTAAAATGCTCAGGACCTTTCATGGAAGGGTACCGAAAGCAAGCTACCTTCTTCGCTTTGGGCCGACACTTTCTCCGTGAGTGTCATTGGCAAGGCAGTGTCCGCCAATGTAAAATTTCTCAGTGCATCGCAGGGTGAACATGAAAGCCCCTTTCTCGGGTCGGTGCTCAGACCGCTCGGCAGCTACTGTACGGACGGAAGCTACTCACTTCCACCGACCGAGTCACCTGGGAGTGTTGTGGCATGAGGAGGCGTGCGCTTTCCACGACTGAGGGCGTGGTCAACGTCGCTGCGGGGGATCTGAGCTCACTGCATACTGCACAAACTCCGGCAACCTAATCCCCACCGACCTTCTTTTCCGGTGTGCTCACTCTCTGAGGTGCGTGACGAAGGTGCTTGGCAGCCAAAGCTGCAATTCGCTGCGGTTGATCACCACGGAACTGCGTGATGTTCCTGGCAAGTGTATTTGATTGTGTAATCACAACGGAGAGATTACAGTCGAAAGCTGCGCTGACACGCCATTTTTCGAGCTTTCGAGGATCTCATGTAGTCAAGTAGAGCCCCGATAAACACAAGCCGAACTTCGCATGACCCCCGCTCACCACGACCCCCGCACCCCACCCCTACACAAGGGTGTTGTCCGAAAGACATTCCTTGGTGTCTTCTCCTCATGCACACGTCTTGCCGAACCATTCGCACGTGGAGGACCGAGGCATGCCGTGTGCTCACGATATAGTGTACGTTGTGCAAGGGTGCGCCACGCCTTCCGGAAACAGGATCGATGACAGCCCACTTTATCTCCGAGGGCCTGAGTCCGCAGGAGCTTGCTGTTTGCAGGCACTCCTGGGTCCCGTCCTCTCGCGGCTGAGTGCGAAGCCCGGTGTCCCAGGGGTTGCGCCTCGGTAGAAGCCCGGCCTTGCTCTTTCTGAGAGTCAGAGCCGGGGCTCCGACAGATCTACCCAAAGACGACCTTCGGGTTGTCCGGCCTTGGCTCTGCACTGTCGCTAAGTGGGATCCCTGTTGCAGCAGCCGGGATACACGATCCCTCCCCGTTTCTTCACAAGTCTTCTGCATGCAAGCCGCATCGGTACCTCTGACGCAGCACGAACGAGTGCAAAACTCTCTTTCCTCGACGCCGTCTCTTTTGTGTTGGCCGCCTGGTTTCTTATACTCGTCTTCCCTTCTGTCGCTTAGGAAAAGGTTTGCCTCCGCCGTCATTTCCCTGCTGCCAGCTTGCGGGAGATCCATGCTGGCGCAGTCACCAAGTACAGGCACACTTCAACTGGGGAGTTCTCTAATCAATCTCACTCAGCCTCTGAGTGCAATATCATTTTAGCACTTTGCCTGCCACGTTTCGTTGGTCCCCGTCGCAAGACGTAGAACTCATTGCAGAAACGTTGGTCAGGGCCCGGGGTCTTAGTTGGCCATTGGATTTCAAGCGAACGTCAATAAGCGGCAGCGATTGCAGCCCATCCCGATCCAAGACCGTCTTGCAGAAGCAGCGGTCTCTCTCGCTAAAGCCGGGCTTTGCAATGCTTGTTTTGCAATGCTTGGCGGCTGCTGGCACTTTGCTCGAATAGGGCACAGTCCGGCAGGTCTTTCAAAGCATCGAATGCGTAAGCCCCAAGGTACAACACCCGTCACATGCAAGTGCTGGAAGGCTTGTCGGTACGGTTTCTGGCTGGGTGGCTCTTTAACCGGGGGTTATGACGGTTATGGTTTGATATTTACAGGACCAGCTTTCACTTTTCCTGCGCGTCTGTGAACCGCTGTGAGGGTCAGACCTTCCACGACATATTGTCAGTGCCGGCCCGGCAAGGGAAAACCAGCTGCATCCTGCTACATGCTTCGTACAGATGGTCGCTCAAGCGAGTGCTGTGCGGCCCTCAAGCCGCGGTCTATACAGGCTGCCATAGGTCGTGTGTGGAACTTTGCACCACGAGCTCGATTAAGCAGTTTCAGGCTGAACTCTCGCAACGATCTCTTGAAGTACGGAGCCCATAGAGGCTTTGAACTGAGCTGAGCGTGATGCGAAGATGGCCAGCTCAACTGCGGCTGTCACCACGGCGTTCAGTTGCTGCTTCCGCGCCATGTCCAGATCCAGTTGTGACAGGTCGGTTGAAGGACGATTGAGAGCTGCAAGCTCCAAGAACTCCACGTCCACGTCGTTCAAAGACCGGTGGTCCAGTGACTCTATCAAGGCTCGCTTGGCACGCATTGCAGAATGCCAAATACCGTCTGCAAATGCATTGTGTGGTCGATTGGAAGATGTGACCTTGGGAAACTGTACAGGCAGCAATCTCACCACCAAACATCCCCAATGACATGCTTACTTGGAAAACTTATATTTGGCCTTCAACAGAGACTGACAGCACCCCTTGATTCGACTTCGTTTGATAGATACGTGCCTGTCGGAAAAAGGACGGAGCTCCGAAGCCGAGATGCACAATACAATGCAAATGGCCGTGGACGTAGCTACTAGTACCGTGTGAGATCAACGGCATCTGGTGCCAACGCTTTCTTTCAATCAGCTCCAACCCTGAGTATTCTGAGCACTGCACAACCCTACAGATGCAAATCAGCAGCTGTCATCCTGTCTTCGTCGAAAACGAGGCCACTCTTGTCTGCTGATCGCCGCACCAACTGGACAACAGCCACTGCCGGAAGTCCCAGGAAAAGGAATGGCTCCATCCCTTCCAGATCATCTGTGGAGATTCGTCCTGGAAACTCTGCGTTTAGGTGCAGATGATTTAAGACTAGCTGGGGCACAAAAACGGTCCTGCTGCATGAAGTTCCACGCCAAGGGCCACTGCGCGCTTCAAGCAGGCGTCCCAAACATCCTGGAACTGACGGCGGCATCAAATGCACGCCATGCGCGTGGAGCTAAGTCTGCCAGGCCAATGTCAGCACAGCAACACCTTGTCCTTCATGCTGAACTCGCCTACGAGATGCCTCCAGGTCAGTGAGGACACGGAAGTTGCAGGATCAATGCTGTGGTCCTGCGTCAACAGCTGGTTACAAGGTCCCCACTAATCATTTCACTAATCCCTCCAGCTAAAATAAGGGTTGGAGTGGAAGAGCGGCAGGATTGCAGGGATATGCAGGGAAGCCTGGGACTCATGTGTGAATTGCGCGCCTGGTCTTCGCTTGCTCCGATCACTACAGGTGAAGGTCGAGGACTGGCCTCACCCAAATAGGCTCTCTGAGCAAAACAAACAGCTAAAAACCGCCTGGCATCACGGGGCTGGGTTGAGTGCCGTACACCTGTTCAATGCCTGGCAGGGTTAGGTCTTTGTGAATGTGTAGAGGCATGTTAGCTCTCTCAGAGCTGTTTGGAGCCGGAGCCATTGCGATCTCTTTTTCTCTTCCTTTCCGTCTTTCGGAGGGTAGCCGGTAGCCTCTCTCTTTCTCTCCGCAGGCTTGCAGAAGAGAGAGTTGCTCCCTCCCCACCCCGCTCTGTCAGGGGCCCGTCTGCTCGGCCTGCTTCGGGCTGCTCCTAGTGAGTCCACTTCCAGTTTTTCGGGCATCTTCTGGAAACAGGAAACCGCCCTGCAACAACATCTAAATTTACACCATCTACCTTCAAGCTCAGCTTGGCTGCTGGGCTCGTCGGTACGGGAGACGTTGCTCCTGCCTGTGTTCGGCTTGCTGTGCGTCTTCTTGCTTGTCTCCCGTTCCTCTGGCCTGCTGGCTTGCTTATGCTGGCCGCTGCTGTTCGCCGGTTGGCAGGTCGTGTATTGATTCTGAGGCTGTGCGACTTGTGTCCGAGATCCTTGCCGGTCCATAGCTGGGGGTTGGACTTTCGGTTCTGGGTCTGAGGCCTTCGCGGCTGTCGTTCTGCTCCCGGCCCGTGAGTCCATGAATGCCCCATGAGATGCCAGGCGTACGGGGTCATGCGACAAGACGCGAACCCGACTGGCGGTGAGCCCGGCTTGTTCTGCAGTTTTTGTGCATCTGAGATTGAACTGCCCGGCGCTCCTTGTTGCTCGCTCTCTCTATCTCTTTCTCTACACATCTTTGAAAGCGTTGCAGCAAAGCGGCATCCCAGGGCGAAAAGTCAAAGTCACGGTGATATCTCCAAATGTCTCGGAACATGTTCTGCAGAAGCTCCTTTGCCACGCACAGTTCTGCCAAGCCCAAGTCCGCACGTGTCTTTCACGGCCTCCCTGTTTTGCCCATTCTCTGATGGAAAGTAACCTTGCCTGCGGCCAAAGGGCTATTACACTGGACTCTTCCTCATCATCCGCTGCACACACACCTGTGCCAAAGACTACTGCCGAATTTAAGTGAGTGCCTAACTTGACACCAGCCTGATCTGGCCTCCGACTGCTAGATGCCAACAGCTGTACTCTGGGTAGAAGGCTGCAGACATCGCTACCCAACCTTCGAGGTAAGTTGAGCACGGCTGTGTTCTTTATCAGCTGTTACTCGCCAACTGCGGCTTCCACAAGCTACAGCAAAGCCCCAGCGGCTGATCGTGACCAGGAAGATGGCTGGAAGTGACACAGCCAGCATCACAGGAGCACGAAGGGGAAGAAGCAACAGCGACAAGAGCGCCATCTCAGAGGTTGGAATGTCAGCAAATATCCATGTAATGAGACAACGGCGACTGACAGTGTAATATACGATGTATACGGTATACAGCGCCTGAACGGCATTCTGGCCTCCTCTAAAGGGCCGACAAAACAGTAGGTACATGAATCGACACCATGTACCCTTCACTTCCCTACACCTTCACTACCCTTCAGCCCCAGGGGCACAACAGGATTCAGTGCGAAGCGCCCTGCAACTCCGGCACAAGACCCGTGGCGTCCACACTAGCGCGGTCACTGCATAGGCCAAAGAGTAGGCAGGCGCCAAGACAGCCCCTGCAAGTGCGCCGCGAACAGCTCCAAGAGCCTTCGCATCAGATCAGGAAGGAGCGGCAAGTAAGTCACAAGTCCATGTGGGCTGGCGAAAGTGTGCTGAGGGGACATCCTTTGAGTTTCGTGGGTGGCAACCTACCCAGAAGTTTCATGAACGACATCTTTTTTTATCAACTGAAACCAAAGCCAACTGGCCCCTACTACGGCTGTAAACTGTCAACAGTGATGCAGGATGCTTCATCTTGCGCCCTTTGAAAGGCATACCCTTTGCTGGCAGCAGTCTTCACTCATGCAATCGGATGGTCAACTCTTCCCCAATGAATCGGAGCGGCGAAGGTCGTCGGTCCGTTTCGTCTCTCTTCGCAGCCGATGCTATGTCCTCTCGGCCTTTTTCCTCACCCTGCTCTTCCCCACGACCCTCTGATGGAAAACCACCGCAAAACACTGCGATACCGGGAATACTTGAATACCGGGTCGCTGCCCGAAGAAGAAGTACAGGAAGCAAGCAGCACTGGCCCGCGGATGCCAAGCAGAAGAAGCCGCACATCACGCAGCAGCCTCAAAGAATTGCGACTGCCAATATGCTGTTTCACTACTCTATGGCTCGCTGCCAAGCTGCAAAGCGTCCACTCTTGACAGTTCCTGAGACACGCGACTTCGCGTCGCTGGTGGTGGTGCTGAGAGACTTTGACATGGGAAACCGCGTTACAGTAGAGTAGCTTAAGTGCCAAAATACCGAAAAGTCTAGCATCCTCCGTTCAGTTCCAAGAATGTCGGTGCAAGACAGCAAGCCGTGGCCAAACCTGCCGAGGCACTGTGGCTGTTCCCATTCAACCGCCATCACTGGCTGAAAACTGCCTCAAGGGTCGCGACTTGCGGGAAGATACAGCGAAGCACAAACGGTACGAAGAACATCGAAGAACCCCAGAACTCTGGCAAGGCTAGACCAAGGATGACCATGACTCTGAGCGGCCGGAGCTGTGCCAAGCCATGGGTCCGATCATTACCCGGGCTGTCCCGGGGATTCCTTGTCGCACTGAATGTGAGTACACGCGATTGGAGAAGGCCACCAATCTTCCCGGCAAGGCTTCCACGACGTGGCACTGACTGTCGCTTCGAAGGATGAGCTGGGAGCCTGCACCTTGCAGCCACACCATAACCGTATGGCTGTGAACTTCGGAGTTGCGACGGCCACCCCAGGAGTCGCGATGGTTCTCCACATCGCCTATGCTCATCATAGCTGGGACAGACACATGGCCGTCGCCGGGACACACTGGAGAGGTGTTCCCGCTTGTCAATGCACGAATCTCTTCAGCAAGCCGCCTTGGCAAATTTACCGAGGTGGCGAAGCCAGTTCCAGCGTTAACAGTGCCTCGGAGTGCGCCACCCTGAAATGCTGCGAGCCTCTCTTGGCCCAACTCCGCGAGCAGATCCGCCTGGCTCGGCAAAGTTGTTGCAAAGGTCTATGTTGTCAACTCTTTGTGTATCCGGCAGCAGAGCAGACTGAGTAGTCTGGTGAGAGCTGAGCAGGTCATCATCAAGAGCAACAACAACTGCCAAATTCTCGGTGCCTTCAGCTGATTGTTTATAAAATCATCTCGCACCATGAAGTCGGGCACCTCCGGACATGAGATAAGCATGTTGGGCATGCTAGGCCCACCAAACCGAAACCTGCAGGGTGTCAACCTCCAAGCACTGAGTTGCATCTCCGCTAGCAATTGGTCAGGTATGTTACATTTTGATTCAGGACTTTCTGGCCTCTCTACGCAGGGGCTTCTCTGCTGGATGGTGGTTACTTTCACATGCTGATCCTTCAATTCAAAGCCTGCAGAGTGAGAGCAGCATGCGCATTCTCACCGTGGTCGGGGCCTGCTCGCACGAAGCCATAGTTCGGGATGCTACGGCGCAGCAGCGCGGGTTTTGGCTCGCGCAGGGAAGGGAGCAGCAATGTGGTGGAATCACCGAAGCATTAACCGCGTCTCTTACCATGCATGCATCATGGCCGAATACTGACTGTTCCAAGGATCCTAGATACCATAAACTACCCAACAACTATTTAAGTAACTATTTTTTGAGTGCACAAGCACTATAAGTGCGGAAACACTTCGGACCTGGAGCCGGGTAAGGATTGGTGAACAACAGCCAAAACCCGACTGTCTACTGAGTTTTGCACTTCTCATGGAGTTGTGCGGTTCATGGTGGTGCTAGTAGCAGTACTTACCAATTCCAAGCTCAAGATGCCGAGTTCAGCCTGCAAAAATCCCGAAGCTTCAACTTCCTGGACTTCACGTAGCAGTAGATGCCTGGAAAAAGGCCATGCTAGGGGGTCCCTGAGCCCGGCCGGTCCTTCACACAAAGGTGGGTGCTTACCAGGAGCAAAAGTGTGCCTGCACCTTGGCTTCGTCTATGGGGTCTCTACTGCGCCGGCTGGCCTGCAGGCTAACCTGTCCTCCAATGTCAAACGTTCTGTGCACCAAACTTAGGACTTAGGCCCCGGCCTCACAACTTCCCACATGACATCTCTTTCAGCAACTATTCGAGCAAGTGCCCACTCATGCTCTACGCTGCACGGATTGCACGTACTTTGTACCAAGACAAAACGTGACGTTCTGCGCTTTTGCTGCAACGCGCCAAGAGCAGCTTTTTCGCGCTGGTGTCACACGAGTTTCATGGAATGGACGCAGTCCACATGCCCAGTGAAATCCTGGACAAAATGGTCCTGCTTTGGGTCAAAGAGCGCTACCCTGCCGCTGAAGAAGGCCTCAGCTGATCCCAGGCAATGGGTCCCAGCATGTCCCAGCGTATGCATGCTTTGGGGGGTGTCGGCAGCAACATGGAAGTCATGTAAGTGGTCTGACTGTCGTGGCTTAGCCATGCTGCCAACAAGATCTGCTGCCCTCCAGGAGCCCACTGAGCCGACGTCACGTAGCCGTGCTCCTCACAGCCAGAGCTGTGCAAACGCGCATCTTAAACTTGGCATCACTCACCCGGGTAAGTTAAACAGCTTTCTTTCCCTTTCCATCTGTCTAATAGGCACCAGCTTTCGGAAGCCCGGTCCTCGAAGAAGCCTGGTGAAAGCTCCGTCAGTGTTGCGTCACGAGACGTGAAACAAGATCACATGTCCAGATATGACCTACACCAAAGGTTTTCGGCGCACAAAATAATAGGGCATGATGCCAACGTGCTTGACCTGTCCTTTGCATTCTCCTGTCATGCGGCTCCTCTCCACACAGGTCCTCATGAGCCTCCGGTTGCACTCTCGGGGCGGAAGGCTCTCGTAAAGTTTCATAGGAAGTCCTTCCAGTTCTGACAGTTCAAGCATGTCATCAGCCTACCCCGCTGACACACACCCCAACAGGCTGTTCACTCAGCTTGACGGATATGTGGGGAAACGAACATCCTCCCAAGCATGAGTCAAGATTCTTCGCAAGCACTCCCCGGTTTGGCTGTCGAAGAGCTTGGCATCCAAGTCGCTAGAACCTGATGAGGCGAGTTTGAGCCCTCTGCCGGTGCGTGTGTCTCAGATGCACTCGAGTTCCTCCCGCTATGACCTGGGGGCCTGGCAAGTGAGCACAAGACGTCCGTCAGCAGACATGCTGGCGCCAAGGACCGGTGCCGAATGTCCTGGAAAGTCTTGCAAGCCTGAGCATGCTTTTTGCGTCCTAACAATCGTGAAATATCGACCTTCTCTCTGCGTAAGAAAAGCAACTGAGATTTAACTAAGATGGCGGCATGTTCCACTTCTGGCATCGAACAGCTTGGCAGAATAGTCCTGCGAAGCAGTGAGGACCTGGCAAGTTTTCAGAGCCGTCCTGAGCGGAAGAACGCGCACTCAGCGTGCCTTGGTGAGATCTGGTGAGAAGTTGGCAGCACACAAGGCTTTCGTATGGCCTTTGAAGGTGCTTATGCACTTGCCGGTTTGTGCACAGAACCTCAGTCTGCGAAGCTCTTAAAAAACTGCTGGACTGCTCAACCGGGGCATACTACCGGAAGTTCCTCTAACCTCCAACACAAATCAGGATGCGACATGGTTTTGTACTGCAGGCTGAGACTCTGGAATTGTCGGTGCTCTTAAGCTCCCATAACCTGTAGGGACCTGACCTTGCAGTGCCTTGCCACAGTTCAGCGAAGCGGCAACTTCGCAGTGCCATCCTTCGAGGCAGTGAGGATCTGCGCACCGTCTTGCGACATGGATGCGCAGCGGAGCACATCGGAATGCCCCACCTGTTAGAAGCCGAAGAAGCTTTGCTTTCTGCTGCCGTCTCATCGTGCAAGATGGGTGCACTACTCTAGCACAGGGCTTCCAGTCGGACGACTCGGGAACATGTCCAGCAGTCTCGCTGAGCACTTTGCGAGAGACAAGGGGGAAGAAACGGAAAACATCTGCCTTGTCTCAAGCTTTGCAAATTGCCACCGTCACTTCGACCTCTGAAACTGAAAGACCTTGTGGTGGATACTCAGCTTGTTCTACACGTGGCAAGGCCAAGGCAAAAGCATTAACTGGCCGGGTGCCCTGCCCCAGGAATTGCAGGCCAGCTACGCAGGAGCAAATCCTCTCTCCGGTGCTGCGATCGTAAAGGTCGGCAGAGCCATCCTCGTTTGAGCTATGAAGGCGTGCAATCTTGGGTCTGGAGGGCTGGAGTAGTTCTACAGAAGGGGACTGGGCCCCCCTGGATCCAAGATCCAAAGATTGCAAAAACAAGTTTCTTAGGATCCATCTTGGATCAGGGCGGCCCAATATCATATCAATTTTCTGAATATATTAATATGGACGCGCGGCCGTTGGAACCCCCCCAAGTAGCTCTACTTGTTTTGTTTGGCCAAGCTTCGAAGATGCTTACCAGGACCTTGCTGGCATCAGGCGAGAATGCCGCGGCTGTCATGCCCCGACTCCGTCCTGGGCACAAGGCGCGCCTTGGGCGCCTCGAAAACCGGTGAAACAGCGCCACTACACAATCCAGTGCTCACTTTGGTAGGGACCTTTGAAAGCACCTACCAGTAAAAGTCATAAGATCGGAATATCCCATCATCCTCTCCGGTGCAGGTAGGGGTCCCACTCCAAGTTTATGTTTGGGAGCTTTGTTGGTTGATTTCAGAGGCCTTTGGTCACTGCATATGCTCGTCATGAGCTCATGGCATCTGGTTGCTTTGTCTGCCTAGTGCCGGCCACCCGAATGTTGCATTCTCGAGGCAGCCAGCATCTCTGCTGTCCAAGCTCCGCTTGGTGAGCGTGACTTGCTTTCGAAGGTGATGAGACAGCGGCCAGACTCCACCTGATGAGCGATTTGAAGCGGCACCCTTGCTTTGGCTTACATGTACATGGATTGTCAACTCACCTGCTCCAGTTTTCTCTGGGCGCCACAAAATGTTTGAGATGCTGGAGCTGCCTCCAGCCGTATGGCACCGGTTTCTCCAATAATCCCCATAAGATTTTACGAGCTGTTGGGTCAGAGCGGTACTTGCCTTCCAACGGAAGACCAAGCCACGTCGAAGAGCCGGGCGAAGCCTTCCACCGAAGCTGTCAGCAGTGCTTTGCCTCCCGGTGAGAACACCTTGAGCCGGCCAAGTCACTTCAAAAAGGGCTGCAAATCTTGCAATAGGTCAATAGGGCCGGGCCAAGGCTTCGAAGATGACGGAAACCACTGCCTTGCCCTCCCTGCTTCGCAAGTCACTGGGCAATTTAATACCAGTACCTGCAAAAAGAACCCTCAGGAAACCCAAAAGTAAATGCGGCTGGGCCACCGCTGTGCACACGTAGTACCTGTAGAGCACAGGGTTGGGGCTTTTGGGCCTGCTACACATCATTGTCGCACAGCCTTTGGCACTGCACTTCCGGCTTGTCCTACAAGCTCGAAGCCCTGAAACTTGTGCAAGCTGCGCATGGTGTGTAAGATTCGTCATCACCTGGCCAGTGCTGGCGTCCAGAAGCCCGACAACCGAATGGGAGTCCATGACCTGACGGCTGGGACCGTACACCCGCGCTTAGTTGCCTCTTTTCTTGCGAGCTCTCTACTCTTTTCTTCGAATTGTTACTCAGTGGAAATCCAAATCCTGCCTTCCACATCGCTATTGGCTGTAAAGAATTATGTCGCTTCCACTTGTATGGGAATATTGTGTGCACTCTCGAAGTCCAGTTGCCAAGACCCGTCGCCCATCGGCTGCAAGGCAGGCATCCTCGACATGGAGTTGCCGAAACGATTCAGGAGGGGCCTATGTGAAATGGAGGGTGCAGTAGAGAGAGAGAGAGAGAGAGAGAGAGAGAGAGAGGGAGAGGGAGGGAGAGGGAGAGACAGCCAGCTCGTAGAGCTAGGGATTACGGGAGGGAACGGGAGGGACCGAGTGCAAAGTATTACACGTTCGCAAAGGATCCTGCACCGGACCTTGCAAGCGCCACAGCTGCACCTTACCAGGGGGCTGGCTGCTGTCAGCAATGAATGCTCGGGCAGGTTATGCAAACGAATCTGTCCAACCCCGTCAAGAAACCGCGGCCGGGTCACCCCTAGGGCCGTGTCATAAAGAGCGATCGAGCGGGTTGCAGTCATTGTGAGCGCCCGGACCCCATCTTCTGAGAAGGTCACAGAGATGACAGCCCCGCAGTGCCTTACAACATGCAAAAGTACAAGTAGCAGGAATTAGCAGGATGCCGATGCTGGCCAGTGAATGCATTTCCGGCTCGATGCTCCGCACAGACAGTCATGACTTCATGAACTTATGACCACCGACTGATTGCAGTTTTCGCCACCCTCCGAGGACACAAAGGGTCTTCCCTGTCTGCAGCTCGAAGATTCGAGCGGTTCCATCCTCATCGGTGCGATCTGGACATGAACACAAGCCTCCCGACCCGGCAATCCCGGCAATTGCGGAAACGTCATCTTGCACCTCCGAAGCTGTACACAACTTCTGCGGAGGAAGTCGGATCAGTGTCAGCAGAGCGCCCTCGTGGAGGCCGACTTCTCCTGCATCGCTTTTTTGGAATTTGGGCCAGATGTAGCGAAGCTGGGCTAGTCAGGGTCTCTCCTGATACATCGGATGGTAGTAGCTCCCGGTTGCCGAACATGAGGGCAGACCGTGGGAAGGAGCCCCGCAGCTCGGAATCCACCTCCTCCGCACGATCTGCTGCGTTGACTATCTATGGACAAGCCAGTGGTGAGCCGGCGCTAGCGCCTGACAAAGCAAACTTGTGATGCCGAAAGGAGTGTTGCAAAATATGAACGACCCCCCGCACGAAAGCAGAACAGTGGCCACAAGACCAGTGCACGGTCCGGCCAACTGAGCGAGGGTGACACGTACGAAAGATGAACTGCTACGGCGGCCTGCTCAATTGCCGCTGGGCGCGGAGAAAGGCACGCAGGTGCCCGCACATTAGTTTCTGGAGTGGTCCAACATGGCCAGTCAACAAAGTGAGAACCTGCTTCTCTTGGCCTCAGCATCAGAGCGCAAAGCGACACAACGCCAATTCTCGGCAGCTCTCCCCTCCCGACCCGCCCAAGGGTCCGCAAAAAATCGGCTCCTACTGTACCGGGGCTCCGGCCTCAGTGGTAGTTCTGGCTTTCCGACGCGTTTCCGAGCCACGGATTTGCACAAAGAGTTCGAGGTTTTCAACGTGAAAGTCAGAGTTCCAACTTCGTGCGGGGTGAGAAAAATCAGGAACTCATATGCTGTGCAACCGCGGCTGACATATCTGAATATCCTGATCGAGGCTTGAAGCAAAGGAAGAAATCACTGCACAAGGTGCTCCAGGTGATTCAAAGTTGGGATTGAAGCATGACGAAGCACGAGAATCCACACGGTAAAGGCTCTTACCCGGCCCCCGGACAGTCACAGAAAGTCCTCGATGCGACGTCGAATTTCAGCCACCGTGTCCTGTCGCTACGCAGCGGCATGGATCAAGAAACTCACCGGGCCAGAAGCCAAACGGACAAAAGCCAAGCGTCTGCTGCATGCACCTGCATCGTTGTCAGCCTTTGTTTAGAGCAAAGCCAATGGTACTTGTGCCGTGGTCGAGGAGGGCAAGCAAAGAACTCACCCAACTCGCACAAATGCACGCCGGCAGTGCTCTCTTCTTTGTTGACCTCTCTCGCTCCCTTGTGCTTTCAGTTTTGTACCACACCCAAGGCAGCCATGCAGCGTCTGCCCGGACAGCAACTTCACCTGCACGGAGAACGCCTCGGCATGTGGACTCCGGGAGCCTCGGCAGCGCTAGCGGCAACTCTAGTGCCGTCTGATTTTACGGGCAGCCTTGAGATCCTGTTGAACTGGTGTCACTGGGAGGTGGAGGTAACATCGCGGGCATCAGTGTCTTTGCTCTTAACAAATCCTCTGCTTCACCAACGAGCATGAAGCAACCTGACAGTTACCAAACTTTCATCGTTCAGGGGCAAAGCTTTAAAAAACAACCGTTCGGCAGCCAGGACACGTGACAAAGCATCAACATTCTATCTGAGAGCGGAGGGGTGAATCTCTGCCTCTCTGCCATCGTCACGAAGTTACGTTGATTGGTGAGGGTTGCGTGTGCTCTGGCCTACCACGGCATCGCAAGCTTGCGGTGCACGCGCGCGCACACAGACACACACATGTTTGATCTGACCTCGAATGACCGAAACCAAACATGGGACAGCACGTATTCTTATGATCGTTGCCTACTGTCTCGTTCATCTTTTTAGTGCAGGTACGTTTTGAGCTTTTGTCATTGGTCTCTTCGTCGGCCATCTACCAATGACAGGAGGGATGCCCCCCCCCCCCTGCGCTCTTTTGTTTTGTTTCACCCTTGGCTTCAGGGTTTGCCCCATGAAGGGGTAGTAAAAATTGGACCATGCTGGTGTAGAAATACACATGCCGACATGCTACACATTCCAACATGCCTTCATGCCGACATGCTACTCATTCCAACATTCATGAAACACACATTCCGACATGCTACACATTCCAAAATTCATGAAACACACACGCCGACATGCTACTCATTCCAACATTCATGAAACGCGCATGCCGACATGCCAAACATTCATGAAACACACATGCCGACATGCTACATTCCAACATTGATGCCGCAGCCCGCCAACACTGTAGCTTCGTTATTCCCAACATTGCCATGCTATCGTTGATTCAGCGTGGGAGTTCGCAGGCAAATCCGCAGTCCCCCTAACACTGTAGCTTTGTTGGGTCAGTGTGGGAGTTCGCAGGTCAGAGCCGCAGCCCTCCTTACACTGCCCGTTTCCGCAGGTCAGCATTGGAGGCTCACTGGCAAAGCCGCAGCCCCTCCAATGCTGCCTTGGTTTTGAACGTCCCATCACAAGTTGTAGAGTCGTGGACACATGTCGTCACAAGATGTCGCGTCGTGGTCACGAGTGGTCACGTATTGTTGCCTCGTGGATGTCGCATTTAGGAGCACAAGTGGACGCTATCCCGACATCTTTCAGCATTTATCTAGGAGAGTATTTTGGAGAATCTGTTGCGCTCATCCGTCTGGCCACCGAGCTCTCTCAATAAAGCTGGAGCCCAACGACTGGCGCTATGACAGATTTCCAGCGAAACACACACACTTGATCTGACCCTCTAATGACCGAAGCCAAACATGGGATAGCACGCATTCTTATGATCGTTGCCTACTGTCTCGTTCTCTTAACGTTTTCAACTCTTGTCATTGGCCTCTTCGTTGGCCATCCACCGATGACAAGAGGGATGGCCTTTCTGCACTCTTTTGTTTCACACGCGCTTTCGAAAGTTCCCTTGGCTTCAGGGTTTTACACACACACACACACACAGACACGTTTTTGCTTCAAGGAACGGCTGCGCGAGCTGCGCGACATGATTGCTGCCGCGGAGCCCCCAATTACAGATTTAGATCCGGTGTCTGAAGCTGTCTACAGTGTACTCGACTGGGTCGGCTAGCCAGGAGGGTTGGTCTAGTTCGAGGTATGTTGCATGACCCAAAGAGTTCCTTCGCTCTTTACAAGCCTGGTGGACACATCATGGATCTATTTGGAACCATCTGCTGATCCGACAGCTGTGGAAGAAGCCGGGCGGCATCTTTGCAGTTGGCTCCGGCTCATCTCAACAGTTTAAATCGTGGAATGTCTCTGTGCCACTTCACTCCTCGGACGACTGCAAATGCACTGGTCTCGGGGCCGGCTCTCAATTCCGATGTCCGCAATCAGCTTCAGCAAACCTGGCAGGAAACAATTACGATGAGCTGGGTCGGGGGCCGGCCGTGCTCCGAACGCTTTGTGCTTCGATCCAGGCTCGTGCAACACACGAGTTTCAATACGGCCACCGTGTTTCACATTCTAGCCATGTCTGCTAGTGTAGCCAAGCGTCAATCGGTCATGCAATTTCAGAATCTCAGTGCCCGCAAAGCGGCCATCGCCGTAGAAGGCGAGCGATGGCGTGTGGAGCTGAACCCCACAGCTTCTGAGATCTCAGGCCATGCCTGGCCTGGCGCACTGGCGCACGTCAGCGTCTCTACGAAACTCAAGCTCTGCCATGGCTGCCATGGTATTCCATGGTCATTGGGCCAGCTATCTCGCAATTCTGGCGCTCCCGAATCTTTTTTTGTTGCTTTGCAGCAGGCCACGTTAACAGTCCAGTTCAAAACTGCTCAAGGGTTCACGCTGCTGTCGTCTCCACGACCTCGGTCCAAGCAATCGAAAAGACATTGCAAGGCCGAAGCTCCGACATACTGTATCCAGGACAAGTGAGCGCGCATGGAAAGACTGGCCTTCATCTCCTTGTCTTCCTCTGTACCCTCCGGGGCCGGCTGGTCCCGGAGAATCATGACCTGGGTGACAGGCATGGGGCATGTGGAACTTCTTGCTTTTGAATCAATGAAGCAGCTGCAGGACAAATTGAATGAGGCTTTACTTGAGCTGCAAGATTTGTAAAACTCTCGGACTCAGCTGTTGCCCCTTCATCTTTCGCTCTGGGTGCAGAGTCAAGGAACATTTCCGTCTGCATTGACATCCATGAGGATGTGCTCACCTTCTCGTGTCGGCTCCTTAAGGAAAGACTCCGCCAATTCATCCTCGCCAGGTTCTCGCGCTTTGGGACACACTGAGAAGACACTCCGCCCCGCTCCTCCACCAAGCGCATGATTGCCCGGCGGAGCGGTCTGGCACCGTAAGTGGGATTGAAGCCTTCATCCACAACCTGCAATGATCTGCAATGCCCAACACACACCCCATGCCCCCCAATCCACTTGCATCACTGTTGTGCGTCTGCTGCATCAGCACAGCCTGAACTCTTAACAACATGGTTCCGGGTATACAATAAGTCCGACTGTCCAAGCTATTCCTGGCCTTCTGCTTGAACTTTTCCGTCATGCTGAGCTGGATACCTGCCAGCTGGCACGAGCTTTGCAAGTTCTTGCAGCGCCAACAATAAGTCCCTAAGTTCCAACCCTTGAAACAGTTTTGCAACACTGTCATGCATACCGAACTGAGCAGCAACTCCGACGACTGAAGAACGTTGCCGGAACCCGTGGAAACGCACATGCAGATTCACGCTTCTGCAACTTCACCACCTGTTGATTCATGCACCAGACAGCTGCACCTCGCTCCTTCGTTCGGCTGAATGTCTTCTTGAACCTGGGAAAAGATGTCTCGCATAAGCAAGTTGTTGGCCATAGCGCATAGCCCAGTTAAATCTGCACGAGTTTTCAGTAACCATGCTGAGCGACTCCAGCTCCGCAATTTGCGCAACCTCTGGTTTCGTCAGTGATCTGAAGACAATGACCTGTGGCAGGTTAGTTCAAGTGAGGGGTGGACTTGCTCTGAGATGTATCATCATATGCTCTTTGATGCTGTCCTCGTCCAAACGGTTGAGGAACTCTGGTTTGAAGAAGTTCTTGAGCCTCACATTCACCAACATCAAGATCGCTTGTGCACCGCTGCTCGAAGGGCAAGGAGCTCGTCGAAGACCAATGTCTTCAGGCGATTGTAGCTCGACGTCTCCGCATCCTCTCCGTCCTGCGTGAGCCCTGACTAAATTCAACAGAAACAACAGGATATGCCCAAATGCCCTTTCGTGACCCAGCGCTGCTCCCTTCCTCCAGGCCGCTGAAGCCGATGCCGCCGCCGCCCTGGATACCCTTCTCGATGGCCTTGGCCCCGACGTTGGAGGTCCTGGAAGCTCGCGGAGGCTCGCGGTACCAGTATACTGAAGCATCAGAAACTTTATGGGTGAGAAGAGTGGGTGTGACGCGAGAGAGAGAGAGAGAGGGGGAGTCATGATGATCAGCGCATTCTTGAAGGAAACCACGCGGCCCTTGGAGTCGGTCAAGCGGCCGTCCTCAAGCCATGGAGAAGTGTGACCCGACCTCCCGGCCTCTAAAACCGCCCTGCAAAGCAAGCGAGTCCGTCCTCCAGAATCTGAAGCATGAGATTGAACACATCTGGGTGCGCCTTCTCGACCTCGTCGAAAAGGACGAGGCCTTGGATCATTGAACAAGAACCTGCAAAGTCGGGATTCCTTTATTTCCAAACGTTCCGAAGCGAGAGTCTGGAGCCACGATTCTTTCTGAGGGCGCACATGCTTCAACATGCAAGTGAAGCTCCCGTCTCGGACAAAGGGCTGTATGGCTTGCGACGGATTCCGTCGGTCAGCTGGCTCTCTTCGTCGTAGCCGACATAACCTGGCGGACTGCCGATGAGCTTGGACACGGTGTGGCGCTCCATGAACTCGGACATGTCCAGTCGGATCATGGCATCCTGTCCGCATCCCTACTGTAGTTCTGTAATATCTGTAGCAGCTTCACGGTCCGCCCGTTTGTGCAGCAATCTCGTCCTCCTTACCAAAGTACGCAGCTGCCAAGGCCTTGCACAACTCCGTCTTCCCAACTCCTGGCCACGGCACGAGCATCATACAGTAGCAGACAGCGCTTTACAAGCGGCTCGAGCACAGCCTGTCGGGCCACAGAAGATGAAAGATGCAATCGGTCGGTTGGGATTCCTCAGATGCCACATATCCACACGACGCGAGAAGTGACGGGGCTGACAGCATGCGGTAGCCGCTAGCCTTGTCGGCCTTGTCGCCGAGCATCTTCAGCCCAGCTCTTGCGCGCCGGACAGCCTTGGCCACAGCTGTGACGGCCTCGCAGAGACGACACCCCGCAGCGAACTTCCTGCCCTCAGGCTGCAAACAGCACACGGAGTGCAACTCACGTCCCACCTCGTTCTGCCCGATCACGCGGGCGTGGAGAACCTGTTCCACACCAAAGCCATTCGCTGACAACTCCCAGCACGTGCGCGCTGCGACATGCAGCGACTTGCCCAAATGCTTTTGAGGCCGTGCCTCCTCCAGCTTTACGAGGCGAGCTCCTTCGTCAGAAGAGACCTTCAGCATAAGAGCCACGAAATAACACATCGTCACTTGCGGTCTTTGGCTAGAGAAAAGAACACCTAGCCTGTACAGTCAGCAACAGCAATGCACGACACGCAGCACCATGCAGCCTTCTCAACAGGAACCCCGGTCCACTTGGAAACCACAGCTGCCACATCAGCCTGCAGGGACTGCAGGGACTGGCGTCGGCCGCAGCCCGGAAGCAGAGACATGGCGAGACAGTGATGGAAGAGCTGCGGCCTCGGTGACCAGAATCTCCTTCCTTGCCTTCTCGTCGCCCTCGGCCTCAGGTGAACACGTCTCATGCTAGCCGGGTGGACTTATCAACCAGCCTCGCTCTCTCGCTCTCTTTCTCTGTATCTACCGGCAGGCCAGTTGAGTCAGGTCCCTCTCGAACCTTGGATTTTCTTGAAGCCCGTGCCCCGGTTGCCTCTTCCTCATCTTCGTCGGTTGCCAGGGCGGACTTCGACTCGCTAATGATGCTCTTGATCTTTGCCCGAAGGCTGGTCTCCTGGCATGCGGTCGGCGATCGCAGGAGCTCTCCCTACGAAAGTGTGATGCTCAACTCCGTGCTTGCTGTATTGCCAGAACAGCATCCTCTGTCTTAAGCTCTTGGGCGAGCTCGTAGTTCTGGTTTCTGACGGCTTCCTCCTCGCAGTTCGACAGACACGGTCGACAGAATCAGTGACAAGTGAATGCACGGCAAGGGCAAGGCGTGGAGAAGCAACTCCCGCACGAAGAGCCTTGCATGTTTCCCCCGTTAACTGGAAGCTTCTCCTTGCTCGTCATGACCTCCTTCAGCTTGTTCTGTGCTTCTTTGGCCTCCTCTGGGAGGATGGAGGACTCACGAAGTCGCACTCGAGCGCCGGTCTCATCCAGCACATCGATCGCCTGCACAGGCAAGTGGCCAGCGGCTAGCGGCCTCCACTGCTTCCTGGCCCCTAGGCCCGGCAGCTCGACACCAACTACGGCCCCTACAATACATGCCTTATCTGGAAGGAATCGATCTTGGATGTACTGCGAGGCGAACTTTACACACGCCGCCAGAGCTTCATCAGTATACTTGAGCTTGTGGTGCTCCTGCAAGACGGATGGCACCACTGTAGCAAACTACTGACCTCACTTGCCCCTTAGGTGGGCATCCTCGTACTTCTTTGCCAGGCCCTTCAAGATCGTGAGCGTCTCTTCGTTTGTGGGTTCTGGGACATTCACGGGCTGGAAACCTAAGACACGCCGAAATGCGCCACGAACTGAAACCCTCATGTGCCAGGCCAAGTGACGTCGTTCAAGAGCTTTGTCCTTCTCGATGTACTTCCTGTACTCCTCAATCGTCGTGGCCCCAATGACCTGACGACTGTCCCAGGCACGTTTTGGCCTACGACAACATGTCACGTCCACTACACAAGTATATATATATATATATATATGCGCATATGTGCATTGTCTGGCTCTCTCTTCTTCCACACAGCCACAGAGGACTCCGCTTCCCCCCGAACGCATCCGTGCACTGGTCTCTCAGGTCTGTATGCATTGATGGTGAAGGTAAGGACTGAACTGGCAGGCAACAAGACTTCAACTAACCTATACCCCCCCAACCCGCCTCCACCTGAACAGCACAACCCCCCCCCTCTCTCTCTCTCTTTTTCTCTCTCTCTCTCTCTCTTCTTCAACTCAGCCAAAGGGGAGCTTGCAGGCTCTCCCTTGCGCACGCGTGCGCCCTGGTTGCAAGTTCGGTCTGACAGTTTCTGACGTGATGAGGCACGGGTGGGTCACCTTGTTGAATCCCCCTTAACACTACAGCCTAGGACCCCGCGCCTCGTGCCTCATCATTCCCCCGTATTGGGGTACAGTGTCAGTGGTCTGGACTGCTCTCACTGCTCTGTGGGGGCTCTGTACTGCACAAGCAACAGATGACTGCAACTCTCTTTCTTTCTTTCACCAGGGCTATGGTGTAGGGGCATGACCCCCTACACCGCGCGCTAGTGCGCCAATGAGTTACACTCGATCGAAGGCAAGCTGCGAACAGCCAAAGGGCGCTATAAGAACCTGAATGGCACGACAAGGGTAAACTATAAACATCATGGGCATCCCCCGCCCTCTTCGATCGATGCACGGGATCAGTACATGGTATTCATGTTATGCATCTTTCTTTCGTCAGGGCTAGGGGCAAGGGAGAACTAGTCCCCCTATAACATCTCTCTCTCTCTCTCTCCCTCCCTCCCTCCCTCCCTCCCTCCCTCCCTGCTGCGAATGCGAGGAACCTGCAGTTCTCCACGGGACAGGGCCGGCTTCCTGGGTCGGTTGTGCTCCGTGCACTTATACAGTCCTGGACCAATACTGTGTCCCCTAGAGCACCCTGCACAGTCAGATTGCCAAGGGTCATGATGTTTCCTGCATCAATCGCGCCACCGCCGTCGCCGGTTCCCCCAGCCCCAACGATGGTGTGGATCTCATCCTGTCAGGTGCACGGCTGGAGCGCTTTGCTTTGATCTGCACATGGAGCACTGCAAACCCATGCTCGTGGTACTTTGCAGCATGCAAGGCAGTGTGATGCAGTGTGGCGTGGAACCACAAAGGCTCAACAAGAAGAGCTCTCCGGTGCGTTGTCATCAGAAGGAAACAAGATACCGATGCGCCCAATGAACATTTTGTCAGGTCAAGTGGCAATCATGAGAATGATTTGCTTCTTGGAGTCCAGTACCTCCTTGATCACCTTGTAGCGAAAAGAATTATGACCAGCTTTTCATGGCACACCGAATCCAGGAAGCTGCGAGCTCAGAGGGCATCACATTCTTGAGGCGCTCTTCGAACTCTCCACGGTAGCGTGTTCCGGCCAGCAGCATTGCTAAGTCCAGCTGCACAATACGCTTGCCTGAACATGGGGGCACGTGGGGACGTACTTCTCAAGCATGCCATGCGGCTCAGCCAGCCGGCTCTCCGGACATTCACACATTGAAATTCAGACATTTTTGGCCTGGCCTTGAAGGAGCTCCGGGATGTCTCCGGCCACGATCTTCTGGGCCAATCCCTCAGCAATGGCCGTCTTGCCAACGCCCGGCTCACCAATTAGCACCTGGGCACTGCGACACTCTGGAGAGGAGAGCGCAAGCAAAGCTCAGCAAATGCGGAAAGCTGCAGATACCTACAGCTTTGCGGACAGGCGGCTGGGTTGTTTTTCTGCCTTCGCGCGAGGATCTGAATGGTGCGCTCGAGCTCAGCCTTCAAAAGGCTCCCACGAAGGGCAGCGGCTGCGCAGTCGCCAAGGCAGAAAACTGAAACAAACCCTACTGTACCGGAGACTGGCACATGGTAAGGATGAACGAGCAACATCGCAGGCAATAGCCCTTGTTTACATTCAACTTCTCATGTGCTGCTGTGGCTTCAACGTCTGTCTGGAGAAATGCGCCCCAGACGACGCTTGCCAGGGCAGACCCCCGACTCCCCGCCCTCCTCCCCACTTCACGACACGAGAAGCCTCTGCCACGAACGAACCGGTACGTTTTGGGCCCTCTGGCGCTCTGGATTACATTCAGAGGTTTCGCAGGCTTGAATTTGTGGGTATAGCCGGCATCAAGAAACAGCGGTCCTGGCGGCCAACAAGGGGGTCCATCTTGCCCTCTTCAGCAGCCTGCAAGGCCAAACGCTGTCAACAAAGTGTCTGCACCTGCCATTATGTCATTGTCTCAGCCTCTTCAGAGCCGGTCCGGCCTTGGTGAGATCGTTTCCAAACTCTTCCAGCGTCACCTGGCGCATTCTAGGCAGGGTGCTGCACTACAAAGTTCAGTGGCCTGGCAAGGCCAGCCTTAGGATTCAAGCTGCCACAGTAAGTCCTAGCCGCAACACTCAGCCATTGGCTGCTCAGGAAAAATGCAGGCCACAGTTATTCGCGAGGACTGAATCCGAATCCGAAGCGTGTCAGGCTGCACGGTCTTTCCGGAACCTCCTCCACGTGAGGTCACACCGACCAGGCTCCGCTCCTCCTTCTCCTGGAGCTCCTCGAAGTCTACGCGACATAACACGGCTCCCAAACAGCTGTAAGAGGTGTCCTTGATGATCTCTTCTGGCATTTTGGACGGATCCACACCCAGCTTCCCCAAAATATTGACTGCATTGCCGTTGTCCTCCGGCAAGCTGGTCATGAGCAAGTCCAACTCGTGCTAGCTAGCAGCTGGCTGTTCTAGCACTGCCAGCACCGCTGTAAGACCGATTCTCATCGGCCTCTTTGAGGAGGGCCAGCAAGATGTGGGCAGTGTCAATCGTATTGGCGTTTAACCGCTTTGCCTCCTCTACCTGGGCTTGAGAAATCCGTGCAGGCACTGGCAAAAGCCGGCTGCTCCGAAACTTGTGAAAGACGCACACTCCGACTTCAGACTGCTTCGCTGCATATCCAGAGGCAAGGAGCTCCATCGCCCAGGACGCGCTTGGCTGCTGGAGTGAATGGGATCCTCAGCATGAAGGGCTGTCACAAGGAGCCATGGCGGCGAGGACTCTTAAGAAGCCCAGAGTCTCCACGGAGACCATACCGCTTCCACGTCCCACGGTCTCTTCGACGGTTCTCCGAGTGTCCTCGCGAGAACATGGGGCTCGGCCTGTAACTACAGTAGACTGAACATGAATGAACAGCCGTTCCTTCAGAGTCACGTTGAACTTCTTCAAAACTTTGGCCGAAGGACCGGAGGTGTCCTTGGTGGGTCTTGGGTTCAGACCTTGTTTGGACGGTGCGATCGCATGTATTGACGAGAAACAGCCACAACGCCGACCAAAAGCATCTCGGTGCCGACATAGTTGTGGCCTAACCGTCTGGACTCCTGCATCGGCACGCTGGCGGTTGTGTTATACAAAACTCTTCTGCAGGCATCGCCGGGTGACACTGCTGTCGCCAACATCTTCTGTCCTCCTGGGCGGTCATTACGGCCTTGATCGCCTTCTCGTTAAAGCGTTCGAACATCCTCGCACAGTTATGCTGTCATCCGAAACTTTTCGGCTTCAGTGTGGAGGCCCGGAGGAGCAAAAGTGGGGTCGGCGGGTGAGTCACAGAATGTCACATCTCTGCAGCTGAGTGTCATCTTCATGGAGGTGAGGCCAGATCCCGAGCTGTTCGAGGGCGCCGACGCCACCGGCCTGCAAACATAAGACGAAGCAGTAGGTCGCCAAAAGTGCAATTTTTGGGATTGTTTTGCCAAGCTGCCCGGTCACTGAACCGGCCATTGAGCTTCCAAGAAAGGATGAACCGCTTGAAGAGATGCCTGGGCCGGGTGAGCTCAATGTAGCCTTGTAAAACTCTGCCATCCCCTGAATACTTTGGAAAGAGATCTAATGCAGTTGCGGATGGAGCCGGTAAGCCCAAAGCGCAGCCTTTGATCTTACCAAGAAGCACTGGTGAGCATCCCATATGATTGAAATGTTGGAGATGCGCAGTCTTTCGAACTTAGACTACACCTTTAACGTCAGTTTGCTCTGTGAGCTTATTATTCAATATCCTGGGGCTCAGCAGCAGAACAGTACGGTCTTTATATCAGGGATCCTAGTACAAGTGTTTATTCAGTGCTCTACGCAAGGGTGCGATGTGCGGTGTTTGGCTCTCCTTTTACTTGCAATCGGACGTGTTTCCCATTGAAGGATGATCTCATGGGTAGTAGTGGCGGAACTACTGGGCCTGTGCATGAGGTCCGGTGGCGACAAAAGGGAGCCAGCTGTTTACCAGCCAAGCGGTGGAGGGCAGGCAGGGAAGGCGCAGGACATCGCAGGACGGTGAGCGGGGAGAGGAGGGTGAAAGAAGCACGCTAACTTCTCTACCAAGAAGGGGCCGCCACCTCGCATGCATGTTGGATGTCAAGAAACAGAGAGTCACAGGGGACACTGCTGCGATGCGTCAATTTAGAAACAAGCCTCAAGTGCCGGGTGGGGCCCGAAGGGCAAGAATGCACACAGCCTGCAGTTAGTCAAGCACCTAAGCATTGGTCTTCAGCGGTGTATCACCTCAGAGTGGAGCGCGAAACTCAACAATACAGGTGAACGGAAGCCGGAGATGTGGCTTCGATGCGATATGCATGTAATGTGCTTTAACGGATGTGTCGGTTTTACGAGAAAGCCAGGTTGCTTCCGGAGGAGCCCGCGCTCCAGGCACCGGCGCGAACGACCACGTTTGCCTTCTTTGGCGCCGCGCTGACTCCGCGCACCTCAGCAGATCAGGCTCTGTCTCAACATGATCGTCGACATGAACTCATGGCTGGCCCAGCAGCCGGGATGGCCGCGGCAAAGGATGCGGCAGCCGCCGCGGCGACGAAGGCACACCTGGGTTGACACGACGCTTGATTCAATGGTTACACGGGCACAAACTCCGTGCCAGCCGAGATGCGCTGCGCTTGCAGCAGTCGCTGTCAGCTGCACGCCAGAATCGGAAGATGGTGTGCTGACATGAGTATTCCTGGGCTCTGGCACGAATTTGCTTGCGATGATATGCGATGATACAACATGGATCCGCCCACCGCTTTCGGCCCCAATCTGGGTGTTCAGAAGACAAGCTGCAAAGGGGGCAGCCTTTGTCCTGTGCGCATAGGCGGTGAAGCCACGAAGGCACCTGAACACAGCATAAAATCCGTGTGTAGCATGATGCAGCCGCCTCCGTGGCTCATGTTGAAAAAAGCTCATGACGGCCTGTACGAGGCACAACACAGGCTGCGAAGATTGCCGCTGCTGACAGCGCTACCATCCTTCCCAGGGCCTTTGCTATGGAGCACTTGGCACCCGATCTCACGAGTGAAGGCAGCAACAATGCTTCCAGGTAGCTGTATGCAGGCTTGAAATCGCGGCCGGCATCCTTTACCCAGAAATATCTGAGGGTTACAAGGAAGGAACCAAAAAAGCTGCGGAGGAACGTCTGCTCTGAGCATGTCTGAGCACCTCGTCTTATGCGTAACTTGACTTACCAAGGCTCTGTCGCTACCAGCATGCCACTTGTGAATCATCCTGAAACTGCTGTTCAGAATTTCTGCTGCGCCCCTGCCCGACTTGCACCAGCTGTGGGGAGCAACTGCTCAGCTTCCACATCCCCACGTTGCCTGCAAGGGCGAGGTCGCGTAGCTGTTTCCGTTTTTGAGCAAGAGATGGCAGCAAAATGCAGAGAGCACGTGCGCGCATCTGCCCGTGCTGCTAGGACCAACGTAGGGCCGAAGCTTTCACCAGCAGGCCTCGGTGCTCAATACAAGAACTCCGCCGCCCCTGGTTTCTCCCCCTCAAGGGACGAGGACTCAAGATCGTTGTGCTGTTCTCTGCAAGCGAGACTCTCAGCCAGTCTTCGAAAAGCTGGCCGACATCTTCGTGAGTTTCCAGAACTGGGATTTCCCTGCAAGGCCGAGCTCCGAAGCATCAAAGACAGAATCACTACCCCGTTTCGTCCCTCACTGGCAGACCTCAATACCGCGCCGCTTGGAGCCAGCGCAGGCCTGATCTCTGCCGTCACCACTGTAAATACTATCACACCACCATCATCTGCACAATGCTCCATCACCAGCTTTGTGGTGTTGCCTGCTGTTTGAGCTGCCTGAAATTCACAACGCACACTGCAGGACCCGAAAACTGATCGCTCCGAATGACTGACTGCTGCGCGCACCACGAAACCGAAAGACGTATGAGGTGAAAAGGGATCCATACTGGTCATCTGAGCAGCCGGCAATAAGGGCCTCAAGTACGACGACAAAGTTCACATGCAGACTGTGTCAAGTCCCTGGGGCATTAGGGGCACTAGGACTCTCACCCCGGCTTCCGTGTTTGCAAAAGGTGGAAGCCGACCATGCGGAAGGTGTAGGTGTTAGGAAAGCCTGCGCAGTTGGGGAACAGGTACTCGTAAAGGACGGACAGTGCATGAGGGGAAATGATGCATGTCTGCCTTGCTTGGGCGGCATCCATGCCGAATGTGCATGCACCTCGGCCACATGCCAGACTTCTAAAACAGTCCACATAACCCTAACGAAAGAGCAGACCTGCATCATACTGGTGAGCATGTGAACAAGAAAGGACCCGGCCCACTCACCGATGCGAACCACGAAGTCGCGAGCCAACGGGCAAGCATCGAGCAGCAGTTGCACAACCTAGTGGCAGCACTTGCCGGTTCTTAGACATGCACTGTCTTCTTGCTGTCCTTCCAAATGCATGTTTGCTCCACATTATGCCCTGTTGAGCTGATGTAGTGGCGACAACATGCCACCACAGTGATATCTGTTATCCTTGTTGCTTTCGTTCTTGCTTTCTTGCAAAGGTGTAAAAGAGTGGCAAGCCCCCTTTTCCGTGCCGGCACTGCCCCTGCACGGGTCTGTGCCAAGCTCGTGAAGCTCGTCTCTTGCCTTCTTGTAGCTTGAAGTTCCCGCCGGGAAGTAGGCGGAGGGTCCATTCGGCAGAAAAAGGGCGCGGGGCGGGTACTGTAACAAGGGTGCTGAAAAATTCAGGCTGGATGTGACAACCAGGCACGGTCATGGGGGGCAGGGTGGGGGCTCGAGTTCGAGATTGGATGGAATGGCATTTTTCTTGGGGGGAAGGTGGAGGTTTGAGTATACCATTGCTTGTTGATGCTACTAACCACTGGAACTTACTAAGCAACAGCAACAGCATCAGGAGCGACAACAGCAACATCAGCATCACCAACAACACCACCATCATCATCAACAACTACCACGACGACGCCGCCGACGACCACAACTACTAACTCCTAAGTACAAACTACTAACGACAACTAAAAGCAACTAATTACAACAACACAGCAACAACACCAACAGCAGCAACAACAACAATAACAGCAACAGCAACAGCTGTTACTAGTAGTCTGATCACCGTGTTTCTGTCATTTTGATTATTGTCTGAGCGAGCGGGCTCTGCTCATAGCAGACGATGTGCTTTGCCACCGCACCATGCATACGAGGCTTCAACAGCTAACTTTGTGAAAAAGAGCACAGGGTGTGCTACTAGAGTCGGTGTTTGTCAGAAGTCTCCGTCCGACCTGCGAAGGTGCCTCGCCACTCTCGGGTGCATCATCGCCTCCGACATGCACGAACCAGCTCGTCGCGCACCCCCGAAGACACCTGTGCTGGTTGGGCCCAGGCACCAATGTCTACCGAGGCAGTTTCCTTGGCCGTTGCTGTGTTCGAGTCCGGCTGCCAGTGACGGAACATTCTCCACTTATCTCGCCCAGCTTGATCTCAGCCGAGAACCCCATGTCCACGGCGATGCCGTAGCTTCCGGAGGAAGATGCCATGCTCAACAGTCGCGATGAGAGAAAAGGGAGTGAAAGCTGGTAAAGTTTCTGAGGTCAGGGAATAGAGACAAAATGGCAGACGTCTCCGGACATAACTCTTGCGACTCGTGCCCGAAGAATATTCGAAATTTCTGAAAGGTATTTGGAAGCTTTGGATGAAGCACATATTGGCACAGATCTTGATATGGACTCTTCTCGCACGAAAAAGACTCATCGGACTGAGTTGCGCTGGAATGAAAGTCTGAGATCTTGGTACTGTTCATTAATGCTGGGCAAAGTTTGGAACAGGGTGACGTCGAAGCACCGAAAAGCCCCAGTACTACTTGGTATAGTGAAGTGTATAGTATAGTAGATAGCAGGGTATACAGTATAGTATATACAGTAGGAAGCTAGATCATCATCATCATCAACCTTCATTTATTATCAAGAAAATTCAGTCACCCTCAACCATCGCTGCAAGATCATCAGGTCAACATCAACATCAACATCATCACCAACATCACCAGCAACATCGACATCATCATGTCATGGTAATCATCAGAAACAGATCATCACCATCATCATCATCGTCACCATGGTCATTAGCACAGCTTGCGGCAAATGCGCCAACGAAGACCTGTATTCACACTGCACAAGGCCAGCACCACTCCCTCTCACCCAATCCCCAGCCAATGACAAGGAGCAGTTGAACCCACGATCAGATAAAGGCGCGTACTGCTAATTGCTACCACGACTACTACCACGACTACTGCATACTCCTACTTACTACTGCTTACTACTGCTTACTACTGCATACTACTGCTTACTTCGACTTACTGCTACAACCTACTGCTACGAGTACTGCATATTACTATTTACCACGACTTACTATGGCTTCCTACTAAGTATACTTACTACTACTTGCTACTATTGCTATCCTTGCTACTGCTGCTACGACGACGACGTGACCATACTACTCTCTCGCGCACTTGCGCAGCCCTTGGCGATACTCAGTTCCTGCCTCGTCCCTCTCATGCGACTGATGATCGAGCTGGCAGTTAATCACGTCGACCTGTCGAAAGCCCTTGACATGTTGGATCCTGCTGGTACTACTATTCAAATCCTTTTCATTTCTTGACGGCGCTGCCTCGATGTCGGTCAGCTTGTGTTTGAGAATTACTCGTGGAACCCGCGCCCAGCCTGCACGTCACATGCGTCGTCACGATGCATGTGCCTCTGCAGCCATGCTGAGCTTGGGGCTGACGTGCTCAAGCAGCTCAAATTCCCGAGCGGGAGACGCCGATGCATTCGACCTGTCAGGGCTCAGTTCACAAGACTTCTCCGCCGCCGTCTTTCTTTCGCCAGGGCTATGGTGCAGGGGTTTGACCCCCTCTCTCTCTCTGTCTCTGTCTCCCTTGAGCCTCACCATATCCACTAGCCCCTTCAGAGTCAACGAGGTCACCACATCAACCTCGGCATGTTGCAGGATCGAGCCCCTCCACCCGACCTACCGGAGCTTGTGACGAGATTTCAACTGTGCCTCACTCAGCATCCTGAGCCGACGTGCCCTTGCGATGGTACTAATATCGTTTCGGTTCCATTTCTAGCGGCGCGCCTTTGTGGACGCCTTCGACTGAGACAGTGTTGCCAGATGCCGCATGCTTTGGGCGGTCTCGAGGTCACGGCATCGGAATCAGCGCAGCCGACACCTGGGGCAAGTCCCTTGACTGGTAACGCACTGAACGTGATGCAGGCATCGTTGAGCCGAACGCCGATGCGCCGGGAGCCATGCAGTTCTGCCTGATGTGATCATGAGAGCTTGCCTTATGCCTCATGCTTCGTCTTCATGCTGGGCAATGTTGACAAACCCAGGCCGCGAAATGTTTCGGGCCCGGGCTTCGCGGTCCAGGCGCACGAAGTCTTGCCAAGCTCTCTCCCAGGGACCCTGGAAGGACTGTTGGTGCTCTGTGCAAGATGACGCATGCAAGACATATGTTTGCGCTGCCATGCTAGGATAATCGGCAAGCGCTGACCCGGCCTTCTTCCCAGAACTGACAATCATTCGCCGAGGAAGCCGATGCATGAGTCATAATAAATTATCATCTACTCACCATGGAGAATGACTCGTCGGCTGAACTCCATTCTGCTTTAAGTCGCTCTTTCCTAGCACGAAGTGGTTCGTTGGCAAGTTGGTTGGTCTCTCTGTCGCAAACACTTGCCAGTCCTGAGAGCATACCTGCAGAACACGCTGGTGGCCTTCTCAGCACACAGGCGAGGCAACCTAAAGTGTCAGAGACTCATTAACCGATGGAGGATCACACGGACAGAATTTTTTCAAAATTTGCCAGGCTGCTCATTAGTCCTCCTTGCCTTGTAAGATCGAATGTGCCAGGGCAGCAGGCATCGAAAAACCGGTCCACAGCGTCCACAGAGACTCTTGCCATCTCAGTCCAGCTAACGATCTTTAGCACAGAAGTGAAAACGGTACGAAGCATTTGCCTGGCCCTTGGGCTACAGCAGACATATGGGCGTATGCACTCCAAAAGCGGTCGCCCATATAGACGTCAACGCGGGTTGCATCGACGTTAACGCAAATTGCGTCGGTGCACTCCTGCACACTTGATTGCCCCGTGCCGGCTGCCTTCCTGCATCGAAACATGTTGAAGCGATGATGCCTGTCCGTTGAGATGGCTACATGCTGGAACCTATGTCGATACTCGACGAGACGTCTTTGTCAGACAGGGCCGGTATGGTCAGGGTTTTAATATAGTGTCCGCAGATGGTCGGGTGCGGACTTTTCCGTACCCATAGATCTGTCTCGGCGCTGCGACTGTAGGTTGTTCTTCCGACCCTGAAATCTTGCAAGATGTTGCAACTGCGCCGAGGCAGCGTGCAAATGATACTGGGAGTCTGTGGGATCGCGTGGCAACCCGAAATGAAATGCGGGAGAGTACCCTGAACAGGCAAATCACTAGTCACTAGGTGCACAGTGTGGCTGCCAGCATCTGGATCCCTTGCCATGTGTTCTGAGCCTTATGGCTCGGCCCGCTCAGCCCATGAAGCCCCCCTGGCCAGCCTGACACTCTGAAGCTCATTGCAACTTTCATTCACCTGCAACTCCACATGCGGGGACTTGCAAAACGGGGCCGAGCGCAAGGCCAACCCACCTTTGTAGGAGCCTTGCTGTCCCTCAGGTCGCGCATTTACAGTCGCAAGACGTCATCCACCTCCATGAATCATGCTACGTGCTACCGGCTACCCAGGCTCATGGCCCCAGCACCCTGCAAGCCACGCAGGTTTTCGGGCAGGTCCATGTAGCCAGGCCTTGCAGCGCCAACTCTGTCAACGCCTTCTCAGCCCTTGCAACGCAACGATGACTGCAAATGCAAAGTTCCATCCGTCTGTGGATCCGGCAGCATTCCGAAATTTGGATTGGAAGGTCCGCCCGAGGGTCCGGTTCCTGCATTGGGCATACCGCCCATGTTGCGCCCAGGGACCTGCAAAAGTGCTGGCAACAGTGTGATGGATCACCTCCTATCGCAGGGTTTGCATGTTGTAGATCCTACCCGCATGAGCCATAAGCTGAACTTGGACAGTTCTAGAGGTTCGTGGTTGAAGGTTACTTCAGGAACCTACTTCTTTGTGGCCTGCGGCGGCTGCTGGACAAATGCAGCGGCCCAGGCAGGATTTCCGGCCAAACCTGCTGCAGGTCAATGGTCGCACATCTCGAGAAATCTCCTCTCGAAACTGCGGAGTTGGCAGGGCAGTGCTTGCATTCCAAGGGGCCCAAAGATTGCAGGTTGGGTAGGCCTTGTAGACCTGGCGGAAGTGGGCGCGAACTTGCAAGGCCAAACCGGCACATCTGCTGGCCTTGGAGGCCCTGGAGTCCTTGCCTGACAGAGAAGCACTTTCACGAACGCTCCACTCGGAGACTTGAGAACAAAACGGACGGAAGCTAGGGGGATGGAAAGGAAGCAGTGTATTGCAAACGCGGGCATTGCATGATGCAGTGCTCCTTGTATGCCGGGTTGCGAACTGGTAGGCAAGCAGCTATCCAATCAGAGAATTTGAGTTCGCGTGCTCTGTCATAAGACCTAAACCTGCGCTGAATAATGCAAGTTTTCCTCAGGCCTCATATTCCCAGTGCTCTTTACACTCCTACAAACTCGTCGACGCTTGTGCTTGTCAACACCGAATCGAATAAGAAGCCTGCGGTTGTGCAGATGTACGTGGCTGCTGACGCTTGGATCCCTGATATATCAGGGAGCTCCCAAAGCTCTCTTTCGACCCAAAACCAAATCTGTACACAACTCCAGCAAGCTCCAAACAAGCTAGCTTCCGCGAACAATTAGGCTTCCGGCAGATTGGGAAGGCCCTGCAGCCCCTGTGGGACTGACATCCCGAGGGTGCCGGCGCCCTCAGTCTGACAAGCTGCTCGAACGGACTCTCGTTTTAGAGGGTCGAATGTCGCACGGAAAGGCTCACATACTGCAAGTCTGAGTAGTCTGCCGAGAACTCCATCAGGTTGGGCATTCCTGCGACTGCACGCACAAGCAAGCACCTCCTGCTGTCATGCTTGACGAGTGAGCCAGACTTCGACGTCTCCCACGACGAGTCTAAGCGGCCCAGCACCCAAAATGCCGGATCTGAGCCGAAGTGTCTCCACCAAGATCCCCTGGCCTGGCATCAAGCCGAAGCCGCCAGTGCCTGTGAACAAGCTCGGTCCGCGACTCGGTTCACCACGGCTACAAGCGCAATGCGCTCAAAAACGCCTCTGTCAGCTGTCAAAAGCGATCAACAATCGACCCCCGGACCTGAATCCTAATGCCAACTGGCAATGAAGAGTAGGCTTTAGAGATTCTTGGTGCAAGCGTCCGATTCACTTCACCAACCCCCAAAGGACGCCTCCTCCAGCCCCTTTCCGCAAACACACGAGCCCGTCGTCTCATCACTCGACGTATCTCTTTGTTCCCCAGACTCCCGCGTACCATTCCCACCCCCGAACACTTGGCCGGATTTTCCGTTTCCAATATAAAGCCATGGCGGCAGATCTACAACGGTTTCCAAGCTCTTCAACGCGAAATCCACGCAGTAGCTTTGCAGACAGGAACAAATGGGGAAAGCAACTCGTTGATTAAAACGGTTACTTTGACCAACTTCATTCACCAACTGGCCTTGAACTGCACCCTTCAACCAAAACTCATAATTAGCGACAAAGGGAATCGGACGAACGTCAGATGATCCGTGGAAGCCCTTTATAGAGGGAAGTGCACTCTAGGCAGGCTGCACTCCCTCCTTGGCACAAAGCAACAATGCCTTTTCAACACGGCTGATCGCGCGCTGACTCACGTGTCTCTGAATTAGCCCTGCTTCATGCTGGTTCATGCATCCAGCGAAACATGCAGAGCTATCTCTTGGTGGAAGCCTGTGGGCAATTCATGATTGACTCTAGGTTAGCAGGGGAACGGCGCAAAGTTTGCGCAAACTTGCCTTCACTGCCAGAGCGCAGGATGCGACATGAACAGTTAAGCCAAGCGCACTTGGTCCTGCGCTTTCTTTCTGTCAGGTGTTCACAACACTGCACTGCAAAGCCCTCCAGCAGTCGGGCTTTGATCGATAAAGGTCCTGCATCAGATCATACTCATGTGATTAGCTTGCCACAATTTGTGCTGCAATGAGGTTGGCTCGCTTTGGTCGCCATTCTCGCGCAGCTAGTTCTAAAGCACGCACTCTTTAGTTGCAAAACCATTTATGGCTTGCACCTTTGACACCCGGGAGCACTCAGGGTGGTCTAGCATGTGGCTGCTAGCTGATGGAACATATCTCGCCCTGCTGTTCATCGACCGAGCTCAGACCTTAGCTCTAAGAGAATCCGTCTCCCATGTCTGATTGTCCGCATCTCGGCGTCTCGTCTCAAGACCGAAGTCCTTGGCTCACCTCTTGGCCAAGGATCGCTTCTGGCGGCTCCGGAGTCCCGGTGGAGTCATCTCCCCCTCGTACTCCAGAAGCCTTGGAGACACGAAACGCATCACTAGACATGTGCTGCTGTGTTACCGCTTTAAAGGAATTCGAAGTGCAGTGAGTCTCATGCGCCTCTTCAGCATCGAATTCGATCGTGGGCTTCATCACCGGCAAAAACGGCATGCTGCATGCAGCGGAAAAGACTACTTGTAACGTCAAGCTGCTCATCGTCACCGTCGCAGCCGACACGGCAGCTCCTCTTTCGTCTTGCAAAAGAACAAACTTTGCAGTTCTAAGTTTAAGGGAGGGTCTTCGGGCAATGAGCCGAACGAGACTGCATGGACTAGATTCCTGCTACTTCTGCTACGGCCCCAGACCACGCGGGGCTTCCATGCGAACAGATTGAACTCAGCCGGTGTATGCTTGCTGATTTCAATTTGTGTTGGGTCCAGTGCTGCGCCAAATCCG